ACAGTAGTTAGCAGACACGGAGAGCGCCGGGGGTTCGTGAGTTACCAGTGGCCGATCCCATCCAAGCATCCGAAAGATAACCAGCCGGCCGGCTAGCTAGCTGACTAGCTATATTATTAACTTAGGTAGCCAGAGTGACACCTAGATAAGAGAAAAAAGAGGACTCATTCGCTATCTCCGTTATCGGGCAGATATCTGCCATCGGCTATCCCTTATCTCTGCTTCTCGCTCCATGGCTAGTCGACTTTCATATGCTGAATGCTCGGCTCGGCAGACTCCGTCCCTTTATCTCCTTTTGGCATTATCTCGCATGAACAGCGCGGACGGCTTAGGCGGCCGAATCTCTGAGCGAATAGAAGGTTTGGGGGCAAGCGTTAATCTCCGACCTTGGCCTGCGTGGGATGCACGGTGCAAGGTGTTCCGTTGATAGCGCGCAAGCGTAGGGAGTATTGAATAATTGTGATAGATAATGGGGGAGCGGAGAGTGAATAATTGGCTATCAGCAGAGGTGTTGCGGCGCCGTAGGTGTGAATTGGCGTTTCTGGGGATGGGGAGATCCCGACTCTTATCTCTAGTTATCTCTACAATGTTGGTTGGGAGGAACCGGGAAATTGTCTTGAGCCTCCATCCAAGCTCATGAGTCTGGCTGGGTTTATTAAGCTATTAACCTTTCCCTCGTCCTTCATCGTCATCCTCATATTTTCTTCCTACCTGCTCCTATCTCACCCTTTGCTCCATCTCATGTTCCCCGGCTGCTGGCCTCTTAGATCCCTGTTATCTTTATCAAGCTCATAGCTACCGACACATCGACAACCGCATCCACTTAGCGATCGCAGGATTTCCTGTTCAGCGTCAACATAAACAGAGATAGAGAGGAAATCTTGATAAGGAGTAAACATGTCCAACTTGCCCATGGAGCCAGAGTTCGAGCAGGCCTATAAAGGTTAGTGCTGATATGATGACGTACTTTGAGTCGATCTCGATGAGAAAGAGTTGAAGGCAGGACCCTAACAAGGTGATATATAGAGCTTGCTTGGACACTCGAGAACTCGACCATCTTCCAGAAACACCCGGAGTACAGGAAGGCATTGCTCGTTGCCTCTATCCCGGAGCGAATAATCCAGTTCCGTGTCACATGGGAGGATGACAAGGGCCAAGTAGGCTGATTCCAATGCACACGGGTAAAGGTAGAGGAAGGTGCTGACAAGCTGGTGTTATAGCTGCAAGTCAACCGGGGCTACCGGGTGCAGTTCAACTCAGCCCTGGGTCCGTACAAGGGTGGCCTGCGATTCCATCCAACAGGTGAGATGGTATCCCACCTATTCTTACCGGGGAAGAATAATAAGCTAACATTGGTTGATGCAGTTAACTTGTCCATCCTGAAGTTCCTGGGCTTTGAGCAGATCTTCAAGAATGCTCTCACAGGTCGTACGTATCCTCTTCGGTAGTATTGTTTCTGACAGCGGTCGAGAGTGGCCGGGCTAATCTAATAGCTGTATGGTAGTGAACATGGGTGGTGGTAAAGGAGGCGCTGATTTCGATCCAAAGGGGAAATCTGACAACGAGATTCGGAAATTCTGCAGCGCGTTCATGATGGAGCTAAGCAAGCACATTGGAGCGGATGTCGATGTGCCGGCTGGTGACATCGGAGTTGGTGGTCGCGAGATCGGGTTCCTCTTTGGCGCTTACAAAAGGCAGAGACATATCTGGGAAGGAGTGCTGACCGGAAAGGGAAACAGCTGGGGCGGAAGTCTGATCCGACCAGAGGCGACTGGATACGGCCTTGTCTATGTGAGTCTCCTGATCTAAATGATTTTGTGCGATGATGATGCATGATTGCTAACAAGGCAATGCTGCTGTATAGTATGTCCAGCACATGATCAAGCACGCCACGAATGGTTCGGAGAGCTTCGAAGGCAAGCGAGTAGCTATATCTGGATCAGGGAACGTGGCTCAATATGCTGCCCTCAAGGTGATCGAGTTTGGCGGCATTGTTGTCTCTCTCAGTGACAGCAAGGGCAGCTTCATTGTCCGGGGCGGCGAGGACTCCTCCATCACCCCCGAGGAGATCCGCTTGATTATGGCACTCAAGGATGAGAGGAAGCCGCTATCCGGCATTGCGAGCCATGAAGCCTTTGCCAGCAGATGCGAATATATCGAAGGTGCAAGACCATGGATTCACGTTGGCAAAGTGGATGTTGTGCTTCCATGCGCAACTCAGAACGAAGTCTCAGGTGAAGAAGCCAAAGTGCTTGTGGCTAACGGCGCACGCTTTGTCGCCGAAGGATCCAACATGGGCTGCACGTTGGACGCCATTGAACACTTCGAGGCGCACAGAAATGAACACAAGCGTGATCAGGGCGCAGTGTGGTACGCGCCTGGAAAAGCAGCAAATGCGGGAGGAGTTGCAGTCAGTGGGTTGGAGATGGCTCAGAACTCCCAGAGACTGACGTGGACTGCAGAGGAAGTGGACGGGAAGTTGCAGGCTATCATGAAGGAATGCTTTGAGACTGGGTTGAGGACAGCGAAGGAGTACACGGAGGTGGAGGATGAAAAGCTACCATCTCTGGTGGCAGGAAGCAACATTGCAGGTTTCATCAAGGTATCTGAAGCCATGCGAGACCACGGTGATTGGTTCTGAACAAAAGAAAGAGGCCTTCCTTCTTTTTTGTGAAAAACTTTCGGCTGTTTCTGTTGGCGTTCTGGTGCCATTACTATTCCCGGATCTTTTTCCGTTCTAACATTGTGATTCCTTCATCTCGGGCTGGGTATTTGACATGGCAGATTCCTTGATTTTTCTTGTATGCACCGAATGGACATATCACGGCGTGGGACTTAGAATGTCATATTTTCCTTGCCCCGAGTGCAACACACATACAACATCCCATTTTTTCCATCGAGGCACCGAATATTATTTCTATTGCTTTTTTTTTAATGTTTATTTTATTCCCTGTTTCTTTTGGCGTAGAATGCTCAAGTGACAATTGGTGACATGTTCTATTTTGAGCCAAAATTTTCTTTTCTCTCTCGTTCTCTGACGGAGACTTGCAGGGCACTTTATTATATTATTTTAGGGCGTGTTGGAATCCCACAACTGGTACTCACCGTAACCATGCATGAGGTAAACGAGCGTGCATGGGAAGACTTGATGGGCTGGAAATGAAAAAAAGTATCATCATGACCGTATATATACCGGCAGTCGCAGTCTGCGCTCGCTCCGAGATACGAGAGCGTAAAAATACGCGCTGGATGGCGAGGGCCAGCACCTTGAGAGACCAGCCAGCTCAGCCTTGGACATGGGTTTGCGTGGATTTCTCTGGGAGTGGAGCAAGGGCGGGATGGACTCCATAATTGATGGCTGTCAGCCCCATGAGCGCTGGGCCTTGACAGCCATGTCGACGCCGACGCTGACGCTGACACTGACGCCGATGCCGCCGTCGTTGCGGTTGTGATGAGATGTTCTTCGTAAGTAGATGAAGATGAAGTCGAAGAGATGTAGTTAAAGATGCCGAAAGGGGCAAGGCGGTGAAGAGCGGCAGCAGGGGCTCAACTTCGACTTCAACTTCAGCTTTTCTTCTTCTCTCAGCTTCACAACGTTGACAAGACGCAGCAGGATGATGACAGCGACGGACAGGCGAGAGAGGAGCGAATTGAAGAGCCGACTGGCGTCTCCGGGATGCACCTCTGAGCTGCTGGAACGTGGCAGCGAGGGGAGATCGCACACCAAAGGAAGCGGTCACGTCGAGACTGGCAGCCAGCGCATAGAGTGCTGTCGAGACGCCCGGATGCCGAGAGGTTGGGCTCCGAGACGCCCGATTCCTGGTTGAAGCCCCTGTCCCCTGCCTGGTTCATGATCTTCTCGGACTCTGCCCTCTGATTCTGAATCCCCTATCGCCACGAACCAGCGCCAACAGAAGCCAGAGGGACAGCCAGCGGGAGCCAGAACGGTCTCTTATCCTCCACGAAAAGCACGAAAAATAGCCTCCAAAGCAGGGACTCCACGATAAGAAAATGCAAACCCACAGTAAAGTTGAGGAACCTCGCAGTGGAGGACGGGCTTTCGTGATATTATTGGTGGCCCTCGCGAGATGAGTGGCTTACAGCGCGGATGCTGAGTGGATGACGGCGCAGGAACATAAAGTGATATGCGGCCGATCCTGGTTTCAGACGTCCAAAAAAATCCCTTTGCAGGATCTTTTCCCCCTCCAACGACTCTGCCTCTTGCTCAGCAGTCGTACCAACCTACACACACCGCCAGCCGGCCCTCCATAAGCAGTGTAAACGGAATGCGGGAAATTCCTCCGCGCAGGACAATTGCAGGACAATTAGACCAACAGGAGAGACAGGAGGACGGCTTGAGGCAGCGCCCCGTATCATTATTCTGATTCAGCAGCAAGCAGAGAGGACGCCATGTCAGCCGCGTCTCTTGGATGGTGGCGGCTAGTCAGGAAGCGGGCTAGGCTCAGGGGTCAGAAAGCGAAAAAAAAGGCTCTTCTCGTACATCAGGCACACTTCCAGGGGCTGTGGCCAGTAAGCGTTGCCGTATGGCTCCTTTGCTCTGCCTCGATGCTTTGTTGGCGCTGTGGGAAGTGTCGTTGCTCAAGGGCTGCATTATTAGCCTTCCGAACCCTTTATCTACCCTGCCCTCTCCCGCTCCTCGTCCGTCTCTCTTCTTTCTTCCTTCTCTCTCTCCCTCGCTCCCTCTCTTGTTCGTTACCAACATTCTCTCGTACCAAGCCATTCTCTCTCTCTTTTCCAGAGCAGCTTGACTCTTGCGGCACAGCATTCCTTTTGGTGTCCTTGACTCTCGTCCGTCTCTACTCACTCTCTCTCTCAACTCTTTGCCTGGTGCATTGTGTTCATTTTTTTGGAATCGCTTGGTCCGATTCTCAACCGTCTTTCTGAACATACAAACCGTCCTTTACAGCTCACTCTTTGGCTGTCTGTCCCTCGTCGAACGAGAAATATCACATATATCTATAAAAAGAACCACCGTCGAAATGGCTCCCCAGTTCCTCAAGGCCCTCACTGTCGCCACGGCTCTCGGCGCTACTCTCGCGACCGCACTTCCGGTCCAGCCGAAACCCACCGTCTGGCACACTACCACCCAGGTCGTTGTCAAGACCATCACCAAGACCGCGACTGTTCACGGCACTCCAGGACCTGACTACACTGTCCCGCCAGCCTACACCACGCCAGCTGCCCCGACTGTCCCAACTGACGCTCCACAGCAGCCCTCGTACACGCCAGTTCCTTCGGCTCCAACACCCTCTTCCAGCAGCTCTTACAGTGCCCCTGCTGAGCCTTCGTCCTCTTCCGTCCCCGCTCCTCCCCCACCGCCACCAACCACCACCTCTACTCCTGCTCCAGAGCCAACGACCTCCACCACTCCTCCTCCACCTCCACCGGCCATGACCACCCCACCACCACCACCACCTCCACCAGCTACCAAGCCACCAGTTGTCAGCATCCCACCAATTGGCGGCGGAGGCAGCACCTACACTGGTCCATGTGCTGCCGGCTCTCCTTGCACCGGTGAAATCACCTTCTACGACGGTGGTCTCGGTGCTTGCGGTACCAACATTGACACCAACGGCGAGGATGCCATTGCTCTCCCCATCGAGCTCATGGGCCCTCTCAGCAACAACAACCCATACTGTGGAAAGCAGGTCCAGATCTCCTACAAGGGCAAGACCGCTACTGCTACTGTCAAGGACAAGTGTGCTGGCTGTACCGGAAACAACATCGACATGACCCGCTTCCTCTTCTACAAGTTGTAAGTTATTCTCACTTTTAGAATTCGGTTCCCGGTGGCATTTACTAACTCTTCAAACAGCGGTGTCGAGGCTGATGGCCGTATCCACGGTGTCGAATGGCACTTCATCTAAGCTATATCCTACCCGTCATGGGGGACTGATATAGTTTAGGCACTTGCCTTTTGCAGTTTCTTGTACATCTAGCAGTTTGTTTGCTCACTCCCCATGAAACTAGACGTCTTCAAACTCTTTTGTCTTCATCTTTTTTCTTGGGAGAAAGTTATGGGGATAGCATAGCATTCTTTTTCTTTTTGCGCTGTTTCTCATGGGACGGGATGGGGTTATCGGGGAATTCTGGCTTGGAGATACTTCATCATTCGCTTTTCGCTTCGTTCCTGCTTTGTCTCTCATCTCGAGGACATTCGCGGGCCCTCTTTTCTTTTTCACTTCTATACCGTCCTGTCTACGACTTTTTTACCTTTCATCCAGCCGATTGCAGCAATGCTGCATGATTTACATTGACCACTTCGACCTTTTTCCCCCTTCTCTGCACAAAATGTTTTCTGTTCCTGTTTTATGGAACCCAGATAGAATGGATTACGACAAACACGAAATCTACTTTTATGACTTTTCTTCATTTTTCTTTGCCATTCTTCCCTTTGCCGAGTCAAGTCATCCAGCTGATCCATTCCGTCTGTTGCTCCTTGTTACCTTCGTTCGTGTGGAATAGAACTTGCTCCCACTTTCCTGTGTCTTACCGTCATCTCATCATCGTCACTCGTTCATACTGCTTTTGCTCTGTAGTTTTGACCGCCAGTTTCACCCAACGGGCCGTAGTTCAGGGGGTTTCCCGTGTGTAAACATCTTGATATCAACAGCAGCAACACTTAACACCACCAGCGACAACAGCAACAACAACAACAACAACATCATCATCATCATCATCATCATCATCGCCAGCAACAACTGCCGGCACCATCACACGAGCAGCCCCAAGACAGGGATGGATCTGAATATCGGTGTCAGAGACTCGCTGTCTCGGAGGATTATTACCTATCGCATCCATAGCACCCCTACTCCCTGACAACGGCGTCCATGGCTTGCATGCAGCAAATAATACATCCATAGCTACAGCTTAACTTCTTGCTCTACATCCCATCATCATACTTACATCGCTTGCCATCAAGCTCCAGGTTAAAGCTTCGGCTCCAGGTACAGATCGAGCATGATATCCTGCACATCACTCTTATATTTTCGGCCGGGTTGGCCTTCTACCTTTCTTTTTCCCTTCTTGTTTCTCTAACTAGCGGACTAGCTCTGCTTCTGCTGTTCGCCGAAGCTGTTGTCTGTCGACCGCCGTGTCAGTTGCCAGTCCTAGTGCTCCCTCCCCCGCGGATCAGCCCGTTTCACTGACCAAAACCAGGTAGATACCGCTCTCCAAGACGAGACAATCCCCGATCGTGATCTCCCTCTCCTCCCAACAGCAAGACAAGGGACGGGGGCGGGCGGGTGAGCGGACGAACCGCGCGAATCAAGGAAAGGCAGGCCAGCGATAAAGTGGTGAAAAATGGGACGTCTTTGGTGGGAACGAGCGCCACGTATCACGAAACGGATCGAGGCTGAAATCAACGAACTGCGCCGGGCCTAAGGAGAGAGAGGAGAGAAGATGGGATCGAAGCTGCAGAAAATACTCTCGATGAGATCGCCTCTTCGCCAAATTCGACTGGACGGCCGGGCGAACCATGGTTTCTTTTGGACTTGGGCCCTTTCTTTTCCCTTGCAAGCCTCTCCACCGAGTGTCTCCATCGCCCTCGCACTACCTGCAGACTAACGTGTCTGGGCAACAGACTAGCTGGGGGCCGAGGACTGGAATGGACGCTGGGTGGCTGCCCAGCCGGTGGTGCTGCATCTCATGATGAGGAGACGTGAGGGAATCGATACGGGGTTTGCGCCGCTGGTGCGAGGGAAGGCGATAGTATTGTGGTGATGATCCGTCCATGGCCTCTTCTTTCATTCCCTCTCGAACAACGGACGCTTGACGGCCTCAGATCCTTCGTCTGGTCTCCTCCTGGGCTGCCGCTTGTGGGATTTTTTTTTTGTCCTACCTAACGTTCCTGTTGCCGGCCGGGGGGTGGAAAAGCTGTCGACGCTCTTTGTTTAGGGAGGAGGCATTTTGCTTCTTCCAGGGGAGTTTGATAGACGGCGGATGCGCGCCCACGCATGTGAGTTGTGTCTATTATACGGGGCCTCGAGTCAGATTCGCCTGCTTTGACCCTTCGCCGCCTGGCTCTCGATCTCGCCGTCTCCTCCTCTCCCCCATATTGTTATTATTATTATTCAACTAGTTCGTTTCTATCTCCTTCTTCTCCGTCGGCCTCGTTTTCCCATCTCGCAACCTTCTTTTTCGCTATAACCTTCTTTTCTTCCCTTTCGTCCTTCTTCCAACCGTCTTTTTTTTTTTTTCTCTAATCCTTCTTCTCTTCTCTTCTCTGTCTCTCTGTCTCTCTCCTTCTCTCAGTCCCTTCAATCGTTTGACCTTCTATTTCCTTCACTCTTCGCTGGTTTTGATGCATGGATGGGATCGATAGTGACGCTGCTACGGTGAGCAGAGAATGGCCATGGAACTAGATCATGAGTCGGACCATGGCCACGGGGTGGCCATGTTCACCGTGACACTGGTCGTAGTGGTGCTGTCCGCTTGCTCGGTTACGCTTCGACTGGCTTCTCGACTGTATCTGCGGCAGGCCGTGAAGATTCGTGATTATATGATTGTGCTGGCATGGGTAAGTCGGTAACTCGGTCGTGAAATCGCAATTGCTAACAACGCCCAGATAACCGCATTTGGCCTGTCATTTTCCATTCTCTATGGGACCTACAAAGGGTTTGGCATCAAGGTGGACTTCATCCCACCGGATCTACGGCCCCTGCTGAAGAAGGGGTTATATGCATTCTCGGTCCTCTACGTATGTGCTGTCTCTCATTAATTACCATGTCCCGACATCCCGGGATTCTCAGCCTCCTCAACCGCTAACCTGGGTCCTTCTTTTATATTTCATTATATAACAGAATCCTACTTTGATGTTGACTAAGACGTCGGTTTTGCTGTACTATGTCGAGAGCATACCCAAAACCCGCGCCTTTCGGTTGGCTACCTATGCAACTCTCTTTGTGGTCAACGCCGCCGGCCTGGCTCTGCTGCTTCTCAACGTCTTCCGCTGCAAGCCCGTCCGCTCGGCGTACACTTACCCGGCTGCGAATGAATCGGTGTGCACCAACTTCGTTGACCTCAATCTAGCATCTGTCCCCCTTAACGTTGTGACAGACTTCGCTATCCTTGTACTACCTCTACCCGTCCTTTCGCAGATGACGTTGCCTTTCAGCCACAGGACCGCTGTTGCGCTCATGTTCACTGCCGGTGCCATATTCACCACCATTACCCTCATCCGCACTGCAATGCTGCAGCATGCACACATCGCCCAGGTCCAGGCCAAGGAGGCTGTCGAGTGGGACGGCGTAGACGAGAATGAGTTTCCCTGTATGTCTTACAACATCTGCATCTCTTCTTCCTTTCCGATGGTCCTAGATAACTAACAATCTATGTCACATTGATAACTGTAGGGCATGCATCGGAATCATTCATGTGGTCAGCTGTTGAGGTGAATGTTGGTATCATCTGTACCTGTGTCCCCATGTTGAAACAGTTGGCCAGCCGGCTGTTTGCCGAATTCTCCGGGAAATCCCACCGGTTTGCGTCGCGCAGAGACATCAAGGAGAAAGCGCCTATGAGGCGGCCATTCGACCGACGGGACTCCGTGACCTCTCCATCTCTCGTCTTCGATGAAAATAGGCGGTCATGTAGTCCTGATTCAGGATACAGTGATGTGGATGTCCAGGCTAGTTACAGAGAGTCTAGGTCTAAGAGATGCCATTCTCACCATCTAAGCCAAGACAGCTTCCATGACAGAGGCGCTGTCAAGCCAAAGAGGACTAAAAGCATGCTGGAACTCACCAACAAGGAGGCACTGCCCTTTTTGACGGCGATAATCTTCTTACTCTTTCTCTGGGGGTTCGGGTACGGCCTACTCAATACTGTCAATTTCCGCTTCTTAATTGAAGCAAAGGCAACCTACGCTAAAGCGATCGGCCTACATGCCGCATACTTTGCCGGCTACCTCATCGGACCGGCAGTAGCTGGCTATCTACTAAAGAAGACTACCTTCAAACTCACCTTTATTGTTGGACTGTGTCTATATGCCTGCGGCATTCTAATTTCGTGGACTTCTGCAGTGCTTACTTCCTTTGAAACATACGTCTTTTCGAACGTTGTCACCGGTGCTGGCATGGCTATTGTCCAGACGACGTCTCATCCCTTCCTCGCGCTGTGTGGACCGCAGGAATATGCTGAAATGCGCCTTAACATCGCCCTCGGCTTCCAGTCAATTGGCAGTGTGATATCTTCCATATTGGCCAAGAAGGCATTTTCTCTTAGAACGATCGACGCCCATGACCTTGTACAGATGAAGTGGGCCTACTTTGCCATGGCTCTGCTTCATATCCTCTTAGCCATAGCGATGCATTATCTCTCTCTGCCCGAAGCAAATGATAATCAACTGGCAGACCTCGCACGCCAGCGCCAAATGGCCAACTCTGCCAAGATTTATGATATCCGTGTCGTCTGGGTTACCTTGGGGTTGGCCGTTTTTGCCCAGTTCCTCTTCGTTGGCGGTTCAGAGGGCATCAACGTGCACTTCAGGAAGCTTGCCAGACGGACCAGAATCAAGTAAGTCTTCTGAACATAACTTACACTGCCATGGCTATATTCTGACTTCTTCACTTTTTTCTTCTCAGAAATGTCACGCCGTTCGAGTCACAGGCACTTGGCTTTGCGCTCTTCGCCGTTGGGCGGTTTGCAACTGTTGCTCTACAATTAGTTGCGAAACCACGCGTTATTCTTTCGATACTTTATCTCGGCCTCATTGGATGTGCGATAGCGGCTGTAACCATCCACGGACGACTTGCTATGATCGGGGCTTTGGGCACATACTTCTTTGGAAGCGGCATCTACGGCCTCACCTTCGCCATCGCCCTCCGTGGCATGGGCCATCATACCAAAACAGCTTCTGCCTTCTTAACAGCTGCAGTCTCCGGCGGTGCAGTGTTCACTTGCGTCCAGCGAGCCGTCGCCAACAGCCGAGGAGTTCAGTTTTCCTTTATTGTTCCTGCCGTCTTATTCACCGCTTGCTTGATCTTCCCGATATACCTAAACACCTTCGCCCCAGCAAAGAGACATACCGATCCCACGCTGAAAAATCACCGGGCAAGGGGCACTAGCGTGGCATTCCATCCTACCCAGAACGATCGTGGAGAAGGCTTCGCGGTCCCGGAATCAATATTCCCTTCTCAAGAAACAATCGCACGCGTCGTTCAGAAGTCGCAGGATCGCTCGTCGGCGCACATACCGACGTCGCCCACACAAGCACCGAAACGTGCAAAGGGCCATTACCGCAGTGGTGGTCTAATGCATAGCCTGTCATCGTGGCATGCATCTTTGAGATCCCCAACTTCGGACAGGGCATCCTGCGAACCGAGCCGGTCGTCGGGCAGGTGGGACAGGGGCTCCAGGTCCGAAAGGAGATGGCCGCCGGGCCCGTCCTCTCCTTCGGTCGAGTTGGACAAGGTTAATGCACGACAAAGCTCGGATTACTATTATTACCGTGCAGGAGAGGTGTATAAGGATATCAGATGATCGCAATCGGCATTTAGCGCGGCGCATTTTTGCATACTTGCTATTTCACGAGTTTCTTTTTCTTACCCCAGCAGTCGGATCCCCCTTTCCTTTCTGGCATTGATATATGTATATACCCTGCATCCTTTTTGTATAAGCTGGTCATTGGGGAGTTTATAGTCAGATGTTTTGCTTCTGTCATGTGTGTATATGCCATGCGTGTTTATACCTATGTCTAGGTAGCATGGTGTGCAGTATGACCACCAGGTTGCTTTGATAGCCTCTTTTTTATTAATATCATAATAACTGGCAAGCTGGTCATTCTAGATACTATGTAAATAAACTTATGACAGTCATAGAGAATAAGAACCGAGACATGCAAGAAATATAGTCCAATTGAAATATAAAAAATGTTAAAAAGGAAAAACATTATATTTGACATTAACTTATCCATCTGACTCGTAGGCAACATGAAACTGAGAAACCATGCAAAGGGGGAATGAAAATGGCGCGGTTGGTTAAGGATATGGAGGGTATGTATAGCACGTAGCGTACAATTTTGTAGAGGAGTCATATAGGTTAGTTGGACACCTAGCCGCTGCACATCACACACTCTTCTTTGTTCTCAATGCTGCCTGAAAATAGTTAGTTTCCATGCTGAAAGGATCCGTCTAATTAATGTTGGTGATAACTTACAGGCAAGAACTTTTTGCGAGTAAATGTCTGCCTCTGTCTGGGCATCGCCTTTTTCATCCTTCGACTCAGCCTCGCCCGCCTTCTCCGCTGACTTGTCTTCAATAGCAGCCTTAGAGCTTGGCATCGGGGTAGGTCTAGATTCTTCATCTGGTGTAGTCTTTTTGGATACAGGAGTTGAAACTGCCTGCTGTGTTCCATCATACATGGGACGAGGAACGGCGGAATAAGAGGCTCCTGGGCTGGCAGCGCCAACACGTTTTCTCATAGCTGCATTTGTGCGTGCAACGTTGGTGTCAACAACCTTGAGTTGCTCTTGGTCTACTGTGAATTGAATTGGAGCAGACGCAGCCATGGTACGGAGATAGTACATGCCGGTCTTGAGACCGAGCTTCCAGCCGGCGAAGTGCATACTGGTGATTTTTCCCATGGTAGGCTCTTTCAAGTGGATGTTGAGGGATTGAGACTGGTCAATGAAGGCGCCTCGATCAGCGGCCATCTGAACAATAGTACGTTGAGAAATTTCCCACACGGTCTTGTACAGAGCCTTGATATCTGCTGGGATATTAGGGATGTTTTGGATGGAGCCACCGTCGGCGATGATACGATTCTTCATATTGTCGGACCACAGGCCGAGATCGACTAGGTCTTTGAGCAGCCATGGGTTGACGACTTGGAACTCGCCAGCAAGCACGCGGCGTGAGTAGATGTTGGAAGTGTAAGGTTCAAAGCACTCGTTGAAGCCAAGAATCTGACTGGTGCTGGCAGTTGGCATGGGCGCAAGTAGTAAACTGTTACGGACACCGTGCTTGGAGATCTCAGCTTTAAGGCCATCCCAGTCCCAGAGGTCGGTTGGCGTTACGTTCCACATATCGTATTGAAGGATACCCTGAGAAACAGGAGAGCCTTCATAGGAGGAGTAGGGACCATCAACCTTGGCAAGCTCACACGATGCGGTCAACGCAGCATGGTAAAGGGTCTCGAAGATTTGGGTGTTCAAAAGTTTGGCTTCGGGCGAGTCGAAGGGCAGTCGAAGAGCGAGGAAAGCATCAGCAAGGCCCTGGACGCCGACAGCAATGGGACGATGACGGAAATTGCTTCGTCGTGCCTCTTCAACTGGGTAGTGGTTCCCGTCTATGATTCTGTTCAAGTTTCTGACAACGACCTGAGTAACTTCATGGAGTTTGCCAAAATCGTATTCCCCGCGAACAGCATCCACAAAGGTAGGAAGGGCGATGGATGCCAAGTTGCAAACTGCAACCTCATCTGGGGCGGTATATTCAACGATTTCAGTGCAAAGATTTGAGCTACGGATGGTACCAAGGTTCTTCTGGTTGCTCTTTCGGTTGCAGGAATCCTTGTAAAGCATAAAGGGGTTTCCAGTCTCCGTCTGGGCCTCAAGAATGGCGTACCACAGCTTCTGGGCCTTGATGGTTGTCCGGCCTCGACCTTCCTTCTCGTATCTAGAAATGGGGGTTAGTGGCGTCGTATTGAGTATATATGACTGAAAGATGCGGAGAGAACACTAACTTTTCATACAAAGCCTCAAACTCTTCTCCGTAGACATCAGCCAAGCCAGGAGCCTCATTGGGGCAGAATAGGGTCCAATCGCCATTCTTTTCAACTCGCTTCATGAACAAATCAGGAGTCCACAAGGCCAAGAAGAGATCACGGGCACGGACTTCTTCCTTTCCATGGTTCTTGCGGAGGTCAAGGAACTCAAAGATATCAGCGTGCCATGGCTCCAGGTAGATAGCAAAGGCACCTGGACGCTTGTTGCCGCCCTGGTCGACATATCTGGCCGTGTTGTTGAACACACGAAGCATGGGGACGATTCCGTTGGAGGAGCCGTTGGTTCCAGCAATGTAGGATCCGGTGGCACGGATACGGTGGACGTTAAGACCGATACCTCCGGCAGTCTTTGAGATCAAAGCACAGGTCTTCAGTGTGTCGTAGATACCTTCGATACTGTCCTCCTTCATGTCAATCAGGAAGCAGGAAGCCATTTGCGGTTGCGGGGTTCCGGCATTGAAGAGAGTGGGAGAGGCATGGGTGAAGTATTTCTGGGACATGAGATTGTAGGTTTCAATTACTTTCTCAACGTCCTCACCGTGGATACCAACGGCAACTCGCATTATCATATGCTGTGGCCGCTCGGCAACCTTGCCGTTGGTTCGTAGCAGGTATGACCGTTCAAGTGTCTTGAAGCCGAAGTACTGGTAGTTAAAGTCACGGTCGTACACAATAGCCGAGTTGAGTTCTTCAGCATGTTTCATGACGATCTCCCGAGTCTTCTCAGATATCATGGGAGCTGGCCGGCCGTTCTTTGGGTTGACATAGTGATAGAGATCCTCTATGACGGACGAGAATTGCTTCTTGGTTTGTTTGTGGAGGTTCGACACTGCTATTCTTGCAGCAAGAATAGCATAGTCTGGATGGGTCACGGTCATGTACGCAGCAGTTTCGGCGGCCTGTGAGCCTCCCGTCAGTTACTTTGCCACAACTTCGGTGTAATAGATACGGGGACGGGAAGAGACAAGAGACGCACCAGGTTGTCGAGTTCGACTGTGGTAACCCCCTGGTAAACACCGGAGATGACTCTCTGTGTGATTGCAGCTGCGTCGACATGTTCGGGGTCAAGGCCATAGCACAGTCTCGAGACGCGGGCAGTGATCTTGTCGAACTGCACTCGCTCCTTGCGGCCGTCTAGCACCATGTTAGCACCCATCTGCAGCCAAATAACGGCCCTGCAAGGGTCTGGGGAGACGTACCTCTCTTGTAGACGAACATCTTGCAGGCAGTGCTCTAGGGTCTATGCCGGCGGCGGGGGAACAGAACAGTACGTGAAGGGCTGCGTGTTCCGGTCGACGATGCTCCTTCGGTGCAGGGACTGCCTTCTCTGAGCCAGCAGATGACGAGCAGAGGCGGACAGGACGGCTGTTTAAGGTTGGTGATGGTGATGCTGGTCTTTGCTATCTCGCTGGCGTTGTTGCTGGCGGTTTTTTTTGCAGTCGAAGAAGAGTTCGCGATTTCAACTTTCGCGGCGCGAGAAATTTCCAATTTATAGAAAGCGACGCGTCTTTCTTCTTTTGGGACGCGGTGAGGAGAGGCAGAAAAAGAGTGGAAAGAGGGCGTGATCACGTGATGATGTCAAACGCGCTTTTTTTTCTTTTTTTTTTTTTTATTTGATTCGATATTATTATTATTATTATCATAATTATTATAATTATAATTATTATTATTAATGATTGATGCTGTTTTTAGATAGCTTTAAGACTTGTTTTATATGACGACATATGTAGATTTAAGAGAGGAAAAGAAAAGGGGAAAAGAGAGATAGAGATCGATCTCAGGGTGGACTCTCGAGATAAGAGAGAGACGCAGTAATAAGAGACAAGATTATACAGCAAGGAATGGGAAATGTACAAAACGACGCACACGGTGCACGTCACGATGCTTCTAATTTGCTATTGTACACTATGTATATTTGGTGCCGCTGCATAGTGGATAGTGGAAGCAATGCGGAAAGGGCAGATACAAGATGCGATGCAAGAAGTATTGGCTGGGCAGCAAAGACCGAACGACAGCGCTCTACATGGCAAGGGCTCCGACAATGGCAAAAACAAGAGCGATGAACACCGAGTCGGCCTTCTGGAGCGAGCCGACGTTGGACTCGGTGTATGGAGGCGTGGTGCTGGTGGGAGACGATCCCATGCCGGAGCTGGGCTTGGAGCCAGAGCCAGAGCTGGGGCGGGAGCCGGAGCCGGAGACGGAGGAAGTCTGAGACGGCGAGGAGGAAGAGGTAGTGTTGGCATGAATGAGAGCTGGAAAATTTTTGTTTTCTTGTTAGTTCTCTTCGGACACTGCAGAGGGGGAGCGTTGTGGGATGATGTCGGGAAATGCACATACTGATCTTGAATCCGGCCTCACCGCAAGACTGCTTGTAGGACTGCAGGGCTTCCTTGGTGCTGCTCCCGCATTTCTGGGCAATCTCCTTCTGGACGCCATCACTGCCAGAACCGCAGAGGTGGTCGAAGTCACCGGGATGTCCGCCGGAGCTATTGAACGAACGGCCTGTTAGCCCTGCATCTCGACCACCCTCACCCATCCACACCACTGGGCAGAGAAACTACATACCTGACCACCTCGAGCAGACATGCAGGAGGCAAGGCCGCGACAACGCTGCAGAGAGCGAGGAAGAGGAAAGCAAGGACGGATCTGGCCAACATGACGGCGGTTGATCGGGGTCAGCAGGAGACGGGAGACGGGCTAGAGAGAGAGAGAAGAAAAAAAAAAAAGGAGACAGCGGGTGCGTCGAGCGTGAGATTGAAGCGACAGACGGGCGTGTAATGAGCGTGGTAGACCGGGCTACTGAGGAGGAACGAGCGAGCGAAGTTGGTGAGCGAGCAGTGAAAGGAGAGCAAGCAAGGCCGGCTGTGGCTGACGATGCGGAAGATGAAGAAGAGGAAAAGGAAGAAGAAACGGAAGAAAAAGAAGTCGGCCCTGCCAAGCCGTCCAGGGCATCCCAAACACGTTACTTGCTGGCTCCTTGCCACCCGGGGCGGGCTGGACCATGGAGCATTTACCCGTCGCCGGGCAGGGCGCTGGCGCTGGTTGGCCCCAGGGCTGCAAAGGGGCCGCAAAGGGGCATCTCGAGGGTTGTCTAGACGTCGTGGACGAGGGAAGAGAGAGTCGAAAGCACATGCGTTGTACTACCTGCCTGCAACTAGTTGAAGTAGCTAAGGGGTCTTCCACCGCGCGTCCTCCCTGCTGGCTACGATCTCGGCCACGGGCAGACGGTTATCTACAATCTCCCGCCCGTTGACCAGGTCGTTCTCTCGCGCCCGCTTGTCGGCCTCCTCCTCGTCCTTTGCAATGCCGGCACGGACATGCCGCTTGACCAGCCGCTGCCTGGCTACCTCAAAGTCCACCTCCACGAACCACAGCTCGTCCAGCAGCGCGGCGGCATCGCTCCACGGCTTCTTGTCGAGAGCGAGGTAGTTGCCCTCAAACAGCAGTATCCGCGCCGTGGGGGGGATGGGGATGTCGTTCTCGACGGGGTCCTTGACGGCGTGGTCGAAGCTGGGCGCATAGAGCGTCGGAGAGCTCGTGGTCAGCGGGCTGCGGAGCGAGTTGATCAACGCTGTCAGCTTCGTGGGATCGAAGGTGAACGCGGCCCCGCGGCGGGCAAAGGCGAGCACCGGGTCGGGCATGGCTGACAGCTGGGCTCGTGTGAGGTGGTAGCCGTCCATGGCGATGCAGGCAGCCACGGGAGACGGGCTCATCGCGTTGAGCCGGTGGACGACGGCCGTTGCCAGCGAGGTCTTGCCCGAGCCGGGGATGCCGCTGATGCCCACCATGTAGCGCGCTGTCGGCTCCGTCGATTGGAAGGCCCCTACGCGAAGAAATTTGTATGTGAGTTAAAGCACCCTGCCCTGCCCGTAGGTTAACTAGGTAGATTGATATAGAGGTCGGTCGCATACCCCATACTTTCTGGGCCAGGCGCTCGACCTGGTCGTCCATGGTTTTCAGCCTGTCCGCTGGTTACGTGGAGATATACACTGGGTTCAGAGCACTCTGTCGGCCGCCAGCAGTGACGGGATGTAGTGATATCGTTGTCCGGGTCTCTCTTCTCTGGCCCTGACGGAGGCTGATCCGTGGATGCTGCGGGATGCCCGCTGAGGTTACGTAAGCAGCTAGTCAGTCCAAACCGCCGTCTATCAAGAACGGATTTCAAGGCAAGATCAAGACAAAACAAGACAAAACAAGGTGGGAATGCGGAGCTAACATCAAGATAGCTGTGGGAACCGCTCCAGGGTGCCCGGGGGGATGTTCACTGCCTTAGGTCAACTTGGCTTCTGCCGGAGCAGGATTCTCCTCGAAGACCGAGTCTACTACATCCAGCCTGGAGAGGAACAATTGCATGCCTCTGCTCTCGTCTTTTTCAGTATAATAGCTATTAGATATATTCGTCTTTATTCTTTGAGGCAACGGAATATATCGGTTCAGACTGGGAGAGAAATTTTGTACTATGAAAAGTGCAGGGCAGGTGCTTACTATACTAACTCTATAGAGGATAAGGCCCGAGGTGCGTGCGATCCGGATACTATATAGAGCATGCGGGAGATATTACATACAAGACAGGGGCCTGATCAGGCTTTTCTAGTCAATAATTGTCTTAAACTTGGTTGTTGTGCTGCTGTTCGGGGGATTTTGAATAATATAATATGCGGAAGTGGAGCTTCGTAGAAAACAGGATTTAAGCTTAAAACAGCGCAGCGGGAACGGACAAAAACTTCGTGCTTCTTCCCGCCCTTTAGGTATCCTTGCCCTCGGCAGTATTCATAGTATTCATGGACAGGTCGTGGGTTTGATGTGACTGATATTAACGTAGAGACGCGGCTGTAAAGAGTAAACTGACAATTATAAATCTGACATCGCCTCCCTGAAAACCAACGTAAAATACGGCGCCATTTTGTTGTAGGGGAAAAAAAAAAAATAAGATATGGCTACACAGTAATATATATATGGCCGTCATATCTAAGAAGAGGAAAGAGTCATAATGCGTGAAATTCGCGGGTAGCAAGTTGAAGAGGCCAGCTCTTCCAACAAGAAGAGAGAATACGCGGTTCACTCGGCGTTTTGATCACGACTTAATTCACGGTTCAGTTCGCGATTAATGATGCGAGTGAGGCCGGCGGTCGCCCACCATTCATCGGGGATGTCATCTCGTCTGCTCAGAAGGTTGAGGGTGTCGTGGAGTAGTTGTAGGCCCGCTGCTTCATTCTCGAGTGTGAAGGAAGAAGCAGTCGGAGCGGAACTATCGGTGGGCGTGTTGCTCTCGGACTGGGGTTGTGCAGGGTTCTGTGTCTGCGTTGGCGTCTGCGATTGAGACTGCGATTGGCTTCGGGACTGACTAGGCCGTCTGTAGCCCCGATGCCGTTCTGGGTCGTGGTCTTCTGCCTCTGTGTCTGAGTTGTCGGAGGAAGAGATATAATCACAATTTGCAGGGAAGGAGGGAAACGGGTCAAACATTATATGCATGCGTGCAGAGACGGAGGAGCCAAAAGACGAACTGGGGGTGAGAGAGGTAGGTGCTGCGGTAGACGACCGTGAACCACCAGAGCCAGAAGCGGAGGCAGACGCAGTGGCGGAGGTGAAAGAGGAGTCTGCGCTGGGGAGATTGTTGTCCAGAGGGATGGTGTTGAGCAGCCTAGCCCAAGTGTCCGATACATCGGGCACTTCCTCGTCCGCAGACATGACAGATTCGGCCTGGGAAAAGGAGGGAGCGGGTATGGCTGAAGGTGAGTTCCGTGCAGTGGCTACAGAGCGGTGTCCTACGCGACGCAGGAGAGGCATACTGGCATCCATGGTTCCCTCAGTGGTAGAGGAATCCTCCGCTTCTGCGATGTTAGCCAGACTGGCATCCTCGGGATGAGCTGGTGCAAACCGGGGGGAATATGACGGGCGGCCCCGAAGAGAGTTGGGGGCCGCCAGAGGGAGTATGTCCTGGCCATGCAGGTCTCTGGGGATCCTCATGCGTCGGCCAGGAGAGGCATAGTTAACGCTATCGCGCAGTAGCCGGCGGCCTATCTCGCGACGACTGAGGCCCGCCGGCGCCTCTGCGCTGTCTAGACTGCCTGTGGTATGGTCTACCACCGGATTTCTGGCGATGCGAGGGAGTGGCAGCTCCCGGTCACTGCTGCGATCTCGGTCGATGGTCCGGGTGACAGGATCGAAGATCAGAGGCCGGTCCCTCAGGTCGCGGACAGTAGTAGAAGTAGTGCGGCGACTGGTCTGCAACCTGCTGAGTCTTCTGCTGGACTGTGGGTGCGGGTGCGGGCTGCGTCGAATCGAGGAGCGAGCAGCTGCGGTTGGGTCGGATGGCGGTTTAGAACCGGCCTCTGCAGAGACGCGAACGCCCGACCCGGCACTCGGACGCGTGCGAGATGCAGGAGGAGTGTAGTCAAGCCTGTCAGTCCGATGTTAGTGTATCTAGACGCGGTCCTGGGGGAAGGAGGACTGTTATGTTGGTGCTCGATGGCTGTGGTAAACAACTTACGGGATGCCCATGATTGCACAGCAACGGCGAGTATTATGATTATGGGAGGGGATAACAAGGGCAGAACAGGAGAAAACGAAGGTGAATCTCGAGATGCAAGCCAGCAGACGAGATGAATTATGACTGGGACCAGGTCGAGGGTCGAGGGTCGAGGCAGGCTGCGAGTGAAGCTGAACTGGCGGTGGTCTTGTCGATCGATCGATTTACGAGGATGAAACGCGCGAGACAACGAAGAATCTCAGCCACAGCCAATTATAGCCACGCGAGACTAGTTGAAGGCAAAACACGGAGCCCAGCAGCGGCAGCGGCAGCAGAGGAACACTTGGAGCAGGTCTATATCGCTTAGGGCTCCGTATATGCAGCCGAAGCTGAAGAATAAAAGACGATGCGGCCGCCTGGCCGGGGTGGGTGAGCGAGACCCTGAAACGCTGCGGAGGCGTAGAGACCGTCGCGGCCGGGCAGGACAACTGGAAGACAACTGCAAGATGACAGCGAGATGACAGCAAGATGACAGCAAGATGACTATCTCTGTCTTCTTCTCTTCCTTTTCTCTCCTTCTTCTGCTTTTCTTCTGCTTTTCTGCTTCTTCGACGTCGCTTTTTTCTTGGAGTTGAAAAAGAAACTTCACGTGACCAAGAGCCTCATCCGAAAGGGGAAGAAGAAAAAAACATCCGAAAAACGACTTCGAAAGCACCAAAAAAAAAGCCACGAAAAGGCCAGAAACGACACGAAAAGGCGGAAGAAACACCTGAGATTTGCCGTTTAACGACCGAGCCGGGCGACGAGAGACGATACACGCACGGAGAGCGAGACGCAGAAACAGGTTCTAGCATGGGCATTGGCTGAATGATTGACCTTGGCCTTGCCCGCATATCCCGCCTGGTGCCGGCCAGCTCGCTCGCCTGGAAGGCCATCCACGTCGCCGGCACCAACGGCAAGGGATCGATAGCTGGCTACCTGTCGTCGCTGCTGACGGCCGGCGGGCTTCGCTGCGGCTCGTTCACCTCGCCGCACCTGGTCGACCGCTGGGACTGCATCACCATCAACGAGCGCGCGGTGCAGGAGTCGCTCTTCCGCCATGTCGAGGAGCAGGTCAAGCGGCGGGACGCCAGCCTGGGAGTCGGCGCGACGGAGTTCGAGCTGCTGACGGCGACGGCCTTTGAGATCTTTCGGCAGGAAGACGTCGACGTGGGCGTTGTCGAGGTCGGGATGGGCGGCCGGCTGGACTCTACGAACATACTGACGAGCGAGAGCGTGCTCGTCTCGGTGATAGCCAACATCGGGCTCGACCACCAGGCCATCCTGGGCAGCACGCTGGCTGAAATTGCCGCTGAGAAGGCCGGGATCATGAAGCCCGGGGTGCCGTGTGTCGTTGACGGGACCAACGAGGAGCAGGTCAAGAGCGTGATCAGGCACCACGCGAGCAGGGCCAACACGACGGCCACCTTTGTCGAGCCGGACAGCATCGTCTCTGCCTACCCGCAGCTCCGGCAGCGATTCCACGACCTGGCGGCCCAGCCACACCAACGGTCGAACATTTCGTGCGCCGTTGCTGCCTTGGAACATGCTCTGCCGCGGCTGCGGGCAGACCTGAAGCCCACCGATCTGCTCCCGTTTCTGCCTCTCAACCCGCGCGCCGGCAGGCTGCAGCTCGTCGATCTCTGGCCCCTCATACCTCGCCGTGACTCTCCTGTGCTGCTGGACGGTGCGCACAACCCGCAGTCGGCCAAAGTGCTGGCCTCCTACGTGGACCAGACCCTGCGCCGCCCGGAGGCAAACATCACCTGGGTGATCGCCGCGTCTCAGGGTAAAGACCTACCAGAGCTGTTTGGCAGCTTGCTCAGGCCGGGGGACAATGTGGCAGCCGTTCAGTTCGGCCCTGTGGACGGCATGCCCTGGGTCAGAAGTGTGCCCACCGCCGAACTGCTCGCAACGGCCAGGTCTATCACCACCAGCAGCAGCCGTGGCACAACCACTCAGTTTGGACACGACATCCCCCAGGCACTGCAGTGGGCACACCTCACCGCCGCTGACAACCCCATCGTCATTGCCGGCAGTCTCTATCTTGTCTCTGATGTCTTGCGTCTGCTCCGCCAGACAGCCGCTGCCGAAGCAGAAGAAGCAGCAGCAGCATCAGACACCGCCGTGGCTCGCACCGCCGCCTCTGTATAATACTAATTCATGCATATACATATACACTTCTTTGTACTAGACTTTGGGATAATCCGGTTTTCTATAGATCTACAAACAGCTCTATCCCCCCCTTTTCCCCCCAGACTTGTCTCTCCTTAGCATTTACCCGAGGTCGTACAGCAGCGAGACGACCAGGGGATGCGCCCTCTAGCGCAGTAGACTCCCTCTGCCTCTAATGGCTGTAGATGTAGCGAGCTGTAGCCGTTTCTCTCTCTCTCTTTCTCTCTTCTCTTCCTCTTCCTCTCTCTCTCTCTCTCTCTGTCTGATAAGCAACGCCCCGATAGAAGCGCCAAAAGAGCCCCCGCTCACCCTTAAATTTCTTCTTCCTCAGAGACGCAACGAAACGAGGGCCAAAAAAAAAGCAAAGGAAGAGCACTCGCATGCTGGAGAAAACATCGCTGCAGGCCGCGAGGACGCTCCCTGTTTGCTGACCTGACTGACAGACCGACAGACCGACAGACTGACAGCTCCCTCCGCCCCCTGCTCGCTTCTGCTAACTAACCTAGTTACTCCCTGCATCGCTTTCGTGTCGTCCGCCGCCATCGCCAACGCCGTCCCGCAGACGCAGCCGCAGCCGCAGCCACAGACGCAGACGCAGACACAGACACAGACACAGGCGGAAGCGCACAGAGAGACGCAGCGACAGAGAGACATCGACGGGCTCATCGACTCCACCATCGAATGCTGTAACTCCCGCTGGCTCGCCGTCCGCGTCCCCGACTGACATGACCAGACCACAGCCGTCGCCACTACTACAAACATCCCCTTCTTCTCCCCATACACCGCAAGTCCGCTGCCTCCCCGCGAGCAGACGCAGGCATAGCACGGCTGCTCCCCCGCTAGCAAACAGACGCAGACACGCAGACACGCACTGCACGCACCGGCCGAACGATGGTGGTGTCCCGACCCCGCGAGCGCGAGCAACAGGATAATGGAGACGCCAGCGCCACCCGCACCTCAAATACCCCTACCAGGAGGATGTCGAGAGCTGACTCCAGCCCGCCCAAGAAGGACCGGGACAGGGAGAGGGACCGGGACAGGGACAGGGACCGGCAGATCAAGTCCTCGGCCAAAGACGTCGCGGAACTCACTGACTTTGTATGTCTTCTCTATCTTGCCGTGAGGGAGGGAGAGAGAAAGAGAAAGAGAGAGGAGGGGCGGGAGTTGACAGACAGTGAATGGATGGAATGGCTAATGTGCCTCTACAATAGCAATTAGGGGACTGCCTGGGCAAAGGTGCCTTCGGGTCTGTCTACAGAGCTCTGAATTGGGGCACCGGCGAGACAGTTGCCGTCAAGCAGATACGGCTGGCGGATCTGCCAAAAAGTGAGCTGAGGGTTATCATGGTAAGTGGCCCATTGAGCGGACACACGCATATATCTACACATAGCTCGGTTTTGATCTAATACGTTACCCTCTGCAGCAAGAAATAGACCTGTTGAAGAATCTAGATGTAAGTTGCGGGCCGGCTTGAGATTCCCCCCCCCCCCCCCCCTTGGATCAGGAACCCGACATCAAATCCACGGCTCCTAATATGCTTACCCGTCATAGCATCCAAATATCGTCAAGTACCATGGTTTTGTAAAGTCTGCCGAAACCCTAAACATCATATTAGAGTATGTACCTTTCTTATCTCTACCCTTCTGTTTGTCTGCCTGTCTGTCTCAGAATATAGATCTAACACGTCTGATAGGTACTGCGAAAACGGCTCGCTGCATTCGATCTCCAAGAACTTTGGCCGGTTCCCTGAGAACTTGGTTGGACTATATATGTCTCAGGTCCTCCACGGATTGCTATATCTGCACGAACAAGGTGTCATACACAGGGACATAAAGGGCGCAAACATCTTGACTACAAAGCAGGGCCTAGTGAAGCTTGCGGATTTTGGTGTCGCCAGCCGAACTACGGGTCTTCATGAGTCCAGCGTCGTCGGAACACCGTACTGGATGGCTCCCGAGGTTATTGAACTATCCGGTGCTACAACAGCTTCGGATATATGGAGTTTAGGCTCAACTGTTATAGAACTGCTTGAAGGGAAGCCGCCGTACTATAAATTCCAACCCATGCAGGCCTTATTCCGCATTGTCAATGACGACCACCCCCCGCTGCCCCAGGGCGCTTCTCCTGTGAGTTTCCTTTATTTATCTTTGATTCTGGCCTTGGTGTTCTACTATGATGATAGCTGCTAATAACCTAAACTAGGCCGTACGGGACTTCCTGATGCAGTGCTTTCAGAAGGACCCGAATCTACGGGTGTCTGCCAGGAAATTGCTCAAACACCCATGGATAGTGAATGTTCGTCGATGTGACTCCGTTGTCCCCAAGAAATCAACAGAGTACGAAGAGGCAGTCAGGAGCGTTCAGGAGTGGAACGAAGCACTTCGGTCCCCTAATTCAAATGCCATCCGCAAGCCCTCCCAGCACCAGCAACCAGGAATAGGGAGTAGCCCTATCTCAACGCAAAAGGAACCTAACCCTCTAAATATACCAAACCGAGACACCTCGTCTCTATTAAACATGAATGCTGCAGAAAAGTATCGCTCCCCAGAGAACACCAACGATGATAATTGGGACGACGACTTTGCCTCTGCCATCTCTCCCGGTGCACTTCACCTGCCACACCTCAAACCACAAGATAATTTCGACGGAATGCTATCTCCTGAAAAATTGAAAGCCTTTGCATCTCTTGAAGGCATAACGGAGCTCTGCCAGACAGATAACCCCGGTATAGACAATGACGGCCAGATTAACGATGCCATGAATAATGACGAACCCGACCCCTTGCAAACTATTCGGCCACGTTCTCGAAGGTCTTTTGATGACGAAGTTATGCCACCACGCAGCCCACGCAGAAGGCATAGACAATACCCGGTTTCTGCGTTTAGGAGAGGGCCGATTATATCGTCGACGTCAGGAGCGGTGAAACCAATTCGTCAACGACCAGCAAATTTCTACGAAGAGAGCTCCGTCGAAGATTATTCAGATCTCATTGAAGCAAACGATGAAGTTCTGGAAAGTAAATTATCTGCCATGCCGGTAAGAACCAATTGGTTGTCCTCTTTTAGAATAAACAATTAATGCTAACCTAATGGTCTCTAGGGCATCGGACAAGACGAAAGTGCAGCCCATACACAGCCCGTAATGGGCCAAGAGATCTTCTCGGGAGATGAAAACACCCCCGTAAAACCAAGCGTACATAGGAGAAAGAGGTCAGAATTTGCTCGATCTCGATCAGCTATTGAGATAGAAATGTATGCAGAGGATGAGGCAGACGAGGACTTCTCTGATATTCTGGGCGACAATGAAAATACCCTTGTCAAACTGGAGAGTGAGGAGGGCTCAGATCGTAGCACCTTGATGCTCAATTCGAAACTATCAACAAACTCATGGCTGGGAGACATTGATGACGAGGATGATCCGTTTGCTCAGCTAGAGGAAGGCCTAGACGAACTCGACTTGGAAGCTAATATTGCACGAGATAAATATGCACGGCTACGCAATCAGGTGGAGGGACTTGTTAGCTCTTTGAAAACCTCACAGGACGACGAAGTTCTAGTGGATATCTCAGAGCAATTGGTACGTCACTTCTGCCTGCTGAATTTTTTATTCAACAGTGTGCTTACTAGACTTCTCTTAGATGACTATATTTTCAGATATGCCGGAAACAAAGTCTGTCATCATGAGTGCTCACGGAATGCTTCCTATTCTAGAAATTTTAGACACCTGCAGGCGCCGGGATGTAATTTCCAACTTGTTGAAAATTGTCAATGCTGTAGGTTATACAACGTCTTCTTCACCCCTATCGATGTGTTACTAATGTGATTGATAATAGATCATCTACAATGATTATGAGATTCAGGAAAATCTGTGTTTCGTTGGTGGCATCCCGATTATCAACAAGTTTGCTTCGAAGAAATACCCAAGGGAAATCCGTCTTGAGGCTGCGGCATTTGTCCAGCAAATGTACCAGACATCAACTCTGACATTGCAAATGTTTGTCAGTGCTGGTGGACTGAATGTCCTTGTCGAATTCCTTGAAGATGATTATGAGGATGAAAGAGAGCTTGTGCTTATCGGTGTCAATGGTATATGGAGTGTGTTTGAGTTACAGGTACGTATTAGGATTTAGATTATTCATTTGAAGCGGTTTATCAGTGACTAATTGAATTGTATAGGGATCAACTCCAAAGAATGACTTCTGTCGCATACTTTCTCGAAACTCGGTCTTGGATCCCTTGTCCCTCGTCTTGAGCAGAGTACTCGATGAGGAAGAGGGTGAAATGGCAGAGGTCTGCGAGGCTCGCATTTCTAACATCTTCTTCATATTCTCACAAGCCGAAAGCCACGTTAAAGAGATGGTGGCAGAGAGAACCGTATTGCATCGTAAGTACAGCCCATTAACTCAAGTGAATATATATCTGGCAGATGTTGACGCTTCTCTCAGGTGTATTGAAAGAATTGAAGAGAATGTCACCCACTCCTCAGATAACGATGCTCAAATTTATAAAAAACCTCTCCATGCTGTCCACAACTCTTGATTCTCTCCAAAACTCAAATGCTATTGACGTTCTAACTGAACTTCTCCGATCAACAATGAAAAAGCCTCATTTCCGCGAAGTATCAAATCAGATACTAAACACTATCTATAATATGTGCCGTCTAAGCAAGTCAAGGCAAGAAGACGCTGCTTTGAACGGCATAATACCTTTACTACAAAAAATTGTTAAAACAGAACGGCCATTGAAAGAGTTTGCACTTCCTATTCTCTGTGACATGGCGCATTCTGGCAAGGTTGGGCGCCGTGAACTTTGGCGTAACAAGGGGTTGACATTTTATATTTCCTTGCTCTCGGATCCATACTGGCAGGTCACAACTCTGGATGCTATTTTTACTTGGTGAGCGCTCCTTGTCGTGTTTGGATTGTAGAATTATCCTCTTTTTACTAATAAGTATTATCAGGCTCCAAGAAGAAACCGCCAAAGTTGAAGAGTACCTCCTCGATACCCAACATGGAGACTCTTCCTTCACTATAGCCATTATCCGATGCATGACAATATCAAAAGCCAATGCCTTTGAGAACCTCCTTGAGCCTTTGCAAAAGTTGCTTCGGCTAAGTCCCGCCATTGCAGCTACCTTTGCCAGGCCCGATATGTTTGAACGCATTGGGCAAAAACTACAGCATACTAAGCCATCCGTTAGAGTGAACTTACTGCGAATCCTATCTACGATATGCGATTCCAGCCAGGAACAATGTGGCCTGCTTCGTCGCTACGGTTTACTTGATGCTATACGAGAACTGCAGAAAGACTCTCGTGTCCTTGTGAGAGAGCTCGCGGGTCAACTAGTAAAGAACAGCGAAGATAGCGATAATGCAAGTTTGAATGGGTCAAAACGAAGGCAAAGACGAAGAAGCACCTCTACAGCTGCTCCACCTAGCCTAATATCCAGCCACTCCATGCCAGCTTCGCCTCAAGTGACTAGACCAATTTCCCAAAAGCCATATTACGAAGGCCGAGAGTCTTCTCGCCGTCAGAACGGACTCGATAGTTCTCTAAACCTCCGTCCTGGGAGCCGGGATGGTGGAAGGCCGCCAAATATTCATCCTGGTTTGTCGGGCAACGGCAGCACAGGATTACCGGGCAAGACGCCGCGACTGAATCATAGGTTATCACAACAAATACTTCCCGGCTCACCGCAAAAGGAAGAAATCAGGACCCCTACCACAACACGAACACCGTCCCTCCTTCAACCATCATCAAGGAGGCGCAGACAAACTAATACCAGCTCAAACTGGTCTTGAAAACGGCACGGGGACCTTGAGGTGCTGGAGGCCGTCTGTATTAATTAGAGCGGTTTGGAGTCGGTGCATTTGGTTTGTAGGGAGTTTTCAGTTTATCTTCCTTATGTAGGCGCAAAAACGGGGCATGCCGACTTTCCCTCCTCGTTCTGAGTACGGTGCAGCATGTCTTGTTTCATAACATTTGAAGGTTTGGACTTGAAGCCATAATTCAACTTACTTTATCCTTCCTTTATATACATTTATGCATGCTGTATATATGTACTATTACTTGTTACTGGGAAGGTTGTGTGGTCTGGGATGAGGATTGGCTGTGAAATACATATACAGTGGAATGAGCGCTAAATTTTTTTAATGAGTTGCGAGTGCCGCCGGACTACCATTTCCAAGCATTACCATTGCAGTTGCGTAAGAAGGCCAAATAGAAGCAAAGCATACAAGCCCTTGCCAAATTAGGGCATGAGTGTAGCATAACTCATCCCCCTTGAGGTTCATGGTGCATTCAACATAAAAGAGAGGCCGTAAGTTAAAATAGGTTTAGTAATCGTCACCGCGACTGATGACTTCTTTGACATTTGGACGGAGCAAGATAGTCTGTTAGTTTGGTTAGTGAGAGGAGAATATGAAAATTTAGCAGCTACCGTGGCTGGAATAAGACTTACATGCTCGAACTGGGCGGTATAAGATCCCTTCACATCACAGAGTGGAGGGTAAGCATCGACAAGTCCAGAGGAGACTAAGTTGTTCAACTATATATGAATGTCAGTGGGTGTAAGTAGATGTTTTGTAAGAATGCTACCTACCCCAAGAAGGTACTTTTCCTGTCCGAGACGATCAAGATATCGACGGCAGAAAGGTAGGGTGCCGAAGTTCTTGTTAATAAGACTATACAAGTTCTTTGCAGAAGACAATCGAAGAGGCACGCTTGGAGCATTTGGGACTTTAGCGTAGTGAGATGTTTCCATCTGTTCGTTTATACTGGGTTAGTATACCAAGCATATCAAACTGAGAACTGATAATGAAATAGTATAAGGAGCCACTTACATCATCTCTAACATATCCCTTTCCGGTACTGCCAAAGGTTTCGATAGCATAGGTTTCACCCTCTTCCATCTTGGTCTGGTCACCACCTTTGACAATCGGGACACTCTTGCCGTTGACTCCACCATGAATTTCATACTGGCCGATTGTGTGGCCATTCAGGTTACGAATTGCCTTGATAGGATAGGATGTTCCATTGAGTTCGAGCTCGTAACTCTCCATCGTCTCCTGGATCGCTGCGCCGATATCACTCATGCGGACATCGATACCAGCTTCCTGAATGGAATTACGTCGTTAGCCAAGGATTCAGTCAGCATATATTGGGGGTCAACATAAACATACTTTGATTCCGGTGTTAGTTGCCTCCTTGACGGCGGTAAGCAGAGGGTCAAAAACAGGATCAAATGCAACGGTGAAGGCGCTGTCGACGATTCTGCCATTGATGTGGACGCCAAAATCCACCTTCATGACATCACCGTGTTGAAGAACGACCTTGTTCCCGGCATTGGGAGAATAATGAGCTGCACAGTGGTTGATGTTCAATCCGGTAGGGAAGCCCATTCCGGCAACCAAGCTGTCTCCCTCTTCCAAACCCATGTGGCCGGTCAGGTGGCGGACTCCGTCCTCGATACCCTCCGCGATATCGGTAAGGGTGGCACCAGGCTTGATCAGCTCCTTTTGGGCATACTGACGGACCTGACGGTGGATCTCAGCGGCCTGGCGGTATTCAGTGAGGAAATCATTGTTCATACGATCAAGGTGTCGCTTCTCTTCGTTTGTGGTACGGTAGGAATTTTCGTTTAGATACTCCACGATTTCTCCTTCGGGGAAGTTGCTGTTGGGAAAGAGAGTGGTCAAGGGTATGCGAGGAGGACTCGATTGAACCTTGGCTGTCTTCTTCTTCTTCTTCGGCCTCTTCTTTTTCTTCTTCTTCTCCGCTACAGTTAAATATCGACTTTAGCATTATTGCTTTCCCGCAGGGTCCATGCAGGCGCGCGAGTGTCAAAACGAACCATTTACTTCGGCAGAGCCGCCCGCCTGCTCATCATCTCTGTCATCGTCGGAATCTCCTTCATTCTCAGCCTCTTCTTTTTCCGAACCACCAGCTGAGACAGCGTTGGCCTCGACAGAGCCGGTATTCTTGTTCACTAAAAAGGATTCTGTGTTAGATTCCCTATGGCTAGCCACACATTGCAAGGGCTATGATGGGGGGCATAAAAAGGGGGAATAATAACAATAACTTACAGTCAAGCTTCGCGAGCTCCGGGGCAGCCTGAGCAGCCATTATGGAGCAAATCGAGGTATTCAAATCTGTGGATGGTTGGGTTTTTGTTCCTTTTGGGCGGGAAGTGGGTTGGTTTTATACAGGTTTCTCGTATAGTTAACTAGTTAATTCTACCGTTGCTGGGAAAAATATTTTAGCGAACAACAAAAAGCTCGTTCTTGGAATCCCTGCATGTGACTCCGCTGGGATTTAGAAAAGAGCCGGGCCTGTACAATGCAAACAGAAGAGAGAAACCAAGCGGCGCTCTTCCGGTAGAGACTAGAGACTCTCTGCTTGTGTGTTCGTTTCCTCGCTGTCTCCGTCGTTACTGCGGGCGCGACTAAGAGCGGTCATGTGACCTTATCGGCGATAAGCTAGTTCGTCAACCTAACCAGCTTTGACCTACGTAGTTCGTTCCCTCAACTTCGTCCCGTCTGAAGATCGACTACGGACGTATATAGAACGACCCAAGGGTTGAGACGACAGCAGCCGCAGCAGCTGGAGAGCAGGCACGAGATATGAAGGAATGCCGTTTTGCTCCCATCCCCCGTGGCTGCGACATTCTCCGGCTTCCCTCTTCCGCGCTCCGGTAACACGGCTCACTTGCTACGGCTGCAACGCCTTCTCCTCCACGGCTTTCCGCGCTGCAGCTCAAACATATTATGACATACTCGGTGTGCCAGTCACTGCAACGACAGATGAGATCAAAAAGTACGCAATTGGCTCCCTGTCATGCGGCATTTGCAACATTCCACTAACCGTTATCGTTATTCGCGCGCGATGAGCAGAAAGTTCTACGCTCTCTCCCTAGCCCATCATCCTGATAGAAACAAGGAACCAGGAGCAGCAGATAAATTCTCCTCTATATCATCGGCCTACCATGTCCTCGCTAATCCTAAGAAGCGCGCTCGATATGACCGAGAGAACAGCATTCGTATTCCTTCTGCTTCGAGTACAACCACTCGGCCTGGAACGGGTAGTTTCTCATCTGCGTCAACGTCAGCCGGGGGGTCACAGTTTGGCTCTCGCCCTGCGTCGGGGCTAAGTAAGCGCAGGGGAACTTTTAAGGGGCCTCCGCCTAGCTTTTATGCGAATGGTGGTTACGGGACAACCCAGAGACAGTCGCATGAGCATCAGGCTGGGCCGCACCAGCAGGAGCATCCTGAATATCATTATTCTGATGTTCCACATTTTGATGCCATGTCTCATCGGCGGACTCAGTCGCATGAGGATATGAGACGGCGAGCGAGGCGGGCTAGGAGCGTGGAAGAGCAGAAGAGACGAGTTGCGGAAGGACACTCGTTTGGAGGTGGATATGATGAGGGAAGCATGACGATGAGGTTTTTGGTTATATCGGGGATTCTGGCTGTGGCCATGCTGAGTGCAGGCCTTGGGAGGATGAAGATGAAAGAACCTGGTTTGCAGGAGCTGTCCGCGAGACAGAAAGAATCTCGAACAAAGTAGTATAGAAGTGATATGATGGGCTGACTTTGTACAATATTACTGCCAGACCAGACGATGACGGGGATGTATATAAATGGTATTAGACAGGAAAAAATGTAACCAAAGATGTAATAAATATGTCGAGTTCATCTCAAAGTCATGTGCATAAAAAGACCAAGGGCCAAATAATATGTGAATGGTATATGTAATAAAACAAACGAGCCAAGCATAATTGTATATAATACTAAGATGTGAAGGCAAATAGTTTATTTGGCTATAGAACTTTAATATATCAAGAGGAAACGCATAGTTCTGAGATAGTACAGGGGAACGCTAGAAGACAAAGCATTCGGTATGTTCCTATTAGCAGGTTATGGGTTAACAGGTTAAGTAGTGCTACGGTGGGTAGCACTGATTTAACCCTCGAAGGTGAAGCTGGCGCCAACCTTGTGGGCGGCCTGGTTAAGGTTCTGGGTATCGAAGGAAGCTCCGAGGCCGAGGGTGACACCTGGGCGGAGGAGGACGTTGTAGGCAAGGGCGGCAATACCGCGGTCGTTGATCTTAGCCTATAGTCGTGATGGTAAGCATAGTCTCGGGCCAGGAGAGTTGAGGTTAGGAATATATACCTTGGCGAAGGAGGATGGGTCAAGTCTGTACTTGCTGGCAACCTCAAGGCCAACGGTGTTTCCGGACTTGGAGTCCCAGGTGGCCTTGGCGCCAGCCTCGACCTGGGCGTTGACGCGGTGGTAGTAGCTGGCAGCGAAGACAGAGAGGTTGTTGGAGGCAGTGATGGCGGCAGAGTACTCTGGGAGAGAGTAGGCGACGGCAGCAGAGTACTTGGTGATGGCGGCCTTCTGGACGTCATAACCACCCTCGGCACCGACGAGGAAGCCCTCGTGGCCGAGGACGGCGTCGAAGTTGGCAGTTGGGCCCTTGAGGAGGTCAAAGAAGGCACGGGTGTGCAGGTTTGGCTGCTTGAAGTGGAGATTCAACTTGGCACCCTTGGACTGGGAGTAAGGGATGTACTGTGTGAGAACCTCGGCCTTGAGACCCTTGGTGATGTTGTTGTCGAGCTCGAGCTTGGTGTCGAGGGCGTTTCCGGTGGTCCACATCTGGGTGAGAGTGAGGCCTAGTAGCAGTCAGTCGCTTGGGCTCAATTGGCTACTAGCTAGCTTCAGCAAGTCGGTGTATATTTATTTACCGGATGGAGCATCGACGTATTTGGCCTCAAGCTGTATGTAGGACAAAGGAAGGTTAGCAATTGTAACGAGACAAAATATCCGAATACCCGAGACTTACGGATCCAGCAATGGAGCCCTCGTGGGCAGACTTTCCCTTCACATTGAAGGTAACGCCATTGGGGGCCTTGGACTTGACCTCGAGGCTGGCTGTGGTGCAATTGAGTTGGTCAGCGCTTAAGCTTAAAAGAACAACATCACCAGCGACGACAACGACATCACAGCAACGGAAACAATTGATAAAGAGCTCTGCATACCTGGGCTGGTGTGGTAGAAGTCCTTGTTCAGGAGCTGTAGGATATGCGATTAGCGTGCTGCCTCTCATACTCCGAGAGTGATGTGGAGAGCGAAGTTGTTGGGGGGAAGTTTGGGGAGGGGCGCCCTTTAAGCAACGCGCAAAGGAAGAGGAAGCCGTACATCATTGGCAGCCTTAGCAATGTCACTGTAAGCAGCTGGGGCAGACATGGTGAAGACGGAAGTCCTTGGACGAGACTTGAAGATGGCGTTGATGAAGGTGACGGAGGTTGGTGAAGCTGGCGTTGCTGGCGTTGTTGTTGTTGGAGCGAAGAAGGAAAAAGACGGAAAGCGAGAAAGAAAAAAAGACGGGAAAAAGACGATAGGTCACGTGGAGAGCAGGGCCGCCGGGGCAACCTCAAACGGGCGTGGAAAAGGATGGCTTCCTATTGGCTGACCCCTTTCGCGTGATGTGCCTTTCATAAAAGCGCGGCCTGGACTTGATATATAAAAAAAAAAAAGGGCCGGGAGGAGAGAAGGTAGAAAGAAGAAGAAGAAGAATGACGGTCTATTAACTAGCTAGGTCCGAGATCTCGCTTTTAGTAGTTACAAAGAGAAAGAAGTAGTCAAGAACAAAGGGGAAGAGAAAGACAGGATGGATATACCCCCCCAGAGGAGAAGAGAAGAGAAAAAAAGCTGGTCAAAGGACTCTTTTCTTCTTACTGCTCGTACTTGGCGACGTGGGTGGAGATGGCCCTGGACAATGATGTTAGCATTGGACAAGGTAGAAAACTGGAAGGGGTAGAGAAGAGTAGACGAACCGTCCGCTGGGATCAGTCTGTTTGGACCAGGTTGGAGTCCATCTGCTGACGGTGGAAGCACAGTAAGGTGGGAAGTGCTCGTCGAACATCATGCGGTACCAATATCTGCAATCTTGTTAGTTTCTACCTACTCAATTGCAAATGAAGGAGGGAGCACGGAAATCAGGTAGACGTACGCCTCCTTCGAATCTGGAATGTCGTCTCCCCATTCAGGCCTGGGGTTCTTCATCATCTCGTCTGTGACATGCAGCTCGGCATTGTCTTTGAGCGCATCGATCCATCCATACCCAACACCGTCACTGAACTGCTCCTTCTGGCGCCACAGGTACTTCTCGGGAAGATACGGCTTCGTGTCAGGCTCATCAGTGGTGTCAAAGGCCTTACGAAGAATGTATTTCTCAATCCGTTCCTTGTTGATCATCTTCTCAGCGGGGTCAATACCCATGGCGTCTTCGAGGAACTGCTTGTCTAAGAAAGGCACGCGAGCCTCTACACCCCAGGCGGAGGTGGACTTGTTTGCGCGCAGACAATCGGCCAAATGTAAGTTCTTGACGCGGCGGACGGTTTCGGTATGGAAGGCGGCCTTGTCTGGTGCGGCGTGGAAGTACAGGTATCCACCGAAGATCTCATCACTTCCCTCTCCGCTGAGCACCATCTTGACGCCCATGCCCTTGATCTTCCTGCTGAGAAGATACATGGGTGTCGAGGCGCGGATGGTGGTCACATCATATGACTCGAGGTGGTAGATCACATCAGACAGGGCGTTGAGGCCGTCTTCAATGGTGAAGGTGAGGGCATGGTGCTTGGTCCCAAGGAACTCCGCCACTTCAATAGCAGCCTTGGTGTCGGGGGCGTTGGGCAGGCCAATGGAGAAGGAGTTGAGCTGTGGTAGGGTGCTGACAGTCGAGATCTCGTTGGTGTCATCGATTCCAACAAGGCCGGAGTCAGTCCCATTTGGACTGGTGCCGTTTGCTGCACCGTTCTGCAGCAATTCCTTCCGGGCAGCTTGCATCCTGAGCGTCTCACGCTGAGCGATCGAAGCAACCAAACTGGAGTCAAGTCCGCCGGAAAGAAGCACTCCATAAGGGACCTCTGCCATCAGACGTTTCCTCACGGCTTTCTCAAGACCTTCGCGGATCAATTTGTAGTTCACAGGGGCCGAGGGGACGTTGGTTGGATCCCACCACTTAGGCTGGAAGTATCTGGTCATTGTATCCGTCTTGGAGTCATAGACATGGCCTGGAGGAAAAGAGATGATCTTGTCACAGACAGGATGAAGAGACTTGAGCTCGGAAGCAAAGTAGACTGCTCCTGGTGTCTTGGAAGACCACCCTTGGTAGAAGCTTGTGATACCAATGGGGTCTCTGGCAGCTACCACGCGGTTCTCTTTCTTGTCGAAGAGGACCCAGGAGAACATGCCATCAAGATACTTGGGTGCATCAATGCCATGTTCCATATACTGTCAACTAGTAAGCACCCACGCTTATTGTATATATATCGAAGAGAAACTTACTAATGGGATGACTACTTCGCAGTCTGAGTGTGTCTTAAAGTTGTAGGGCACCTTCAGGCCCTTTCTGATGATTCGGTGATTGTATATCTCGCCATTGACTGCCAGCGCCAATGTCTCATCGTCGTTGACCAGGGGCTGAGCTCCAGAGTCTACAAGCATAAGCATCAGAAACCACTCCTGCCTACGGAGCATACCGGAACTTCAACATACCGACTCCGACGATACTCAATCGCTCGTGTGCAAGAACTAATGACTGTCAGCATGTCCCTTTCCCCCCTTTATATAAATTACTATCACTCACTTGTGTTGTTGGCAACGAAGTTTCCACTCCAGTCAGGTCCTCGATGGCGCAAGCTGTTCCATTGAATCTTGACTTAGCGACGTATGTCCTTTACCATCACTTTCACTCTACTCTTTTGGGGGATAAAATATGCTCTCTCTCGAAATGCACAGAAAGGCCGAAATAATGACTCACGCTTTCGCCATGCGCAACGCAGTCGGCTTGAACTGCTTCACATCGGGGTGACTAGAAGCAAATATCAGTAAGCACACAGTCCAAATACATCGCATAGGCCTCGATTGCCCATCCTGAAGCAGCAGAAGGAAAGAAAAGAAACTGCTGGTGAAGTCGACCGGGGCGGGAGTCATACCAATGGCAGGCAAATATGCCACACATCTTTGCGGCGGAGGTAAAGATATCACAGTAGAACCAACTATTGCAATCCAAGAAATCGCGAGTCCAATTGACCTGATCTCTGAAGCCTCTTGCTCTTCGTCTTTCTCGTGTCTTCTCTTCTTTCGCCTGTCTCTTCGGCCTTGTTCTCCTTGACTTGTGCTTCTTCTCCCGAGGGGCAATAAATTATTTTATAGGGTGGGAATCAAAGTTTTTGACTCACCCGGAGTAACAGAAAAAAAGAAAAAAGAAAAGGGAGAAAAAAGATAAGGACAAGAGCCGAAGCACTCAGGCTAGCTACCGGTTAGTCAGTCAGTCGTCAGGGAGCTTACATGGATAGCTATGTGTCTAGGAGGTGTCTGCGTAGAGAGTTGCTGCCCCCAGCTGCTGTGTCGCGGACTGTCTTCTGCTGCCCATCTGCCTCCCTGTCCTCCGATGACGGAGCTGGGCGCTTGAGCCTCGTGCCGCGCCAATCAGCTGCCAGCCAGGCGGTAATTTGCTTTCCACCCCTTGTCACCCTGATCGCGTGCAGGCAGGGGGAGACGAGGAAGAGCCAGGATGGTGCCGCGCAGGCGCCGTTTAGCGCTGAAGTGGTTTCTACAGAGTATCAGAAGCGAAAGTGCGAGATAATCTAATCAGGCCGTTGTCATAAACTCATAAACTAGACTTCTAAGTCTCCTACATAGACGAGTCCCCCAGTGGCATAGACCAAGTGGACAAGAAAAGATAGGGGGGGGCGAAAGTAGATCTGGACGGGAATTAACGCCGTGCTAACGTGCAGAATGAAAGAGAAAAACGATATAGAGAAATTTAGATGAAGCGTCGAATGAATCCGCAAGGCGTCGTGTCTCTAGACGGCAGGATGCTCCTTTACAACTTGCCGTACTTTCTTCTCGTAGGCAGGACGGTCCTTTTTGAATAAGTTGTAAGCCTCGGCCTGCGCAGGAGATTCAGGGTTCGGGTCATCGAGAAGGTCTTGTATTCCAAGAAGGATCTGCTTGATCGTAATCGCCGGTTTCCAGCCGTCGTCCTCTGCCAAGATGGACAGGCATACAGTTCCAGACGGGTAGACGTTCGGGTGGAAGAGCGGGGGAACAAATTTGCCTGCATTCATGGTCAGACACCTATCATGCATATATCTTCGGTTGTTGTCTGGTCAACATACATTTTGGGGGTTTTGTTGGGTATTCTGCGCAGAATCGAAAAAAGATATTGGTTAGCTTGATTTGGTTGACTGCCACAGAAATCAGTCTGCAAACTCACCGTCAGGGAAGATTAGATCGAGCTTGAACAGGCCACCGTCCCAGAGCGTCTTTGATTTCCCCGGTACTCCGCATTCCCATCTTTTCAGGTCGAGGGCGCCCTGGGGTGTTCGGTATGGCTTCGCGAAGAACCCAAACGGGTGGTCCCTTCGCCATTGTTTACTGCGCCGCCGGAGAAAAACAGCGTCAGTCCTCAGCACGGAGCTCATATAGATACGCATCGAAGGCACTCACCGTTCCTCAGTCAGTCTGTTTATACAGAGAGACATCTTGCCTGGTCTGAATGGGTCAAGTCGCTTGCTCGATAGCCGGTATGGTCTGACAGTGGCAAGAGGTTGAAAAAAGAAGAAACCCTGGATATGTCACGAATGAAAGGCTCCCTTTTATACCGTAACACGAACGACATAAACTAAACAGTCACTTCTCCCTCTTCACACTTCTTGATCTTCTGCTGCGTGATCTTCTTTCTTCTTTGCTTGCTTTGGCTTCAAGATCGATAGAGTGAAAAAGAAAAAAGGCCAAGACTGACGTTCCAATTGGAAGTGGGGATGTCACGTGTCAGTCAAAACTCTCTCTCTCTCTCTGTTGGCAGCTTCTATAAATAAATCGCAGTTTTTGATAGGTAGTGATCTATCATAGCTTAAGTGTGCAGTTCTATCTACAAATACATAGGCATGACTGAAGTATTTTACTGTTGGCATTGCACTAATCATATATTCCCTCTTCGAATTTCTCGCTATCAAAAAAGCGGGCTGTTATTGTATTACCATTGAATATTCGGCCTTCGAGTGCATTAACCGCCTATATCTAACCGTTAGCAAGGTCTACACATCCAGCGATGGCTCCCCAAACTCACCCGCAAAGCAGATAGTTGATTGGTAAATTTGATGAAGACAGGGATCCTGTCTTTGCTGTTTCGATCAATGTAAACTCGCTCGACACGGCCGTACTGCGAATCTGTAAGTCCCCACTAGTCCAACCACAAGTTCAAGACGATATAAGGATGCCATACCTTTTCGCCGCACTCATCTCCAATCTCCTGCATTAGCTCGCCCGATTCTAGCTCCGCATCCAAGTCCAGTCCGTCTACCATTCCATGCAAAATAACAACGTCAGACATGGGGCCAAACTTCCCTTGCTCTTCCTGTTTTCTGCCACCACCGACGATTTTACCCCTTGGGCCACCAGGCGGAGCAACTCCGCGTCCTTCTGAATCTGGTTTCTTCTTCTGTTTTTGTACTTTGACCTGGAGCGGATTGACTATGCCGGACTCATTCGCTCCAAGACCAGAGCCCTTTGTCCAGCCATATTTAGTTAACAGTCGCTCTGCGAAGCCCTTCTGGCCTGGTCTGAGGGAGCGAGGGGCATCTTCATCTCCTTCCTTGTTTGCATCTTCTTGTTCATTTGCCAATGTTTCTTCAAGTTCAGCTTCAGTAGCGGGAAGATCTCCAGGTGCTGCAGGCAATGCGTATCGAACAGGAGGGCGAGATATGGTGGCTGCACTGTAGTTATGGCTAGCTGGAGCTGTCGATTCGGGAGCCTCATTCGTAGGTGATGGCTGTGATAACTGTGATGGCTGCGAGGGTTGAGGGGGTGGCTCTGGCTGGTTGATGTTCGCACTCAGCCGTAATCGTCGCGCGTACGCCTCTTCGCCGGTTGAATCATCAGGAATTTCTACGGCGGGCTGTGGGACAGCTTCCGAGAACGTACGTTGAGGCTCTGGAGACTCTTCCGGGGGCGCATTCAGGTTGGGCGGCGGCGCAAAAGATGAGGGAGGAGCAAATTGTCCTGCAAGAAATATGCATGGTTGGCATCGTCTTCAAAATGAGACAGAAAAAGAGAAAGGAATAATAACGTACTGTTCATTTGCGGCCTCGATCGTTCTTCATCGCTGTCTTCATCACTGTTATACTGTTGCGCCAGTCGATGGGCATACAGCCGATCCTTCCACTCTCTAACCTCTCGTATCTTCTCATCGCTATGCTTATATGCCTCATAGCTGTTGGGGCGCGTTGGATCGTAGATGTCATCCCAGTTCTGTATAATGACCTCAGACTCGTAGTTCTTTTTCCGTTTCTTCCTACCACCGCGTTGCCTCTTTTCTCCTCCATAATATCCATTAACATCGTCATCGTCCGCCGTGGCTGTCCAATCTGCAATCGTCGACTTTCCAGTTGGACGGCCGGCGGTTACTGCACCACTCGTAGTACCCTGGTCTGGGGTTGCAGGACTTGCTGAGCTTGTAATAACAGGCGGTTTCGAGATGCCGGATTTCGCCTTTAGCCTCTGAGAAGGCAGCTGTGGTCTTTTTGTGGGCTGAAACCGTAGAGAAGCTGTAGTTCATATAGAAAGGAAAAAACCAAAAGAGGGTTTTCGGGATACAAGTGAGCCAATCATGTCGGTACAGACTGTTTGAAGAGAGAGGGTATAAGCTCTACCGGCACTTATCTGCTGCTTTTTCATGGCAGGGTCATCTTGGGGAGCGTCTGTAGCTTGCTTGAAGACTACCGGCGCGCGCGAGATGGAGGCGCCCTCAGGAGTGTCGAGCAAATTCGCATAGAGCGACATACCCGGCTTGGGCGTAGTCGTCTTCTCGGAGGACATTTTGAAGACTTCCTGGGATGCTCCGTATATAAAGGAGGGAGAAGCTGCTATCGAATCCTTAGTCTTTCTTTAGAACTGGCATCGCCGCCCACTAGCTGCGACGAAGGCCTTCATCCATATCGGGGGAAGCTTTCAAAGGTTCCGAGATAGGCCCGTCCATATATCGCTATCACGTGAGGGTTTATGCCTATTTGCGTAAGTTTGGTTGCTAAGAGCGTGCAGAAGTGAGTTTCATCACCATTAAAAGTCAACGCTCCATGCTAACTCCAACAATACTGCCGGATGCAAGGTTAGTCGATTTTATACTTAGTTGGCTGGTCGACGTCTGCCGTATGGTCAAGGGCCCAGATGAGATTGAGAACCCATATATCGCCTGCAAGATTACGAATGCTGGTATGAATGCTGTCATTGCGGCTCCTGTTGGTGACGCTAGCCGTTTCGTCCCGAGGCTATGGGAATATGCCCGGTCGCGTTGGCCATTCCATTGGACTTAGGGTCTATGAACCACCATCAGGCGCCGATGGCGGCTGTGAGTGGTCCTGGAGCCAGGCATGGTTATCACAATCGTGTCTAGCATTGACAGAGTGGGTAGTTGCGCGACGCAGACTTCTGACACAGTCCTTATCTGCGAGACTGATTGTGATATTTGATCAGGTCTTCTCCCAGTTACCTCCAGGTCTAGAACTCTTTGTAGGTCCAACTGTCGTGCGGCGTAATATAACTATAGCCATGCTTTGAGGATAAATAACCTCGCGATGTGTATCTTGTGGCCCCTCGGGGGGGGGGGGGGGGGGGGTTAACCAAAATCCCACTGGTTATATACCTCTTCCATATTATGCATACAAAATCTACAGGTCATATTCATTAACTAAGAGTCTAGGCCCTTCTTTCCAGCTAACTTAAGTGTAAGTATAAGAAATTTCCCACGAAACAAGTGCGTTCCACCTTTTCTACAATTGCATATAATTTTGTCCCCCCTCCTGGATATGGTCTATGAGTTACGTATGCTCCGTATAGGTTAGCGAATAAATTAACACTGCTATGGTGCTTTTCGATACGTCTATCATCTAGTTACCAAGGTTTACTCCTCCTCTCACAGGTATTTAGTTAAGCTTTCGTCCCGGGCCGGGTCCATCGTTGCCTGCCCAGCCAATGATCTTTAGGCACATATTTCAGCCTCTTCCTTGTTAAGTTAAGCTTAATTCAGCGCATGGTTGGAGGAGTTATGTGCTCTACGAAGGCATGCTTTACACGAGGTTGTCTAGAGGTTTAGTCCTGCAGAATGACTTTTTATCAAGTACAATAAAAGGGTTTTGGGGCAAATTCCTAACCTCAGAGGCTCAGGTAAGAAGAGGCCTAGACTTCAAATTATGCGGGTACCCTATGGCCAAAGGAAAGCATCCCATTCTTTTGGGCGAGAATCGTGTTTTAAAAAGAAAGGAATTAGACACTGAAGAGGCCCATGCAATGGATTTTCGCTGCTAATGCCACAACTATCCTTGTCCCAAGAGTATATGAGACGAGGTATGTCCAGACGGAATGGGGCAAGAAATTCTGTATAGTGATGGAGTATATACCCGGAAACCCATTAAATAAAATATGGAATGATCTAAATTAGGATCAGGAAACAAATATCTGTCTCCAGACTAACGTATACCTAGCTCAGCTTCGAAATCTAACTGGGGGTCGAATTATGGCAATAGATGGTGCTCTAGATGTAGGCCTTTATCAAAGGCGCTTTTTGGGGCCATTTAACGATGTGAAGGAGTTTCATTATGCAATACAAAACCTAGTTATCCGAACAGTGGTCCCGTATCCAGATGAAAACCTGAACGAACCGCGCCCCGGCATTCTATCGTCGTTTGGCTCCCTTGCGGAGGAACTACGAAAGAGTTTTGAAAACAATACTTGATCTGTTCACTTTCTAATGATAGACTATTTGAAAATCAATAACTCTTGGGCTAGCTGTAAAAATTACGTACTATCATCCATAGTGGGAATCCCTTTATACATTGAAAAAGCGAATACCCTAGATGACGTTATAAGAGGGAGAGCGAGCCTCCCTCGTTATATTATTCTAATTTTACTAGATTCTCCTTATAGGTACCCTGGAGAGGAGCTGAGGCTTACCGCAACTTTATACTCACAGTACGTCTATGTTCGACCAAAGGCACCTGATTAGGCGAATAGTTAAATAACAAGGGCACGAAGCACAAGTAATAGAACCAAGATGATACCTTCCAAGCAATAGATGATTGGCTAAACAGAGCACTGGCACAAAAAGAACAAAATTATAAGAGAGACAATGCAGTGCTCTCTATACCAATCATCCCGAGATATTTTCGTCTCTTCAGGGTTTGATGTGTAGCTGCTAGGTTCAGCGAGGCAGCCTCAGCTCTCTGCTCGATATACACGCCCGGCTGAAAAAAGATGAAGCTGTCACAACATCGCACCATCCTCTGCCAAATAGCCCTCTCTCTTTCTCTCCGTCTGCTGCATCCTGCATCCTGCATCCCATCCGCGAGCTGAGCTGGTTGCTTCCAAATTTTTGTATTTAGATACTTCCCCTCACGCATCTCCTCATCCCCGCACGCACATGGCCGGCTGAAGGACGAACACGGGATAGAGGGTGCTGTCCTCAGCAAGCTCCGATCAGGACAGGCTCTCAGCCGCACAGTATATGCAGGCCGGCAGCATGAGTTGCCACAATATAGGCAGCAAGAAAGATGGCGCGACGAATAGAAAGAGCTGGGGAACTGTTTTGCTCGTGCGGGGGTAAAGCCGGAAAACCATCTCCAACTAGACGCTTATGTCATCAACGGGCCGAGGGCTGCAGCCGAAAATGACGAACAGCCGAAGATCCCCTAAGTTTGTTTTATATACGGAGCAAAAGGCCCCCCTTGGATGTTTGGTCTCTTCTGCAGTTTTTATATCTTCCTCTGCATAGAAGTACTGAGTCGGCAGCCCTGGATACGGCTGTGCATTGCATGATTTATCCATAGGCACACGCAGGATAGCAAAATGACGACCCTTTCGACCGCCTTTGCTCGTTCCGGAGATCAGCCGGCCGTGATCGTGCCTGGGAAGCCAGCGCCGTTTATCGCCAGCTATGGGACACTCAGCGCCGACATTGCAGCCTTCCAGGGGCAGCTGGCAAAGCTAGGCGTAGCCCATGGTGCTGCTGTGTCCATTGCCCTGACGAATTCATACGAGTTCATCGTCTCGTTCCTTGCTAGTTCCTGGCAGCGGGCGATCGCCGCGCCGCTCAACCCGGCATACAAGCAGGAGGAATTCGAGTTCTACATCGACGACCTAAGCTCATCTTTGGCCCTTGTTCCAAGGGGCGCATATGCACAGAACAGTGCTGCGGTGAGGGCGGCAAAGAAGTATAATGCTGCCATTGCGGAGTGCTACTTCGACAGCGGTAAGGTAGTGCTGGATGTCAAGGAACACGGCAAGCTGGCGGGAAAGGGAGGCCTGCAGGTCCAGACTGCTCAGCCAGATGATATTGCTCTAGTTCTGCACACCAGTGGCACGACTGGCAGACCAAAGGCCGTGCCACTCACCCACCAGAACCTCACTAGAACTATGAGTAAGTGATGCCATCCATCCGCCTGTCAACCATCTCAGCACCATAATCTAAAAACGAGTCATGACAGGAAACATCCAGGCTACCTATTCCCTTACGGGCGATGACCGAACCTATCTTGTCATGCCTCTATTCCACGTTCACGGACTACTCGCTGCTTTCCTTGCCCCGCTGCAGTCCGGAGGTTCTGTCGTTGTACCGCCCAAATTCTCTGCCTCTGAGTTCTGGTCGGATTTTATCACCTACAAGGCCAATTGGTATACGGCAGTACCCACCATACACCAGATCCTGCTTAAGCATCCATTCCCATCCCCGATGCCGAAGATCCGATTCATTCGCTCATGTTCGTCACCGCTATCTCCCAAGACGTTCCACGAAATTGAGCGTGCGTTCAATGCTCCTGTTCTGGAAGCATATGCCATGACTGAAGCCTCTCATCAAATGACCAGCAATCCACTACCACCGGGAAAGAGAATGCCTGGAAGTGTTGGTATTGGTCAAGGTGTGGAGGTCCGTATCCTGGATGACAATGGCAAGGAAGTTCCCCAGGGCTCCGAGGGAGAGATCTGTGTACGAGGTGAAAACGTCACCAAGGGCTATCTCAACAACCCTGCTGCCAACAAATCGTCCTTCACGAAGGATGGCTTCTTCCGTACCGGCGACCAGGGTAAGAAGGACCAAGACGGCTACGTCTTTATCACCGGTAGAATCAAGGAGTTGATCAACAAGGGCGGAGAGAAGATCAGCCCCATTGAGCTGGACAATGTCATCGCCCAGAATCCGCATGTCGCCGAAGCCGTCTCGTTCGCCATCCCAGACAACATGTACGGTGAGAACATCGGCGTGGCTGTCGTTCTCAAGAAAAAGGGAAGCATATCAGACGACCAGCTGAAGTCTGAGATTGCACCGAAAGTCGCTAAGTTCAAGGTTCCTCAGAGAGTGAGTATACAACAGCCGCAAACATGTTAATTATCTCTGGCCAGCACCCTGACTAACTGCTATTCTCTCTCGCAAAGATCTGGATCCTCCACGAAATCCCAAAGACTGCTACCGGTATGTATATCTTCTCTTGAGAAATGTAACCGCGGGATGACTGGCTAACCCCGTCCTCGCACAGGCAAAATCCAGCGCCGAAAAGTCGCAGAAGCGATGCTCAAGAAGGATGCTCCCTCGTCGAAGCTGTAATCCTGTGGCATTTGCTCCTATAACTAGTTATGTTTTGGATGTCTCTCTTGGCTATTTTCATTGATAGAGTAAACAACGAGCTGTATATAATCTGGGTATCAAAAATTATATCAACATATTGATTGTATGATATTACACTATGCCTCAGTCCAGTGTTTAAACACAGCGACAGTAGAGCAAATTGGACCGTCTCGCAGCAGCTAGGCCTCTCGTTGCCCGAGAGTCTTTGTCGCAGACCCTAGCAACCAGCGGTACTATTTATAACTGGTTAACGAACTACCGCGGCCTTCCTCCCCTTGCTCACTAACTTAATAGCTACCGAATAACGAGTTAACCGGCTGTTTGCCTGCGTTCTCCATACGTAAACCATAAACTCGCTGCAAAGTGCAAACATGCACCCCGCGGTCTCTCTGCGCGCTTCTTCTTCGCTGTCTCTCTCGTCCTTTGCGCCTCGCATCCGTCTCGCCAGCTCTCTGCCTCTTCTGTCTCGGTCTCAGCTCTGTTTCCGGCCCCAGGCTCCCATCCTCGCCCGCAACATGGCAACTTCAGCGCCGTCGAAGAAAGAATGGATCGTCATGCTGCCTGACAAGCCGGGCATGCTGGCAAAGCGGGTGGAAGTTCGCAAGTAAGCCGACCTTTTCACTACATTAATGGAGCAGGAGACGCAGGCATATAACTATATCATCGGGCCGCTTGATGTGCATAATAGGTGCTCTGCTAATGGATGGATGCAGCATTCACCTCCAGAACCTCGGCCCGATACTGGAATCCGGGTTCCTCAAGATGGGAGGTAAGATCATGCATGGCCACAATCAATCGCTGGCGGTTAGTTAGTTCTTTGACCGAGCCCTGACGCCCCTTGCTGCTGCTGCAGGCTCGATGCTTGACCACCACCCGGCGGAGGGCGAGAACCCTCCACCCATGAACGGGAGCACCCTCATTGTCGCTGCCGAAGGTGTTGAGGAGATCCGTGAGATCTTATCCAAGGACATCTATGCTACCTCTGGCGTATGGGATCTTGACAACGTAAGGTCCTTTTGGCCCCGGCTTGCTCGTGATCATGTTTACTGACTGGTAGATGTGCGTTCTTGCAGATGAAAATCATTCCGGTAAGACTAACCGCTGCTGTAGGCATGACGGCCAATTACATTTTATGCTAACCTATGCGCATGACAGTTCAAATGTGCTATTAGAACTGCTTTGTAGAAAGGCATCTTAGTTATTGTCGGGTTAAGACATAAAGATATATGCAGACTGCTGACTTAAATAAATACCACTTCATCGTGTCCTTTCTCTATAAAAAATCATAGCCTATTATAAGACTAGAATTTAGATTAAGTAGGGAGCCGTCTTAAGAACTGAGGAGGGGGGATTATGATACAAATACACCCTGAGAAGCAGGCCCTTCTCTTATATTGAGTAGTCGCTATAGTCAGACTGTCACAGGTATGACATGCACGGTAGAGCCTAAACGGGAATATGGTACTTATAGATCAGAATCTAACAGACCCATCATGTACTGGTTGTCAAGAAACCAGTCTCCAAGGGTATGTGACAGGTCTGTCTCCATCATCTCAGGCGGCATCTGGAATGCAGGTATAGAAGCCTCATTTAGGTCGTTTAAATTGGTATTGGTGCTACTCTCGGCCGTCTCGGGAGTAAGTGTATTAGGCCCGAACCCGAGAGAAGTAAGATAGTCATCAAAAGCTTCCCCTGGTTTCGGTATCACAGGGTGGTTGTGTGGTTCCTTGGGTTGGACATCCACATATAACTTTGCCACTTGGTAAAATACCAAACATAGTCGGTATAGCCGCTCTGCTGCCTCCGACACATCAGCTGCCGCTTGGAGGGAAGTTGCAACTTCCCCGAGTAGCTTTAGGTCATCGTGGTCTGAGGCTGCGATTGTATGGCAGAAGGTTACCATAAATGGAGCAAAGGGACACTGCAGGAGAACCCTATATAGTGCGAGTTAGCCAAAGAGAGACCTGTTTGGTTGCTCCGTTAGGTAAACGTTACCAGGTAATGTATCCGCTGAAAAAGAATGAATCAGCCTTTTCGAGAGAAAGGAATATCTGTTGATGAATCTGCAGAGCCTTCCTGGCTGCTTGTACACACTGTAGGTTGAGGCCAGAGGGAGTCTCGGGTGGTTGAGTTGGAGGCGCAGCGCGTTGGATGATAGTGGCTATCAGGTTATATGTCAACTCCGAGGCTGGGACAATCCATTGAATATGCGCTTTATGATACGCTTCCTGGGTATCGATCTAGAGGCACGGGTTAGGTTTAGCAGGTTCCTTTTGCAAGGTCATGGTCAGTAACTTACTGCAATGACTTGATCTCTCCAATCCTGAAGTCGGTAGCTTAATTCATAGACTTTTTTTGCACGAGTCTCTGCACTCGAGGAAACGCCTCTAACGGAGTAGAGGTGCTCATACACCTCTCCAGTTATCCTAGAGCAGTCAAGCCAATAGTGAAAGAGTATATGCCAAGGCTGCAGTGACGTATCCGACGACAGGGACGGGTATGGAAGCGCGATGTCATAGTCCGGGAGTAAGGCAGCTCTTCCTAGACACAGGGACAGACTTCGGTCCATAGAGTATATGAACCAGAATAGAAATGCTTTCAGGCGGACATCATCAGGCTTGTCATCCTTAGATGCAACAGAGCGGTGATATCCAAGGCTCTGAGCCATTCGAGCAGCACTCGCTACGAAATTCCAGCATAGTGATATTTTTGCGGACTCAGTTGCATGAAGTATCTGGAAACCAATTAGTTGGATTCAGTAAGGAATGGGATCTCGGTTGAATGGAGCCAAACGTACAGCGTATGTCAAGGCCATCAAGTTATCCAAACTTGGCTCTGTAAACATATCAAAGGAACTAATAACTACTGTAAAATTCGACATACAGAGCTCGCTGTATTCGGGGAACTTAGCGGTGGATGGATCATCCTTGAACCGAAATGAAATCTCTTTGAACAGATGCCCCAATATAGCGTTAACCGAAGCGAATCGTCCAGACGAGTATTCTTCCGTACAAAAGTAAAGATCTTTACACATTTGTGTAAAGTGTGATATGTTCATCACAGGCAGCGTGAGGAAGAAAAGGGGTGGGTTGTCTGCAAACGTATTTCTTCCAATTAATATACCAACAGCAAAAGCTCAAATAGTGGAGAATATAGATGTCGACATACCATTTGCAAGCCTTAGAAGAGTCAAAACGGCACTTGAAGGAGGCAATTCCAAGTCAGAGAAATTTATCCTCTTTTTGGGCGGCTGCCCGGGGAATCGTAGAACATTCACAGATGACGGCAGGGATTGGCGTTTTATTATATCCTGCAGTGCAGATAAGGCATGGGACATCATGGGCACATGTGCAAAGGGTATTCTTTTCATAGCGTTCTCGAAAAGAGCGCCTGCATGCATCGAGTGGGCGCTAAATGACGACTCGCCCTCGAACTCCGGGGTCCGTTTCGTCTCAGGTTCCTCCGAGTTCCGTATGGCCACAGGTACATTCGAGCCGTCATGATGCCTTGATGAAGGCGGTGGTGGTATTTTAGGTACTGATTGTGAAGCTGTGGCCGCAGGCAACGAGAGAGTGAGGTCCTGTAACAGACGCTCTATGGTCGACAGCCGTTCATCGATAGTCTCGATCTTCCTTTCACTGCCAGGAGAACTTAGAATCGATATTTCACCACCAGATATTTCCGGGCTAGCATAACAAAAATGGGTAAATAGCATACTATTGATGCGAAATTAACACTCGTTGGCGCTGCTCCTTTACTCGAGGCGTGGTTCGACATATTGTCTTCCCAATTCGACAATTAGAGCATGGAGAAGTTCTGTCACATTTTATCTAAAACCAGCTGTTAGCACGATTGGTTACTCCGTGTGTCTGATAGACATTAACTTACCTTTCGGAGGCGACAATTATCGCACTGGGTAGTGAACAGTAATAAATGCCATGATTAGCTACGTGAGCAAGCTTAGGGTTCTAGATATCAGGATTATCAATACCGCTCTCTGCAATGCCGGGTTTCTCTGACTGGCTGACGGAGCATCGCTGTCTCTTGATTCGGCCGTGTCCATAGCTATCGTTGTCGATGTTGAAATCAAGTGTCACTAACTTGACGGTGGTTTAAATATGAAATCCAAACCGAGTAATGCAGCATTATTGTTCTTTTCTTTGTCCTCGACGTTCCTTCTTTGTCCACCGCAGAAGATTTTAGTTCTTAATGCACTATCCTGGTTGCTTGCTGCCTATTTTCCAAGCCTCTTGGGCGCGGCAAAAGCTCGTATACAACTGAGTCCTTGTAACAGTGCCCCAGGAGGCGAGTCATTATCACGTGAAATGCGCCAAATTGGTTACCAGAATGTACCAAAGTAACGTTAATTGGAGTCGGAACTCAGAAGGAACAGAAGATATTTTTAAGTATATTGAAACTGACATTGCAAGTCACGATCATATAATATCAGAACATATTAATTCATAAAGGCCGTCGCAGTATATACTTTTCTCACAAAAAACCCAAGACGTGGCATCTCCAACTCACAGAGGGTATCTATCCTATAAGGGGAGTAACAGTAAATAGAAAATTCTCCATGCTCTACCCAAACCCCAAGAAATAACCAAGTATTCCAAAACAACATGTATAACGGTAGATGACACAATATCCGTATGCAATCATCAGAGGTAAATGCAGCAAGACTCCGCCAATTCTCTTTCGAATATAGGAACGTGCTCCTAAAGGCCAATGGCAGTGTCGGCTATAACTGAGCCTTGAGGATAATTAGGGGAGATGGTGACAGGAACAGGCGGTTGTCCGAAGATTGGAGGTCCAGTATATAGGCTTCCAAGGATGTTTTGTCTCATTTCATCTTCATCCCATATGAACTGTCTGCCGCGACTTAACCTTTCTTTACGAGCATTAAGCTCTACCTCGTTGATAAACGGCCGTCCAAGGCCGCATTGGCTTTGGGTAAGCAAGAATTGAAACATAGTGGAACGTAGCTTGTCCCAGAGGCTGCCGTGCTGCTTCCATTCCAGGCGTTTTGCGATACGCAGCATCCTAGAGACTAGCCAGTTTCTTTCCCCAGAATCAGACTTCTCATTATATTTGAATCCACCATTGTTAAGGAATATCCAGAGGAGTGTGGCGATGCTTGGACTTGAACGCGGATTTACCGCCCTGATGGCACTATTCACCCAGTTCAGATAGCCGTCAAAGTTTTTATGGCTTAAGTAGTAGTCATGGAGCGCAAAGTTCAGGTAAAATAAGCAGGCCATGCACGTGTATTCATCAATAAAGCGAACATCGCGAATACCATGATCGTAATCTGGCAGGTTAGCCAGAAGAGTATAAAGTGGAGAAGTCTCTTCAAAGGGCCTCTGTGGGCTTTCCAACCCGTCCAATCTTAAAGGTGGCAGCGGCTGATTGTATAAGAATGCACATTCCAAGTCATCTAGGGACCGGAAAAATGCAAGAAAATCCTCACATGCTTGAAGAATGTCGGGAATGTCATCGGGGTCTTCGCTTGCAGGGACTTCTGCGGGAATCACAGGAATAACCTCCGGGGGTACGAAGCTGAGATTCTTGGGGGGTACATCAGGTATTTCGCCGGTCCAGGGAAGGCCAGCACCCACGATGGCATTGGAAGCGCAGCAAAAATCGACCCTGAATGGAAGTCAGTTTTTTGATACTCGTTTTCCATCGAATATGAGTGTAGTTACCAGTAGACGACTTTTTCCAAGAACGGACCAGTGGCACTTCTCGTCCGCATTGCTTGCATGCCTCCTCGCCTCCGGATCAACTGTTTGATTCCCTGGAAATGAGTGCGTTCAACGACGGAATCTTTCGACCATTTCTAACTTTTAGGTTAGCGTACGAACATAACGCATATGTCAAGTGAAGTGCGTACCTCAATAACAGTCAGACTAGCGACTGCGTACAAAGTGCCATCTTCCTTATCGATATCATCATTTTTTAGTCGCTCCTTGATGAGTTTCAGCGCACGCATCTTGTGTGTCAGGGATTGTACGGTCTCCACCTGCCCCTCCATGCCAGCCCTGTGCTTTGCAGCAACAGCCAGCATGGCTTGAAACGGGACAGGGTCATGAAGCGCTATGTTATGGAATATGGCTCGGATAGGGTTGTCTTGCTGGGCATTTTCCATTTTATACATCATCATTGGGTACTTGGTCACATCTATAAAAAAGAAAAGGACAAGCAGTTAGCCAGATACTGCAAATATTTGCGTGTATGTGTCAATGCTCCCGACTTACAGTGATCAATTAGTTTATTATCAGCTTCCTTCAATACCAGCGGAAGACAGTTGAATGGTTCGAATGCAGCGAGCGGCGACTCTGCCTTCGGATCGACTATGGGAAATCCGGCGGCCGGAGAGCCTCCTACGGAGTTCCTAGTAGATTTCTGGCCTGTCGTTGCCGCCACAGCCGCTGCTCGCTGGCTAGTTTTGCGCTGTATATTCTGGCTGCGAGACCGGCAGGGTCCCTTTTGCTCGTTACTGTCGTCGTCGAGTTCCTCTACCTTGGGCGAGACGCTTCTGGCCTCGCCTTGCACCTTGTTGCTGCCTGTTGACCAGCCGGAAACCTGTACGCGTGTCGACTCAAGCCGTGCTATACCGTCGAGCCGCCGCTGGTGAACGTACTGGCGCATCGCATGACGTCGAACCTGTCTTCTGGACTCGGAATCCGTGACCAGGACGAACTCAAAGTTTCGCGGTCCATCTGGGGCAGCTTGAGCTGACGGGGAGCTGGCTGACGAGCTGGGGTTCGCGCCTGCATCGAGGGTTGCAGCGGACTTCCCCATACTGCCATCTTATATAGGTGGAGCGTCAGTCGGACAGGAGGAGGAAGATGGCAGCAAAGAAGCCAACGACGAGAAGCTTCAGGGGAAAAGGCCCGACTCTGGCGCCACCAGGCTCCGGCGATCGCCCCTTGCACCTCTCTTCCGATAACTATCCCGGCAGCCCAGGTGTCGTGTGTCGAGGGTCCAGCGTGGAGCCCAATACCAAAGCGTCTCCAGTGCTCGAGCAGCCGTCGTCTCCCTCGCGGTCTGCTCGCTGTCGGCAATCGTTGATATCGTCGCTGTCGGCACGCCCGTCGTCTCGTTTCCGAGCGTCGTCGTCGTCGCCTTTTGCTTTCTGCAGCGGAAAAAAGATCGAGATCGAACGTTCCAAACGCGGAAAAAGGTGGGGAAGATCCACTGACGTCACGTGTTATACCCAATTATAACGAGCTGGAAGTTATGTAATATATTACTAATACACAGGCTGCTTGGAGGCAGCGACGGGGATGGATGGATGGGTGATATCAGAGGGAGATGCGTAGAAGAAGCGTAGAAGAAGTGTAGAAGAAGTGTAGAAGGAGAAGGAGAAGCTGAAGCAGCTGAGGAGGCATAAGTAGAGTAGAGGTGAGAAAAGGGGCTATTCATTGCGGTACTTGGACAGGGCAGCGAGGATCCCTTCGCTGAGGCCCTCGAAAGACTCCCCTGTTCGTGCTGGGGCTGCGGCAGGCTGGCTCTCTACTTCTCTCAAGGCCTCTATGGCAGCCTCGTCTGCCTCTCTAGTGTCGTCTGCAGCACTGCGTCTGGTGTCACTTTGGCCAGGCTGAGGCTGCGACTGCAACTGCGACTGCAACTGCGGCTGGGATTGGGTCTCGGGTTGAGGCTCCCTTGGAGCACTGCGAGGAGCCCTGTCAGTTTTGAACTCTTCCTGCACCGCGTTCGTCCACTGCTTGACCTTTCTCTCCCCCCATCCCGGTACAGCACTGATCTGCTCTGGCTGTGCATTGATCGCATCCCGCAGCGACCCAAAGGTAGACATCAGGCTGGCCGCGTCAGACTTGTTGATACTTCGTGGGGCAGTCACAAACTCAACCAGGCTATCCTTGTATGATTGTGCCTGGCGAGACCGGATGGCAGTTGGCTGGGCGTGTTCGCTCGACTTGAACAGCTCCAGGTAGTGTGCTGCCTCGGGTGCGGACCAGCATAGGATGATGGTTAGGTTGTTGATCAGACACGTCTTGGACAGCTCCTTCAGGCTGTCCTCGTGGTTCGGGATATCTACTACCGTAAGCAGGATCCGTAGCCTGAACTTTCCTCCCAGAGCCTTGATTCGAGTGTAGATGTACTCGGGATGCAGCCGGTGGTATTTCAGAGAGAGGAAGAGCGCGCAGCTTGTATTCCCTACAAGGTAGTCTGCGGGTATATCTGCATACTCCCACGGCGTTAGTCGTATATGTTGCAGTATCGGGTTCCCTTTCTGCCTTGACGAGACCAGGATGGACGACGGCCCTCGACGCGCTGGCAGAGCTTGCGGCTTGGGCTGCTGGACCTTCGCCTTGGGTGCTGGCTCTGGCCTCTGCTGCTGATGCTGCTGTTGTTGTCTTGACGGCCCAGAGGCTGCATTTTCTATAGCTTCACTGGTCGCAATGATGTCCTGAAAGTCCTGTATATCGCCATACTCATCATCCATGGCCGCTTTTGTCCCGTTATATCGGTGTGTTCATTTCTTCGTGGTTGTCCAGTGACTTTCTTCTTGCTAGCTTCTTGCTAGTTGGACGTTGTATTTATATATGCGGCTTCTGCTTGATGGCTCCACCGACTGCAAAGCTAAAATCAAAAAGTTTCGTTTTTTTTTTTTTTTTTTTTTTTTTTCCATCCTTTTGTTTTCACTGCTAGACATCAAGCACAGAGACGACGAAGCCAACGACTGGACAATGGCTGAAAATAACAAGAGAAGAAGACTTTCGGCTAGCGGGAGCTTCAAGATGGATGAGAATGTACGGACTGGCAGTGTCGCCGCTGAGAAGACTGTTCCGGACGCAGAGCAAGCCCCGGCCAAAGAGCGCAAAACTAGGACGCTCTTCGTGCGATCGCTACCCACTACGGCGACGACAGAATCGTTGACGGAGTACTTCTCGCAGTCATACCCTCTAAAGCATGCCACTGTTGTGCTTGATCCACAGACAAAACAGTCCAAGGGATACGGATTCGTTACCTTTACAGACCACGAAGACGCCCAATCGGCAGCAAGAGAACTGAACAACTCAGTGTTTGAGGGGAAGAAAATAAAAATTGAGCTTGCCGAACCTCGCCATCGAGAAATTGATGAAAAGGCAGGGAAGAGTGTTCCATCTTCTGCCCCGTCAAAGGCAAAGGAGCTCAAGGAGAAGCGAAGGCTGGAATCATTACCTCCGAAACTTATAATACGAAATTTACCGTGGAGTATAACCGAACCGCAGCATCTGGAACTGTTGTTTAGGAGTTATGGAAAGATTAAACATGCCGTCGTGCCAAAAAAAGGTTCGAGGGTTGCTGGGTTCGGATTTGTGGTTATGAGAGGGAGGAAAAATGCAGAACGAGCGATCGAAGGCGTCAATGGCAAGGAGGTTGATGGGCGGACCTTGGCCGTCGACTGGGCGGTGGAGAAGGATGAATGGGAAAATATGAACAAAGCTGCAGAGGAGTCCGATGGAAAGCAAGAGGCTGGAGACAGCGAAGAGGCTGTTGCGGAGAATGAGCACCTTGATGTCGTCGATGATGGAGAATCAGATGCCATTAGTGAAGATGAAGAAGATGGGGGAGTTGAACTTGGTAATGAGGACGAGGACGAAGATATCTCCATGGGTGATGCAGAAGATGACGAGCAGGAAGAAGAGGAAGAGGATGATCGAAACGCGTCAACAATATTTATACGGAATCTACCCTTCTCTGCTACGGATGAAACTCTCCATGAACACTTTTCCAAGTTCGGCCCTGTTCGCTACGCTAGGGTTGTACTTGACCCAGCAACTGAACGGCCAAAGGGTACGGCCTTCGTCTGCTTCTACAAAGCGGAAGATGCTTCCTCTTGTATCCGCGAGGCTCCCAGAGACGTGGATCCGTCTCGAAGCAAAGATCCCAGACATAAAGCTGCAACGAGACAGCTGCACTCCGTTCTCGAGGACGAGAGCAACGATCCTACTGGGAAGTATACCATGGATGGCCGTGTCTTACAAGTCTCACAGGCAGTGAGCCGAACAGAGGCTGGGAGGCTTGAGGAGGAAGGGCATACACGCCGTGAAGCTCGAGACCATGACAAACGCCGACTCTTCCTGCTCTCGGAGGGAACAATTCCGTCCAATTCCCCCTTATATGCGAAACTCTCTGAAACAGAGAGAAGGATGAGAGAAGCGAGTGCCAAACAGCGTCAAAAGCTTGTCAAGAGCAATCCTATGCTGCATGTAAGTCTTACTCGACTGTCTGTCCGCAACTTGCCACGACACATTGATTCCAAGGCCCTCAAAGCACTTGCACGCGAGGCCGTGGTGGGTTTTGCAAAGGATGTCAAGAACGGCCTTCGCAAGCCAATATCCTGGGAAGAATCTCGTCGAAGCGCTGCCTTGATGAAAGAGGCCGATCACCTGCGCAAGGCCCAAAAAAAGGGCATTGTTAAACAGGCAAAGGTTGTTTTCGAGGGCAAGGATGGCTCGAAGATGAGCGAAAAGTCTGGAGCGGGCAGGAGCAGGGGCTACGGATTCATCGAATACGCTACGCACAGAAACAGTTTAATGGGCCTCAGATGGTTGAACGGCCATGCCATTGAGGCGTCTGCGTCTGCGCCCAACGCTGACCCGGCGGATAGAAAGAAGCGTCTCATTGTGGAATTTGCCCTTGAAAACGCCCAGGTTGTCAACCGAAGGCGAGAACGAGAAATGAATATCCGAAAAGCTGCTACAGAAGCTAACGGGGAGGAAGGCCCTCAACGCGGTATAAAGCGCAGCCGCGACGAAAACGATGAGAAGCAGAGCAAGAGGCCAAGGGCAGGAAACGGCTCCAAGAGTAATCTCAAGGGGGCGAAGAATGGCAAAGGGCCGGCAGGAAAACCTGAACAGAAAGCTGAAAAGGCCCCAGAGAAGGCCTCGTCCACAGAGAAGAACAATGACATTGCTAAGCGGAATAGGATCATTGCTAGAAAGCGGATGCTAAGAAGGAACAAGAAATGAATGTTGAACCTTTGCTGATATTTAGCGAGTGTTATGTGAGCGGTGTCTTATTCATATCAACCGGATAAAAAAAAAGCGTGTTTGGTCGTTATTTAGGATAGATATACAGTGGAAAAAGCTATTGACTAGAATGTTTAATACCGTCATGTGCATTGCATAGAGCTGAGCCAGGGAGGAAAGGGAGGGAGTTCGTTAGAAATATAGATCCTATAGGTTAGTTGCTCCTGCAACCTTTCCTACGATGTTATATCTCTTGCTGAAGAACTTGTGCCAGTCTTCTAGGACGCCCTTTTCCTTGTCTCCCAGGTCACTCCACTGGGGAACACAGTCCTCCGGCTTCAGGGAAGACTTTGCGAGGGCTCTCGAGGAATCCTTGCCGGCAAATACTACATTTAACTATCAGTATATATGAAGTTAATCGCTGTCCTATCCGGTGCTCACCGTTATAGTTCCCTCCCTTAGCATATGCCGAGTTTCCAGAGACATCGAAGACGTCTCCCTTGATGGCAACGAGGATAGGACGGCTGGGGTCAGAGCCTGGAGCCAATCAATCAAGAAGTTAGCAAAACGAGCGGCGATAATATATATATATATATATATATATATATATATATAGGTACAAACGGTCGGTATCAAGAAGACTCTGGCTGGCTTACCGTCTGATTTTGCTAGGTCTGCGAGCGAGATAGGGTCGCTCTTTGGCGGGTTGAGGTTCGTGGCCACGGGAGACATGATGCTCTTTGGGTCAGCCATGTTGATCAGTGAGTATGTGAGTGCCTGTTGCTCTTCTTCTTCTTCTTCTTCTTCTTCGTTTCCCTTCAGATGGCTATCAAAGGCTGTTCTCTGGATGGCGTTGAAGTGGTTGAATGTTAGGCGATGCTCAGCTTCCGAGGCTGAAGTTTGGCGGGGAGCAGAAGCAACAGACGGAGCCCCGCATCGTCATCACCACCACCACCAACAACAACAACCACCGTCCGGCGCTCTAACAACCTCTCTGTCACTCTACCTGTCGATCGTCATCGTCGCCACTATCACTACCACGATAGACCGCTCTTTGCTAGGGAATAGCATGGGGAGGGCAGTCTATATACCATACACACCATCTGCAGCTATCTGTGTTTTGGTCTCAGGCTCTGGGGAGTGGTTGCTGCTATTCGACTACCGCTATGGCTTGATATATGTGTCTACGAGCTCGCCATAGGTTGCTGTACTCCAGTAACAATGCTCGAAGGACCATACTAACTAGTTAGCTACTTGTACTATGCTAACAGCTTCATCTAGGTAGAAATGCCCCCTGGTATCGTCATCCTTTGACGGAAGACCCCCTGGCTGGAGGTATCACAAGGCAGACATCAATCTATATTCCATGGATTCCGACCTAAAACAGCGGCCTGATGATCAAAATATACTCATATAAGGACCAAGTCCAGGATCAAGCCTGGAGAGCTGTTCTCATCTGATTCCTTGTCGCCATTAGTTAAGGTTCAGCCCGTCCTCACAGCAATGCAACACCACTAACTGGCTGGCCAATACCTCCTTTGCCATTGACAACTCAGCAACAGAGAGAGGCTGCCATTACTTACTGCCTCGTCCTGCTCGCAATACGGCGTTTCTTGACCGCGCGCCCAAGGTCAAGGGGATAAACCCTCTTTTTTTTCGGATGGGCCCCCTCAAACGCTAAGGGTCCGTCGGCCACATGCAAGGGCTCGGCCAAAGGCAACTAATTAAGTAACTAAGCAAGTGTGCTTTAGTTAGCTGAGGGTGGCAAAGCCGATAGCCTTTTTCCAATGTTTTAAGCTCTGCTTGCCGTGAGAGGAAAATCCCTGATTCTCTTCATTTTTCACTCTGGGTTGATGCGTGCTTGCTGTGTGGGCGCAACATTTTTCACAGCTCTTTCCCGAGGTGGATCTCACGGGTCAAATTATCCCTTTGACTTGCTGCATTAACTCTCCAAGAGACTGGGCTGCATATGCAGCGATTTTTTTTTTTTTTCCTTTTCACCAGGCCATGGACTTCCCTTAGTCTATCTATTATTTGTTTCGTTTAAATAGAATACTATATGAAGCTCCACTTGTGCGTCGTTGAGCCTTCTCCATGATCATTCTCTCCCCCAAGTTTCCCTATATCTTCGTCTTATTCTTGCTTTGAGCCTCTTGCAGATAATAATCTGCGATATAGGCACTATGGGGACCATGTCCCGGCGACAGGTGTCCGCGGAGAGACGGGAAAAGGGCCCTGATGAACCTCCCGCATATCGACAACGTGTGGACGAAGAGGTCCCAGGGCCGGAAAAGATCAGTACCGACCACACCCACCGCAATCTCAAGCCTCGACATATTCAATTGATAGGAATCGGGGGGACTATCGGCACTGCTCTTTTTGTTCAAATCGGCAAGGGTTTGCTTAGCGGTGGACCTGCAAGTTTATTTATTGCGTTTTCTTGGTGGTATGTTTTTCCCAGCAAGCTGCATACCCCTACACCCCTACATACACCTTTGGACGACGTTATTTCTACTGTTGGTTGGCACGACACATTCCCTGCCTTTTGCGAGGTCTATACCCATTCAAAGCCATCGAAATAGATATGGAGACAGATACTGCTTCTCCCTCTGTTCTGGGTGCAATACCTCGAACGGAACACTAGGAATGACTGCCATTTTCTATGGGAATAGGATTGCATGACAACAATTAGCCATGACCCTATGAACTTGAACATTCTTGGTTCATTGAACATGTCTCTAGAGACTCCTAGCCATTTTCGAGGATGAAAACAGAGCCCGCCATGACATCACTCAATTTCCTTATTTTGCGTCTGATTTCATCTTCTGCGCATTGTTGCTATTCCTCCTTTCCCTTTTCTTTTCTCTTTTTCTTTCTTTCTTTTTATGGGAACGTTTGACTCTTATACGGATAAATAGGTGCACTTTCATCTTGGCCATTACTATGTGTAAGAAACCTCGGAAACTACTATCAGCCATGCCGGTCGACAGTGTCACATACCTGCCGTCTTTTGCCAACAAGCACCAATGCCCCCATACAGCATGTAATTAGCTAATTCTCTACCCCCGGGATTCTGTAGGCATGGCGGAAATGGTAACGTATTTACCTATATCTTCGCCCTTTGTGAGATTTGCAGGCCGTTTTGTTGATGAGGCTTTCGGAGTTGCCGTTGGATGGAACTTCTTCATCTTCGAGGCCGCCCTGGTTCCGTTCGAGATCGTGGCTTGCAATTTCATCATTCATTACTGGAGCGATGCTGTGCCGGCCGCAGCCATCATAACCATTGTCATAGTTCTTTACGCGTACGTGCACAGTCTCATTGTTGCTTTATGCATATATCGATTCCAAACCCCCATATTTCTCTCCCCTCGAGGTACGAAAGTTACTGACAACCCCTTGATCGACCAGAGCGTTCAACGTCTTTGCCGTCCAATGGTATGGAGAGTCAGAATTCTGGCTATCACTAGGAAAGGTCATACTCATCGTCGGTGTGCTATGCTATACATTTGTCACCATGATTGGCGGAAACCCCTTAGGGGACCGATATGGGTTTCGATACTGGAGGGATCCTGGAGCATTCACTACTACTTACAAGACGGGCAGCCTTGGTCTATGGCTAGGATTTCTCCAGTGCTTGATCCTCGCTAGTTTTACAATCGCAGGACCTGACTATGTTTCCATGGCAGCCGGGGAGGCGGAAAACCCGAGGGTGTCGATGCCAAAGGCTTACAAGGCTGTGTTCTACAGACTGACTGCATTCTTCATGCTTGGGAGCCTGGCGATTGGTGTGAATGTGCCTTACAACGACAAGACGATGCAAGATGCATTTCTCAAGGATCTACCAGGTGCCACTGCATCGCCATATGTCATCTCCATGCGCAGACTGCAGATCCGTGTACTCCCAGACATTGTCAACGCCATGGTTCTATCTGCAGCTTTCAGTGCTGGAAACAGCTACGTCTACTGTGCTAGCCGGTGTCTCTATGGCCTGGCTCTCGAAGGCAAGGCACCTCGCATCTTCACCCGCTGCGCGAAGAACGGGGTGCCTATCTACTGTGTGGGCGTTGTATTGCTCATTGCACTGCTGAGCTTCCTGCAAGTGTCAAACAGCGCCTCTGTCGTACTGCAGTGGTTCGTCAACCTCGTCACGGCATCGCAGTTGCTCAACTTCTCTGCCATAACATTCACGTATATGCGGTTCTACAAGGCACTGAAGGCACAGGGTATCTCGAGAGATTCACTGCCGTTCAAGAGTCGATTTCAGCCTTATCTTTCATATTATGCCTTTATTGGGCCTTTTGTCATGGTCTTTGTTGGGGGATACCCGGTGTTCTTGCCGGGGAATTGGAGCCTGCCAACTTTTCTCTTCTCCTATACAATGATTGCGGTATGCCCCTTGATATTCTTGGGATGGAAGTGGTTCAAGCGCACCAAGTTTTTGAAGCCTGAGGAGGTGGACTTGATTGATGGTGTGGAGGAAATCGAGGTGTATACCCGGAACTATGTAGCCACGCCTCCAGGGTAAGATCCCCTCCCTAACCCTTGATGTGCTTTAGTTCTCAGCGTCGATGTGGTACATGGGGTTGCTAATGACTGTAATTCATAGGAACCTGTTTGAGAAGATTTTGAACTTCATATTTTAAAAGGAGATACCCCCTCTTTTTTTCGGTTCGGCTAATTGGCGCCTTCTGTCGATTGTTACGGGCCAGTATATTTGTATAGTGAATAGACCCAATTTATACAATGCATATTCTTATCCCCAATGCATAGTGAAAATCAGATTTTATTTTTATTTTATTTCTTTGTGGCTCACCGGAACCACCAGTTGACCTGTTGGAAGTTAGATAATTATTGTTGGTTTCAGTTGATATTGCATGTGTTTTTGGTATACTAACAGAAGCAGTGATTCCCTGGCCAACACCCTTAATACTATGCCACCATCCGGTTGGAATGAAAAGAGCATCCCCTGGCTGGAGAACGGCATCATATCCGATGTTTTCCTGAGTTGTGCCCGATGTGTGCTCATTATTATTGTTGTCCCAGACGGCGTGGTCCAAGAGCTGGCGCTCTGCCCCTTTCATCATCTCCTCGCCTCTGATGGCAGAGCTGCATCCATGTCCTGTCCGAGCCGAGTCTAGTGTTTCCCTGACTTGAGCAAACACCCCACGTCCGACGTCTGGAGCTAGCAGCCTGACATGTTTTGAGCCGGCCAGCTGTACGAACAGGTTTGGGTTTGGGTCGCGGTGCAGGGGAGTGTATGTCGGAGCCAGCCCAACCCATATATTGGTATCATAGATGTCTCCCTTCCCGGCCTGCATGACATATGAGGGGGTCGGGAAGTCCTCCCGGAGCGAGCCCGGTAGATCCAGGAGCTGGCATTGAGCAAGGTACAGCCGTGGCCCGTCCTGTGCCTCTGCGGCCGGCGTCGACTGCACCGACCGCGTCCACTGAAGAAACAGGCTCAACGGCCGGTGAGCCCGCTCGAAGACGATTCCATCCCGTCCGCCGGGTATAGTCAGCTCCAATGGCACGTAGCAGTCGCCATGCTGCTCGAGGTAGGCGTAATTGAGGCCGGGATTGGACGCCGGTGCGGAGGAGGCAGCACCAGGCGGAGGAGGAGGAAGAGGAGTTGGAGGAGGGTCGAACCACCGGGAGACAGCGCGGTAGTTTCGGAAAAGGCCTCGAGGCAGGACGACCGGCCGCTGGGCCTTGAAGCAGGACTCACGGAAGAGCGCAACGCAGTCCGTGGCCAGCGTGTCGAGGGCGAGATACCGAAGCGCAGCAGAGCCCGTCATCGCCGCAGCAAAGGGGAGGAAGAAGAGGAGGAGGAGGAGGAGGAGGAGATACGCAGCCACCCAGCGCCGCCAGCTCCTGACGATCACGACCGCACACCAGGACTCCGTGCTCTGTGCAATTGGTATAACAAGGCATCAGCAGCACCAGCACCAGCACCAGCAGCAGGGGAGCGAGGAGCTGAAGAAGGTTGCTCGGGTCTGCGGACGAGCAGCAGCGCAGCGACGAATAGCTCGAGCCCCGGCAGCTCCAGCCAAGCGACTAAGGGACGCCCCTCGCTCGCCGGGAGGACTCTGCCAGCCCATCGCACTTTTCCCCTTTGCTGCTTAAGGCGAGCGCCGAGCTGCCATCACTAGACGCTACCCCAGATTGCTGCTGCTGCTCTCTTTCTCTCTGTCCGGCCAGCGAGACGGACGGACTGGCGACTGACACGGACGACTGACGCATCGGACCGGACTCGCTGCATGGCCAGCCCTGGGATGCGCTGGGCCTACCTAACTAACTAACTAGCCTGTCGACGCGAGAAGCAGCCAGGGACAAGGAAGAGAAGACGCTCGCACGATGTCCTCGAGATCTCCTACCGACGGCCAGACGCCCACGGCGACGACGGACGATGGGAAGCGCAAGGCAGAGCCTGCCACGGGCACGCAGACGCGGGCGAAGAGGAACAGGTACATCTCGCTAGCATGGTACGTCTTGATCCAGTGTATTTGGCCTTGGTCAAGTAGTTAGTTATTAACCTGGTGGTGAAGCAACGAGTGCAAGAGGCGCAAGATCAAGTGCAACGGCCAAGTACCCTGCCAGCGCTGCGGACATCTATCTCTCGAGTGTACTTTTTATATCTGCCCTCTCAGAGCCGGTTTTCAGTCTACGGAAGAGACGGGAGGGATGCTAACGGGCTGCAGGTCTCTATTCGCCGAACTGCTGTCAAAGCAATTTCAAGGACTCCGAGTAGGTTACTCTTTTTTTTTTTATTGTCCCCCTTTCCTGGTGAGATTGCCGTTGAACTTCACCTGATACTTACGTCCTCGGTGCTGTAGGGAGTTCCGGTCCATGAAAGATCGTATCGAGCGGCTTCAGGAACAGGTCAACACCCTGTTTGAGAGCATCAATGGCCTCCATCGACAGACCGAGTCGCCCGCGGTGGACAACACCTCCCAGCTAAGCCGGGAAGCGTCGAGGTCGATATCCTGGCACCAGCCCACGTTCGAGACACAGAATATCCCTATACCAAAGCCAAGGACGAAACATCTCCGCTTCTATGGGCCTACCAGCACCGCGTTCAACTTCGCCGTGGCCAAATCCAGTCTCCAGACCATGGGCATCACCCATATAGATGACGGCTCGCAGGAGATATACAATGCACAAGACGCCACGCCCACACAGACACCACCGTACCATTCGTCTGCGCTATATGCGAACTCTCTAACGTCAAACAAGGACCCGTTGTTCGCGATCAAGCGGGAGGAGGCCATTCGGCTGTGTAGAGTGTACGAGGATGAGATAGGGCAGATGTACCCCATGTTCGACGTGGAAAAGATGATCACGCAGACAAACCTCCTTTTCGCCTTCCTAGAAGCTGCGGACCGGAATGTCTGTACGGGACGGTCCAGGACCAGTGCTGATTGCCTGAATGACGACGATACTGCGATCCTGAAGATTGTGCTGGCCATCACCCTTCTCCTTGAAGGCAACGGACAGAGCGAGCTAGGCACTCAGCTGTACATCAGTATCAAAGACAAGATAGAGACCAACCTTTGGGAGCAGGGAGACCTGAAGATGATCAAGCTTCTTGCCCTTGTCGTTAGTATTCTCTTTTCCCCCCCTTTTTTTTAAATGCGCTATATCGCCCCCTCCCATTCTAATTAGCTCTCAAACGCAGGCTACCTATCACTTTCACACGGACGATGAGGTCCTGGCGTACCGTATGGTTGGACTTGCTGCTAGGATGTGCATTGAAATGGGACTACATCGACGGGATGCCGTCTTGAAGACGTTCCACTCCCCGGAGGATATCACTACCGTTTATCGAATCTTTTGGTCTGTATACACCTTGGACAAACGATGGGCGTTTGGAACCGGCCTTCCCTTTGTTATACAGGATGAAGATATTGATCCATGCTTACCCGAACCAGTGAGTTAAACTGTCCTTTTTTCTCGCCCCTACGAGTAAGTCAATCCGAGTGTCTAACTGTAAAATAACCCGATCAAGGACGAGGGTGTCCCTTACTTAAGGGCCATGGTTCATTACTGCCGTATAGCATCCAAAGTATGGTACTCTGGCTTTGGGTCAAAGGCCGACCTGACCGTCAAAAAGGACAGGATGGGCTACCTTGACTATCAGATTGTCGAGTGGATGAAACACATCCCAGATCCCCTCAACTTTTATTCAGTTGATAACTCCCGCAATTCAGAAGGCGTCAACCGTAGTATACAGAGGCTACGCTACGTTTTATATATCCGAGGAAACCATATGAGGATACTTATATACCGACCAGTGTTGCACTCTGCCACTAGCATCATCGAGAATATGGCATATGCTCAGACAGTGGTGGAAATTGCAAAGGATACCATTCGCGTTTTGAGTGAACTCAACCGGACAACCGACATCTACCGTTCACAGCAGATCCTCTTCAACTATTTCCTTGTTGGAGCTCTTGTCGTTCTCTTCCTTGCTATATCTCACGCCCCCGTCAAGTTCAACCGCCAGCTAACGGAAGAATTCCACATGGCTCTCAACCTTGTCAAGGGATTCAGCACCAAGTCTTACATATCTAAGCGGCTATGGAAAATGATCAAGGGCCTGCGTGAAGTCGGGGAAAGGCTCGGACTGCTACCCCATACTCTACCTACAGAGTCGGCAGACCCCCATTCCACAGCGGCTGTAGCCATGGCCGGGCTTGCAGGGCATTCGGTTGATGGGATCTCACCTTACGGAACGCACCAACACACGAACGGAGAACTAGGGAGCAGCCCGATGAACGGTGTACAAATGAGCAACGAGCTTACTTATCTGTTTGAAGCGATTGAAAATTATAATGGGTACATCACAACGGCTTCGGCACCCGATGGGATGAACGGTGGAGGCTTTGCTGGCACTGAGCATACTTTGCCCAGCGCCGGAGAGGCGCTACCCGTACTGGGCAACGAAGGAGAGTTTTCGAGGATTATACAGGACCTCTTCTGATGACCTGACAGGTGGAAGGACCTTCTCATTTTTGTGTTGATTACGTTTAGGTGTATACATCTCACTGCCACATAGAAGACGGCAAAAAAAAAAAAAAAAAGGAAAAGGAAAAAAAAAGAAACCTACCCTCAATATTACTAGGCCTTAATGCACATCCCCCACCTTTGCTCTCTACTATATCTACCTATGTCCTCCTATATCTACCGGTATCGCAGTATATCAATATCAATATCAAATATCAATATCAAATGTCAATAAGAATGGTCTATACTTCTTCTGCTTCTGCTTCGGGTGCTTACTCATCACATCACATGACGACCCAGACCTTCGAAAAGCGAAAACAAAAAGTTGAAAGGAAAAACATCAAGAAATCGATCAATCAGCGAGGAATTCGTGAAGCCGACGCTCTGCTTCCTCTCTCGCGACGGGACGTTCGACCGTTGTTGCCGCGAATCTGCTGTGCCGTGGACCTCCAGGCCGCCTGTCTCTCCCTACCACACGCTGTCGCATCGGCCACAGACAGCATCGAGATAGATCCCTGTCGCAACCAGCTCAACCGCCTGTTATCGATAGTTACCACAAATAAGCCTCCATTTATCCCACCATCCTTTACGAGTTCGGCCTCTGTCCGTCTTCCCGGTGCCGGAACATTGTTCTATATAGCTTCGCTTGCAAGTAAGGGGCCCGGCGACCACGCTCTCCTTGCGACTTGCAATCGGAAAAACGGACCTGACGGTGGGGGGGACCAAAAAGACACCCAGACCGCGTGCCCAAAGAAAGGTGTTTTTTGCGAAGATCAGCACAAAGTCACTCCCCTATCGCTCTGCATGATGATGGTCGTTTCTCCCTAGAGCTTTCGTTGTGACCTTTACATCCCTTCTCACGCAGCAGCCATTACCCTGAAATCCCACCTTCGCGTGCAAGGAACAACCGCTCTCAGTTTGAATAATAATAATAATACTACTACTACTACTACTACATCACCTCCGCAACATCCGGCCACCCCTTCTCACAACTACTCAATACGTCTATCAAATAGGTATCCTTTGACCCTTAACCTCTACGGCCATCTTTTTAAAACCGCGTTTACTACCATGTCTTTAATATCGGACGGGGCGGGAGAGACATGGATCTCGTCATACTGCTCATTAATGGGCCATGAATATTTTGCAGAGGTCTCCGAAGAATTCATCGAAGACGACTTCAACCTGACCGGACTGGGAGCTCTAGTACCACGATATAAGGAGGCTTTAGAGCTTATTTTGGATGTGGAGCCTGATTCGGACGAGGACGATGAAGAGGACGAAGACGAATATGAGGAGGACGAGGATATCGTCCTGGGAGATGAACGGTCTCCAGACTACAAGAAGTCTGAGAGGAGACACAATCGTGTTGCAAGCGACTTGAGCGTTATCGAAAGCTCCGGGGAACTGCTATACGGGCTGATCCATCAACGCTACATAACGTCTCGGCAGGGGATGCAGCAGATGTTCGAAAAATACCAGCTGCAGCATTTTGGATCCTGTCCACGAGTCCTGTGCGGCGGGTGCAAGGTTCTACCAGTTGGCCGTTCAGATATTCCTGGCAGAGACACAGTGAAGCTATACTGCCCCAGCTGTCAGGATATCTACACTCCTCCCAACAGCAGGTTCCAGTCCGTTGACGGAGCCTTTTTTGGCACAACTTTCGGGTGTTTATTTTTCATGACCTTTCCAGAGCTTGATGTTGCAGCCAAGGCGGAGTCTGGTGCCAGTGCTTTGGCTGGAGGAGCCAATGCAAGACGTACATCTCTCAACAGCCCATCAGGGTCCACCATTTCACAGCCTCCAAACCAACCGATCCAACTCAATGGTTTTAATGTATCCAACATCGCCCCAGGCCTAGGTGCTGGCAAAATATACGAGCCCCGGATATACGGGTTTAAAGTGTCAGAGCGTGCCAAATCTGGACCAAGGATGAAGTGGCTGAGGATGAAACCAGAAGATATCAACGAACTGGACGAAACGACAATATACCATTCTGGGCACACAGGAAATGGTCAGGGCTGTGACGAAGATGAAGAAGACCAAGCAGATAGAGACGCAACCCTGAACGTCATCAACCAACGTAAGAAGGCACCAATCCGTCGACGGAGGGTAGTCGCACCGAATGGCACGGATCCGATGGACACGAACGGAGACAAGGCGAGTAAATAGAAGTAAGTTTATTTTCCCTTGGAGCATCCTTTTATTGCTTGTTATTATCATCAGCATAATACTACCCTCTTTAACATGGACTCCATGCTAACTTTTATTTTTACAGGCAGAAATATCCCCTGGCCTACTCTTGGCGAATCATCACCGTTTGAACCCGTTCCCTTTGTGGAGACTGGCAGTTGCTTATTTTTCATCACTTCCAATTTTATTTGATACGCGTTCACGCATTGAGAGAGGAGTTACATGTGTTCAATGCTGCTTTCATGACCATGTCAAATATGCACGATATAGGACAGGTGAATATATCAAGAGACGGGAAGGGGAAAAAAAAAAAAGAAAAAGAAAAAGAAAAAAAGGAAATATAGTACTCCATACAAGCATGTAATTGCAGACGAGGCCGTCAGCTCGCCTACATCTTTTATCTTCCACTAACTACTCTCCCTATCCTTCCACTTAATCTATCGACAATCGCCTCTGTCCCTAGAGACGGCCCGCCTTCTCCACACGCCAGTCCAAGCTGGCTCTCTGACTTTGCTTCTTTAAATAGTGCACACCACGAACGAAATGAGCTAAATCTTCGGATATGCAGCAATGCTGGAGCTACTTACGAATCGGCTTATAGCCTAGACCGGAGTCACGATCGTGTGTCCGCTGGTTGGCTGGCTGTACCAATCTCCCTTCTGCTTCTTATCCCAGCCCCTTAGGAGGCAACGCGCCAGCAAGAACAAGTACATCGACCAAAATCGACGCCCTGTGTATCCCGTCCAGTCATAGTATTAATATTTCTCCGACTCGGGATAGAGTTCTGCAAGAGAGAGTCGACGTCTGCCTGTATGTTCCACAGCTCGTGAAACGACCAAATGCGAGGTCGAAGAGCAAGGGTGCTGTAGACTGAAAAAAATAATAAAAAGCAGAAAATAAAAATAAAATAAAATAAAAAAATAATAATAATAAAACGAGAAAAGATCACTCAGGAGAAAAGGCCTTGACTGTGGAAAAAGCCTCCGCCGTAATGTTATACATGCATCTCCGTTTAATGCTGGATGCCGGCCAGGGCGGTTGGGGAAACGAGGAATTGCGGCTTACAGCAAGGCATCCTGCTTGGATGGTTGGTGGTTGGGGAGATGAGGCTGGTTTTTGGTGATTTAGGCACGCCTGAGGAAAAGGCTGCCAGCTTTTGCTACCCCGTATTTATTGATATTAAACCTACCGTCAAGGTGGCTCAGCACCGCAATACAGCTGTTCGTCCTGATATGAGGCCACGAGCAAGTGGTAATTAGTTAGTTAGTTTCATGCATATAGTTACATGGAAACTAACTAGTTAGCACAGCTTGGGGGCAAGCTAACCTATCCAGACGGCCAGCAGGAGCATTCTGTAGACCAGCCAGCTGGTTGATACACGAGTTAACTGCCCCGGGCGTCCAGTTAACTAACTAGCCAACTAGTTAACCAAATGACTAGCCGCCTGGTTAACTGTAGTTAGTTAACTGGTCGATGGCTGAATAACTAACTGGACAGCCAGCCAGATCTCTGGACCCTGCAACAGTTCCAGCGCATGTCCGCGGATCTTCTGAGGGAGATATCAGCCTCTATACCCATTCCGGCTGGCCATGGATAGGACAAGGCTTCTCTCTTGGTTCGCCTTCTTGGTCATGATTGACTCGGGGCGGTCTTCCCGTTGAGCAGGATGTTCAGCCTTCCGGCTAACCTTTCTCCTTTTTTTTTTTTTTATTTTGCTCGACCAGGGTGCTCCGTATACATCTGCTTGATGCCTCTAGATCTATATATAGGATCGCCATTGATCATCTGGAGTCGGCCCATATGTACGTGTGTAGGCATATATATTCCTTGGCCCATCCTCTGTCTCATCATCCTATAAAGACAAATATTCACAATTGCTATTCCTCCATACATTACTTGTTCACATCGCCCCAAGCATCATCGTCCAGTGGCCTAAATTGTCAGCCAGCCGGGTACAGGCCCAGATAACCAACTAGCTACTAAAAGAACGGCCGTTCAGCGTTGGGATACCACCATGGCCGACTACCAAAACAACCAACCACCTCACTGCCAGGAATCATATGTATCAAAGTTCTCCGTCAGAAGTGCATTTAGTCCCCATGCTCACCCGAATGAGGATTGGACAAAGATATCCGATCTGGCGGAGAGACGTCGGATCCAGAACAGAATCGCTCAACGGAATTACCGTGAGACCTCTTTCTTCTGTCAACATCAACACATTTGATTCGGATAACTGGGTTGGTTTGCTAACGGGCCTAACTACAGGCAAGAAGCTAAAGAAGAGGCAAGAGGACCAGCTCAGGCAGACAACCTCTTCTCCCGAACACTCGCCTGACGAGAGCAGCTCGGTCAGGGATGAACCCTACGCAGCTGAATCGGAGAGCATCGAACAACACACAGCCCGGTCACTGAAGCCTGTTCTACGGCCGAGACTGTCGTCAAGCTCGCCCCCTACCAACTTTCAACTGACGCAGGAATCACCACCACCTCTCTATTCTCAGTCGTATGAAAGCGTCAGCTCTATATCCTCGGCTCCCATGGTCACGTATTCTCCCTATAGCACGCATTCAGATGGATCTATATCTGCGTCATACTCCTGTGCTCCTCTACCAGGGGTAATACCGGATATCTATGGTGGCCAGGGCCAGCGGCTGGGGTTCGATGGTCCAGAGCCTTCAATATCTCCCCCATACTTTGTATCCCCCAGACCAGAAAGATACTGCGGCATTGATGTTGATTACCTTACCTCGTCCGATTTGGCAGTCACTTCCACCGCAACGATCGCGGCGACCATGCCTCCATACATGAAGATGTCGGACCCGATGTACCATTACGACTACTCAGACCTGTACCCAATTTCTACCGCTCCGGGGAGCAGCTCAACGTCGCAACGATACTAAGTCTTTTGAGGATCACTGGTATCAATCACTTTTTAATGCCGTCATGATCAGCCTTGTTGTTAAAGTTAAAGTCCCCTCCCTTTTTTTAACGGATTGGTTCATCGGTGTCTACCAGGCAGAGAGCTGCTGGCCACCATGGAGATATGTTCTTTTCCTCAATTATTCTTTTTTTTTTGTCTCCATCTTTGCCCAGCTTGTACATAGTTACATATCCCCAGTATAGAAGAAGTTAGTTCGCATTGAAACTCTGTCTCCGGCCCATACGCAGCGATCACGAGGATCAACCTTCGGTTCAAGGAACTCAGCAGCCAAGCAGCTCACTAGATCATGTCGTTGTATTGATACCCGAAAGCTAAAAGTTGAGCGCGGGCCGATATGTACCACCAACTAGGAACAGTATCCGGCGGGGAGAACTGGCTTTTTTTGCGAACACCAAGGCTAAGTAAGCATTGCGGTCCAGATTCAAGCTAATTAAAGCTGTAGCCAAGATGGAATGATGCAGACGAAGGGTTCAGGATACAGGATGTTTGGTGATTGAAACGCCACAAAGGCGCAATTTTTGAAAGATTGGCACGTAACCACTCATTCAATACCACCCTCCAACGTCATCGGGACCATCGTCACTTGGAGGTAACTAAAACTACCTTACGGCGTCCACAGCTTAACTGCCAGCCCGGAAAAAAAAAAGGGTGCTCGAGCTGCTTCATGGGTGGCATTGGCCCAGCAAAGCCAGCACTTCCCCGAAGCAGACGCCAGTACCTCCTGCTCCTTGCTTGACTCCAGCAGCAACACCGGCATCCTCCCCCCAAGGTGAGCTTGTAAATGCACTATTTTAGTCTCATGTGATTCAATCCAGGTGGTTCGTGCTGACTAGGAACTATCAGGGATGTTCCAAGTACCCTGGAGTTGGTTTGCATGACTTTCTCGTATATATAGTCGCCTCGACCTTACAAGCCATGAAAGCTCCCACTGAAAGCCGAAGGCTTGGAGTATTATGGGGTGATTTGAAGAAATGAAAACTGCAGACGGGGATTATGTCCGGTTGGCCTAGCCTAGGTCCGATATGATAGCGCGGTTGTATCGAGGTTGAAGCGAAGGGTTCCCTTGCAGCAATCGTCACTTCAATTCGACCAGACATGATAGCGAAGAGTGAATTATGAGTTTGAGAATACGAAACCTGGCTCCTCCAGTTCCGCCCTTGTACTCCATACATGGTTGAGGTACCAATATTTGACTTTGATGGGTTTTACCTCGTTATGGAAACTTGAAACTTCACTCAGATGGAGATGCGGTGAGATCCCCCTCCTTGCATCTGAGGTACCCGCTAGCGAGCTCTTTCCATTGAATCCCGCTCCATCAGGCATTATAGAAAACAGGGGTGCGGAACCAGTTGACCCATCGGACGCAACACGTATGCCTGTCCTGAGAACGCCGTGACTTATCGACAACCAGATATTCCTTCCGCGTTTCATCGGCTCCCTTCCACAGTGTGACAGGCGTCTGATGTGCACACAGCCAGGAACATCGTATTCAAAGTGCACAGCATAACCAGACTAACCGTCAAAACACTGGTTACTGAGTCACTGACTTACGCTCAGATTGGGTGAGCATGGTTCACCGCGCATGAATGGTGAGTGTTTTCAGCAGAGTTGGTCGTGACAATAGCATTTTTATGCATATCTTTTAATTTATCTAAAAATAGACCTGGAGCCGCCTGGTTGGTTAACTCTTTTCTCGTCATGACTAACTAACTAACTGTTGGTTGGAGCAGAGTCAGGATGCTAAAAATAACAACACATCCCCCGGAAACCTTGGCGCGCTAAGTCAACCAGTCAGCCATTCATAGGCGTCGGCTTCCGGCCTGCTACAGATCTCATCTTCAGGGATGGCCAGCGACAGGCCACTCAGGTTGCAGGCAAAAAGCGCCAACGTGGCAGACTTGTTCGTATACTTGTCCAGTATCCTTGGATAACACACCGAGGGCTCCGTAGAGTTTTTTTTGGAGGGTCGTCAAGAATTTAACCTGAACCCCCCACGCGCAAGACAACAAAACTGACCCCGAACGGCCTGTTGCTTAGAGCTTCGTCTCGTTAAGGAGTGTGAGCTTCGGAAACTCCATTGGGAACGACCACGGATAATATATTGCAATTGCAAACTTGACTGACAGGGACCAAATGATTGTAAGCGTACTGCTGTGTTATTCGTTAGACTATTTTTATCGACTGTCTATCTGTACCGACTGGCTGTAACTGAGTCTGAAATATCCCTCCCGTAAAGCAACAAGAAATCAAATCGCCTAACTGCTCAAATATCTATCCCATCTGTCTATATGACGGGAAATCTATCAGCAATACGCCATAGCTCATAAGAAAGAACGAGAAAAGAAGAAAGCACGCTAAGCCGCGGATCTTATTCCCCGCTCAAAGGTGACAGGCACTGGTAGCCGTAGCCTAGAGGAGGCTTTTTACACTTTGACACTACAATCGTATGAGTTAGTTTCATCGTCAAGAGTCTAAGGGGAAGGGTTTCAGGGATATAAGTTACCTCCATTCGTGCTCAACCTCACCATACTGGATTTCCTCAATCCAGTTCTTCATCTCAAGAGCGACCTGGCCAGCCTCCTCATTCGGCTTCAAGCCACACTCGATCTTTTGTCCTTTCCAGCTGATATCGCGGACAGGGCTGACAATAGCAGCGGTGCCAGCACCGAAAACCTCAATGAGTCTGCCATCCTTTGCTGCCTGAGAAATCTCCTTCATGGTGACTTTGCGCTCAGACACACCCCACCCTCTTGGGACAAGTCTCTCCCTTGCCAAAGCCAGGACAGAGTCTCTGGTCACACCTTCGAGGATAGTTCCATCCAATGGAGGGGTCAAAAGCTCGCTTTTGCCAGTTTCCTTGTTCTTCATGGCGATGAACAAATTCATAGTACCGACTTCGGTGACATACTCTTCCTCACCGAAGAGCCAGAGATTCTGCTGGAAGCCACGAGTTCCAGCTTCCATCTGTGGGACAATGCAAGGGGCATAGTTTGCACCCAGTTTCTTGTCACCGACACCACCTGGCCATGCACGAACAGCATAATCAGTGGCTTCAAGAGAAACTGCCTTGAAGCCGGTGGGGTAGTACGGACCAACAGGGCTGGCAATTACAAAGAGAAGAGCGGAACCGGGAGCAGCAACTCCGAGAGACTCCTGCGTTCCAATAACGGTTGGCCTCAGGTAGAGAGAGTAGCCCCGCTCGCTGGCAGAGTGACCAGGTTAGCAAGGAAACCATACATAGGGCGTGGAAACTCAAAAGTTAAAAAAAAAATAGACGTAACGGCACTCAAACAAAAAAAAAAAAAATAAAAAAATAAAAAAATACCTTGGGATGAATCTGCCATCCAGCTTGACAAGGTCACCGATGAGTTTCGTCATGATTTCGGGGTCAAAGGTTGGGAGTGCAATGCGCTGGGTTGACTTGTTCAGTCTGGCCATGTTTTTGTCAGGTCTGAACAAGCGAATAGAGCCATCTTTCGCTTTATAGGCCTTCATACCCTCAAAGCACTCAAACGCATAATGAAAGACAGAGGCGGATGGAGCCAGACTCAAATTCTGGTATGGCATGATATTTGGAGCAAGCCATCCATCTTTGGTGTTCCATTTCACCTGAAGCATATGATCTAGGGTATGCTGGTCAGTATTGGGTTCAATAACTTATGCCGGATATTACTTCGGCTGGAATTGGGCGAATTACCGGTGAAGGTGGCTCCGAATACCAGGTCCTTGTTCTGCTGCAGCGGCTTGGGAGATTCAGACTTTGTGATAGTGAGCTTTGAGTAGTCAATGCCGGGGAGGCCATCACTGCGCGAGCGGCTGGCACTGTAGTTCCTCTGATATCTGCCGAACCTGGTCGTGACAGGGCTTTTAGGGGTGGTCATTGCGCTGAGAGTTCGGTTTAACGGGACGAATGACTTCATAACTGCAAGGATAAACCAGAATTCACCAGAATCAATCAAAAAGAAGAAGACGGATCTTCGTGGGATTCAATGGTTCATATATGTTCAACAGGAATAAGTGACTCACGTAATCTCGCACGTCTCAGGATGAAATCATTGAGAGGCGAGAGAGCAGGAGAAACGGACGCTTAACCGCGGTCGTTTCGCTTGCGGCCCCCTATGCGCCAATCGGATCACGGGATCGCGGCTTGCTCGCTGGCTGTTGGCCCGGCCGGGTGGGCCTCTCGGCATTTTGTTTTTCCTTCTTCCGGCCGAGACAGCAGAGAGTCACGTGGGTAGTCACGTGGAGGTTTCAGGTTTTGCGAGAGGCCGAAAGGGGAAGATCCGGACGGCGCGGCGGCTGGCGGGCGGCCAGGGAGCATCGCAGACCAGCTTTCACCACCACCGGGCGCGACAGCCTTAGTATACGGAGTATACAGTGCCAGTTTCAGGGGTTTAGGACCAGCGTTCTCGGCACCTATGACCGTTGTTCTGGCCCTATCAATTGACTTTTTGAGGAGTTGTGTTGCCTGGATCATCATCGCGCTAACTAGTTAACTAACTATCGTGTCAAACGTTCAAACTTGCTGCCCAAGGGACCTCACATCATACCCACCCCCATCCCGGACCCAAGAGGTGCGATATCTGATATCTGCTTTGCGGCGCTGGAGTAGATACTCGATGCAGGATACCCAAGGGTTTGATAGCTAGTGATACCAACATGTTCCTGGGGGGCCAGCTTTACTTGATGCGACATTCAGCGTGAATCACCATTTGACCATTCACCATGTTCTCGTCAGCTTTGAAGTCGTTCTCATCGAACATATCTAATAACTACCAGTACTCGCCCAATCCCTCGTTTATTTCTGGTCCTTGGAAGGTCCATGATGGCAAGAACAAGAACTCTGGAAAAGCTGTCTCCATATTCATATTTGACCGGAAATCCCTGGATCCTCGGGCTGGAGGGTTGGTTTCGCGGTCAAACGCTACCTCGCTAAAGAAGGTCCATGAAGAAGTCGTCGAGAGGCTGAAGCGGGAGGCTGCAAACCTTGCCCGCCTGAGACATCCGTCCATTCTTCAGATCATTGAACCGGTGGAAGATACGAGAAATGGCGGCTTGATATTTGCCACAGAAGCGGTCACAGCATCGCTATCTGGCCTTCTACAGGAGAAAACGGACCAGGAACTCTCTAGTCGTGTCGGAGGGAGAGTCAGTCGTCACATGATTGAAGAGGCTGACGGATCAAGAAGGAGGCGGGATTTCGAGATTGACGAACTTGAGATTCAGAAGGGACTTCTTCAGATTGGCAAGGGTCTAGAGTTTCTGCATGAGTCTGCCAAAATCGTGCACGGAAACCTCACCCCCGACGCCATTTACATAAACGCAAAGTCAGATTGGAAGATATCTGGCCTATCCTTTGCCGGGCCTACAAATCCCGATTCACAATCGCCACTACCGTCCCTTGCATTATCGGAAGCCTTGTATTATGACCCCCGGCTGCCCAGGTCTGTACAGCTTGATTTGGACTATACCTCTCCTGACTTTGTTATGGACTCCAATGTCTCTTCGTCGGCGGACCTGTTCTCTCTTGGACTTATAATAGTGGCCCTCTTCAACTCCCCCCATATCTCTCCCTTGAAAACTAATAACTGTACGAACACATATAAAAAACTACTTAGCTCCTCTTCTACTATCCCTTCCCAATCAAATTCCTTTCTCTCTTCGGGACCAATACCAAAGGATCTCTCAAACCATGTCCTGCCAAAGCTTATCACCAGACGACCAGCCCAAAGGATGAATGCCAGTGAATTCCAGCAATCTCAATACTTTGATAATGTTCTGGTTTCCACCATCCGTTTCTTGGACACTTTCCCGGCCAAAACACAAAATGAAAAGTCACAGTTTATGAGGGGACTATCAAGAATTTTGCCGGAGTTTCCAACTTCGGTACTAGAGCGCAAGGTTCTGGGAGCGTTGCTTGAGGAAAGCAAAGATAGAGAATTACTGCCGCTTATTCTTCAAAATGTCTTCAAGATCCTTCTACGGGTCCCGTCAAGCCAAAGACTAGTTCCGGATAAAGTTCTTCCCCGTCTGAAAGAAATATTTCTCCCACCTAGTGGTAAGGGTGCCGTTCAAGAAAGAGATACAAGCAAAGATGCCGGGCTTATGGTTCTCTTGGAGAACACGCAAGTCCTTGTTGACAACTGCTCTGGCAAAGTCTTCAAAGATGGTTCGTCACTCACAACACCAGAATTACCTGTTTTCACTTGACTGACGCTTATCATAGAAGTGGTACCACTGATACTTCTTGGGCTGGATTCACCAACGCACTCATTAGTAGATGCATCTATGAAGTGCCTACCAATAATGCTTCCGGTACTCGATTATACGACGGTCAAAGACTCAATATTTCCCCCCATAGCATCGGTATTTGCCAAAACTAGCAGCCTTGCAATCAAAGTCCGGGGTTTGGAGGCATTTTGTGTTCTCTGTGGTGGTTCATCAAAGCCCAGCAACCAGTCGACGGACGACGACCTTTCAGGAATTATCACAGACACCCAGACAGCAGCCAAGTCAAGCTCCAACTCTATTCTTGACAAATATACCATTCAGGAGAAGCTTATTCCATTGCTAAAGGCAATCAAGACTAAGGAACCAGCAGTAATGATTGCTGCCCTGAATGTCTTCAAGCAGATAGGGCACATAGTCGATATAGAATTCGCAGCACTCGAAGTCCTTCCAATTCTCTGGAGTTTTGCACTAGGTCCGCTTCTCAATGTCCAGCAATTTTCCTCTTTCATGGAGTTTATAAAATCGCTGTCGTCAAAGATTGAGCGAGAACAGACTAAGAAGCTGCAACAACTATCGTCTGGTAGTGATGCAGGAGGGTTTTCCAAGAATTCATCACTCCAAACCGGGAGGATGTCCCCTTTGCATAACGGGGGAGAAGCCGGCAGCGACAAATCCGACTTCGAGCGTCTTGTGTTAGGTAAAAACAAGGCATCATCTCCCTCCATAGACGCTTGGGGTGATTGGGGTGACTCGTCTACCTCGATGGCCCAAACTCCTACAAAGACAGAAACTGTGCCTCAATTCTCATGGTCTAGTGGCAGTACTGCTGCTGCTGCTACCGCACGACAAGGCAACGGCGGGATAGCCAAACCGAACGCAAACATGCGATCAATCACACCCGACACGACTATTAACTCGTTCCCGACGCTGCAGCCAGGTCATAAGAGCAACACTTCATCGCTGTCTTCGATGGCCACCCTCCAGCCTCTCTCCCCCAAAGCTCCTCCGGGCAACGTGATGATGATGGGAAGCAATAACTTCGGTGCGCAGCAGGGTGCTAGCCAGTTGAATCCTTCCGGCACCAACTCCTTTAACATTCCTACCATTGGTGGCAGGCCGGTTAACAGTGGCAGCTTATCATGGCAGACCCAAGGTCAGATGAATGCCACGGCGCCCTTATCTCCGTATACCATCGCTCCGCCTCCTCAGAGCAACAACCAATTCCAACGGAGTCATTCGGCCATCTCGGCCAACACCACGTCTGCCTTTTCTAGTCTAAACTCACCTCCGGCTGTCACCTCCAACCAGCAGCAAAAGCAGGGACTGGATAAGTATGATAGTTTGCTCTAGCACTCGAGCGCATTCAATACCTTTGAGGACATAGCTTTTACGACGACAAATTTACTTGATTAGACAGTTTCATATCTGCTACATGCATCCTCATGTATAGCTAGAACCAGCTCTACTGAAGTTAGCGAGTTAAGTACATAAATAGTTAACTAGTTAAAGAGTGAGTCCATCTATCGATAAGAAAGTCCGTAAGATGTCGTATTTAACAAATATTCAATGAAGCTGCCGGCGGGAAAAAAAAAAAGGTACAGGAAGCCCAGGCTACCGGATTGGCGCGTTAAGTTAATTGTTCACACCGGAAGGTTAGGCCTGATAGTTAACTAGCTTAAGCAGCAAATCGGTACATCGCAACCAAGGCCTCCTTGCATGCCCTCCATGACCCCTCTTCGCCGCAGCTGCAGCAGAGCGTCCAGCGGCTTCTTCTCCCTCGCCCTCCTCCGCAACCACCGTCCGCCTCCAGCTTCAGCTTCAGCGTTACGATCACCGTCAAAGGCTCTCCATCGGCATTTCTCGAGTAGTGGTAGCAAGCTGAACTCCGGAGCTATGGATACCCAGACGAAGCACCAGTACCTGGCCGACTCTCCGCCAACGATTGTGAGGCTTGAGATACGGCCTCACTTTGAGGCTCTGAAGGACGAGAAGCTCAAGAGATACTCTCATTTCATCAGCAGGTGAGCTTGCAGTCGGCTATTCTATATTTCTGACTATTTATTATTTCATTTGTCCCTTTTGCGTAGGCGGAACTGACTAACTAGTTGCTTGCAGGGCTGCTTTCCAGGGAACCAGAATCACTCTCCGTCAAGTCTCCCCCGAATCCGAACCGATATACGACCTTATATTATCTCTCTACAACTCCTGCAAGGGAGACTGGAAGGGGCTGGCTGCGAAGACAAACACAAGCTCTGAGAACCTGCAGTTTTTCCTTGAGTATGCCGCGCAGTTCCTGGGGAACTGTGGAAACTACAAGGGGTTTGGCGACTCCAAGTTTATCCCCAGGATCCCGTCTGATGCTTTCGAGGCTCTGGCTTCGGGCTCGCCGGAGACGAAGAAGCTTTTCGAGCTTGCGTGCAAGACCGGAGGAGGGATATATGAGACTGCGTCGCCAGATCTGATGCATCTGGGATACCCCGAGAAGGGCCAGATGACGACGTATTACCCGGATTCTCCAACGATTACCAAGGAAGAGATCACTTTGATCGGTGATTTCCTAGAGAAAAAGCAGCTTCTACTGGAAAACACGAGACTCAGAAAGACCAAGGAGGGTAACTTTGAGCTGTTGATTGCGTCGGCGGAGACATCGCCGGCTGGCAAGGACAGAGATGTTGGAGATGTTCAGGGATGGGATCTTGAAGGCAAGCTTGCCGGCAAGAAGCTTACGCTTGTGTACGGTGACTATTCCGAGGTCATGAAGAAGATTGCAGAGAGCATCAAGCAGGCCGGCGCGAACTCGGCAAACGAGATACAAAGGAAGATGCACGAGGAGTACTTCAAGTCGTTTACCACCGGGTCGATAGAGGCCTACAAGGAGAGCCAGCGTTACTGGATTCGGGATATCGGCCCCATGGTAGAGTCTGACATTGGCTTTGTCGAGACCTACCGCGACCCTCACGGCGTTCGAGGCGAGTGGGAAGGCTTTGCAGCAATGGTGCGTATCTGCCCAGCGATTGTCCGAATGCACTTCTACGTTTTACTGACTGCTATCGTATGTATGTATGTATGTATAGGTCAACCTGGAGCGGACCAAGGCGTTCAGCAAGCTGGTTGAGAATGCCGAGAAGATGATCCCCAAGCTGCCCTGGGGCAAGGAATTTGAGAAGCAGACCTTCTTGAGTCCCGACTTTACCTCGCTCGAAGTGATGAGCTTTGCAGGCAGCGGCATCCCCGCTGGGATTAACATCCCCAACTACGACGACATCCGCCAGAACCTGGGGTTCAAGAACGTGTCCCTGGGCAACGTGCTGAGCGCAAAGGCACCTAACGAGCCAGTCCCTTTTATCCGCGAGCAGGACCTGAGCCTGTTCCGTGAACACCGCGACGCCGCGTTTGAAGTGCAGGTAGGTATCCACGAGCTGCTCGGCCATGGCACGGGCAAGCTGCTACAGGAGACCAGCCCCGGCAAATACAACTTTGACGTCTCCAACCCGCCGGCGAGTCCGATTGACGGCAAGCCCATCTCGACCTGGTACAAGCCCGGCCAAACCTGGAGCTCCGTCTTTGGATCGATTGCCTCTTCGTACGAGGAGTGCCGGGCCGAGTGCGTGGCCATGGCTCTGGGCTGCGACTTTGGCATCCTGCAGCTGTTTGGCTTTGGCGATGGCAAGGAGGACATCAACGGCGTGGCAGGCGACGTCCTGTACGCCAGCTACCTGCAGATGGCGCGCGCCGGCGTCGTCGCCCTCGAGTTCTGGGACCCCAGCAGCAAGAAATGGGGCCAGGCACACATGCAGGCGCGGTTCAGCATCCTGCGAGTCTTCCTGGAGGCCGGCGACGACTTTGTGCGCCTGGTGCACGCGAAGGACGACCTCTCGGACCTGGAAATCCACCTCGACCGGTCGAAGATCCTCAGCCACGGCCGGCCAGCGGTCGAGCGGTACCTCCAGAAGCTGCATGTGTACAAGAGCACCGCGGACTTTGCGGCCGGCAAGGCGCTCTACGACGAGAGCACCCACGTCGACGACTGGTGGGGGACCAAGGTGCGTCCGGTCGTGCTGCAGAAGAAGGTCCCGCGCAAGGTCTTTGTGCAGGCCAACACCGTCCTGGAGGGCGACCGGGTGGTGCTGAGGGAGTACGAGCCGACGCTGGAGGGCATGATCCAGAGCTACGCCGAGCGCGACGTCTAGCATCTCCAAGGCTGTCTCTGCTGCCTCTGCTGCCTCTGCTGTCTCTGCTGTCTCTGTTGTCCCAAATCACCATCCTCCCATCGCCATCCCAAGGTGTCCCATCAATGTCTCTGCTGCCTCTGCTGCCTCTGCTGTCCATCCCATCACCATCCCATCGCCATCCCATCACCAACTGTCTCTGCCACGCCAACAACGCTTGCTCGACTTGCTCGACTTGCTTTCTCTATTCATCGTCTCTTCCTATTGTCGCGGCTCCTTTTATTGACGGCCCGGAAAAGCAAAAGGGGGCGACAATAGGAGTCCTGCTTAGTAAGCCTATTGACCAGCGAGGCGAAAAATGCATAAAAAGTGTTATTAAGATGCATTTTTGGGCGCTGCAGGGAAGAAGAAGAAGAAGAAGAAGAAGAAGAAGAAAGGGCAGGTTTCTTTTCTATTGATGCAGGCATGTCAATGTGCTAGCCACACAGCTGATAATGCATGCTGGTAGATAATAAATAATAATAAGGGGACCCCATGCCTGTGTGGGCTGCCAACAAAAGGGACTTCTTGTACAGAGTAGCCTGCCTGCCTGCATCTGAATATATTTAATATTGAACACTGCTGGACTGCACAACCTCCCCATCCTCATTGATCCTCTTTATAGCCCTTTGCCATAGCAACAGACTCCGCTTCTCTTCTGCCTGGCCTTATATATATATATATATATATCTTCATCTTCTGTTGTATTCTCTCTTCCTCAGTCTCCTATAGCAACCAACGCTCTACTTTGGGACTGTTGTTATTCCTGCCTCTTCACCAGATATCAAATTACCGAAGCACTGCCAAAAAAGAGGGCAGCAAAAAGAGAGAGAGATAGAGAAAAAGGAGAAAGAAAATGCTACCACCGTCGGATTCCCTTGCCCATCAAAATCTCAAGCTGGCCGAAGTCCTCGCTAGTATTCAAAAGCAGACTGCTGCTGCTGCTGCCGCTGCTACTGCTCCTCCGCCACCATACGCTGCCACTGCAACTACTGCTACACCCGTGCCCAGCAACAACATCACTGCACCCGAGCTGCTAGGGGAATTTGAAGATGACGAGGAAGACGATAACTCGTCTTTGGCCCCCATTGTCATCAGGATTGATACCTCCATCTCCATCGACGGGCAGAATAACACCGTCACTATCCCTTCATCTTCCGAAGACAGTCACTCAGATGCTCAGAGCCCAGTCTCCTCAATACAACAGCTACAGCAACTGCAGCAGCGTCGACAGGCCAAGTCGGCACAGCTGGCGTCGGCTATCATCTCAGCTTTGAAATCCGCCGGTGCCCTGGATGACCGGGAGACGGGCAGACAGCGGCCGATTGAAGTTGACGTCAATGCCGGCATTAGAATTACGGGGAATTCAAACATGATTTGTCCTGGCGCTCGTAAGAGGAGTGCATCGGACCTGGTTTCGGGAAAGCCGGACAGGAAGCGTCGGGCACAATCTGTATGTTTTCAACCATTTTCTACTACCCTATCCTCAGGGATATCCATTAACATACGAGATATAGGAACCCCTAGATACCCCTGAGAGGAAACGAGTACATCCTAGCAAGGAGTCAGCTGGTCCCTGAATTGTCTCGTTTTCTTTTTCTTTTTTTTTCTTCGCTCCTTTTTTATATCAATGGAGCAGTCTGATCCGACCATGGCTTCAGTCTACGTCTACATCCAAGTAAGCCCAAACGAAGCCATTGTCAATACGGACCAGATTTGGTGTCATGATAATTGATGACGGATTCGGAATAGGGTAGGTTATTCTTTCTTTCATTCTGTGTGACACTGTTGTTTGCTTCGGTATCTTTGGTCTAACATATTGAATAGCAGGCCATTTGACGAGCCTCCATTTGCTTGCTTTCTTTTATGTCACCCTGTTTCCCAATCCCGCTATTCACTTACCGTGCAAAAGCGCTGAGCAAACTGAGATGCCTTTGATTTGACATAGAGATCACCCCATGCGAGTTTCACGGCCTTGTTTTAACTGACGACGGGAATGTATTACTACTATTACTGCTGCTTTCATTCTGACGAGGAGTTGTACGGGAGGGTTATGTTAGACATAGGTGGCCTTTAGAACTAGCTTGTACTTTTTTTTTATCAATACTCGTTACCTGCATGCTCGCTTGCTATTGTCCAAAACCCCTCTTAAGCTTATATGTTGGATCTATCCCAGAGCCATGGATAGCGGCCCATCCATCGCGCGACTTGGTTCTACGTTGGCTAGCTAGAAAGTTAACTAGTTGCTTGACGGTTTCCTCGGAACCAGCCAGCGGCCAGTTAAAGGTACTTGGTTGCATCAATATCTAGATAGTTTTTTCCCCACGGCTTTCCGCTCTGCCTGGCTGCTTACCGATGCCTGGTTCTTCTCGTGGAGATCAACGAGCGAGCATCTATAACAAATTAGTTAGGAGACCCCGGTTCCATCATTGCCAGGTCGCTGGCCAGTTTTTATACTGGAGAACATCCCAGGGAACGTCAGTCGCCACGCAAAGTGACGTCAAGTCAATGCATCAAATGGTCCATCAAATATAAAAGGGAGCGATGTCTACGTAGGATAGAACAGATAGAATAGAATCATCACATTTATCTTCGTTCCCCTTGGTATATCTTGAGCGAGTCTCATCTACAACCAGTTAACTACCGGCTACAATTCTCTAGATATCAAAAATGTCCGAAGACATCCGTCATCCAGCCGGAGAATTCCAACCATCGAAGCCTCGCGAGGAACACCCAGGTGGCCCAAAGGTATTTGGTTTTAATCCTACTGTTCACTATGCACTTGTATAATCGACCAATATTCTAAACTTCTACTGCAACCAGCATAAACCTGGGGTCAAGGCATCTCCAGCAGACAATGTACCGGAGTCTCACGCCCAAGCTGTCCCTGTAGGCACTGCTCCCCGTGAGAATTTATTCCAGCCCCGGCCGAATGTGGAGGACATGGGTGGTTATGACGAAGGTGGTGCATCTGCCAGTTCGACTTTGATGGGAGCTACCTCTGCGGACGTGGATAAGGGGATGGGAAAGCCATTGCAGGGTGAGACCAAGACCGAGATGAGACATGGAGGTGAACATCATCGGAAGCATCCAGGCTCGGGACTGGAAGGAGTGGGTGCAAACACTGCCAGGACTGAGACAGAGATGAATAGGCTGCAGAGGGGGTGAGTTGATGGCTAGGGGGCTGACCTGACCTGGCCGACGGCAGGGGACAACTTGGTAGTTGGCATATAGTTAATTAAATGAATGCAATACATTACTCACGAGGTTTGATATTCGCTATCTCCACGCAAGGTCCCTTTACTCCTTACGAACACCCCAAACAAATACATTGAAAGAACAGGAAGGACGAAAAAAAAGGGGGGGGGGGGGATCTGAATTAAGAAGAGAAAGCAAAGACGGAGCCAGCTTGCGCCTTTTTGTACCGTATCCTTCTGTAGCCGGCAAATGCATAACCGTGTTCCCATAATACATCGATAAGGAGAGAAGGAAAAGAAAGAAAAAGAAAAAGGGGAGAACTTAGAAGAAAGGGAATTCGGTCGATAGTTTCTGTAGGGACTTTCCAATAAACCAGCAAACAAAGAGGATATTCGCCAACGATGCATTAAAGGATGGCGACAATAGCAGAGGAACATGATAGAATGGTCATTTGTTGACTTTGTCAGCTGGGATAGATGGGGGGTATTCTAGGCCGTGGGCTTGGTTTGGGTATATATTTCTTGATCTTCTGCTATCAGGTAGACAGTGGCAATAAAAATCAATAGATACAGAGAGCGTTCGGAGGCCCTTAGCGTATGATTGAATGGTCAACATAATGCAGTCCTCTCTGCCATTCTGGTAGTTGCTTGTTGCATTCGTACTGGTATCCACAGTTGTGACAGAGGGTCTAGTTGAAAGTGTTGTTAGCCCTGAACTGGTACCAATGGTTATTTGGCGTATATATAAAAAAAAAAAAAAAAAAGAGGAAAGACCTACCCTGGGTCCTGCTGGCCCATCTCGCACAGCCCACACTGCAGAGCCCCAGACAAGGCAATTTGAGCAGCGCCACGCTTGTCTCTCCCAGTCAGCCAGGGTCCCTCCTCCACCTCCATAGCCAGCTGCTGCTCCAGTGTCTGGTGTGCCTCTGCCCGCAGGAGTACCACTTCGACCAGTTGGACTGGGACTACGAAGGCGACGTTTCCTCTTACTTCTCTCTCCACGGCCCATGGGGGTCTCGGTACCGTCTGGGACATCGAAATAGCCACCGGAGCCTTGTCGGGACAGCTCCGGTGCCGATGCAGCAACTGCACCTGTTGACGAAAACCTAGCCGTCTCTCGTCGAAGCCTTCTGATCTGACGTTCTCGGTCACCTTCTCTCTTCTCAATCTCTTCTTTGGACAGAGTCTCAATCCTAGTTTCCCATTCGTCTCCTAAGGTGTCAGGGTCATATCGCCAGCCAGCTTCTTGGCCGTTTGCAGCTTGATTGTCGATTTCTGCCCCTAGACCACCATGGCCACTGAGAAGTGCGCCGCTCTCGCAGGCCTCTTTCTTCAGTTTCAAAACAGCTTCGTAAATCCCGTGGGCTATTGAGCTCACCCACTCTGGCCCAAGGCCAAGGTCTGCACATGTCACCTTTGAAAACTGTTCAGCCATCCCTCTTGAATGCAAAAGAGACCACTCAAATTTATCACTGTATAGCTTATTGTGGAGATTTATGTTGAGAACGACAATGCATCTATATGCATCGTCCGGGTCATATGGAGAGTCGGCCTCAGATGGATTCACTACCGCACTCCCATTCTGCTGTCCGGATTTTATGGTATCTGAAGGCGCGGCAGGGGTCGCCGGAGTAGTTTGCATTGGTGTGATGGGCCGTTCTGCAGTGACAGTCACCTTTGGCGCAGTATCTACCTTTTTCGGCATGGTCGCTTCGGTTTGGAAAAGAGGGTGCATAGCAACGCCAGCATACTCCTCCAGCTGCTGGCGGATCTGGTTACATATCGCCAAAGCTGTTGATTGTGGGTTTGGAAGGTCTAACTCGCGCACAAATACGGATGCAAATTCCTCTGGCGTCGTTAAGGCTTCGTGCAGGTTCCAGAGAAAACTATCCTTTATTCTATAAGGCGGCGCCGGCTCAGGTTTTCTGTAAGCAGGAAGGGTAGGGTTGATACCAGCTTCCAGGTAGTTTCGCGGCAATGGGAATGGTTCAACAGGTTGAAACGCTGGGATTTCAAGGTCAATCCGGATGGGTATAAGGTTCACCGGTAGTTGCGCCTGAGCCTTCAAATGTCTCTCTCTCCTGTGCAATCAAAAGTTAGCGCTATAAATTCGTCAATGAGAACCAAAAAAGGACGCGACGACTGGAATATGGCGTACCCTGCTTTGATAGACTTCCGTACAACCCAGTCTCGGTAGTTGGCCTGGACGTTGACAGGCGTGGATATCTCCTTGCCTAGCTTCTCCCCCGCGGGCCCCAGGTAGGGAGTTATTTCATCTCGTCGTAAACTGCGCAACCCTGTGGGCCGTCGGGGGCCCTCGCTGTCCTCGAAGTCATCGTCGTCGTAGTCGTTTTCCGCGTAGTTCACCACGACAGTCCCGCGCTTTGTCGTCCGTACTGGCGGGGCGACCGGCGCAGTAGGCAAAACAGGCGAGATCAGCGAATTGGCATACTGCCGCAGTCGAGGAGCGTAGGAGGTCACATAGCCCAACGGCGGCATCGTGAAGCAATCGTGGGTGGTGCAGGCGTTGGGGATTTCTACCAGAGCAGCTCGATAGACATTGCCAAGAGCCGGCGGCAGCGCTTTTTCGACAGAGACGCGTCTAGGGGGACTCAGGGACGGCCGTCAGAGCGCGCAACACGCTGGCTACAAAGACGCTTGGGAGACGAAAAGGAGGGCAGGGGACAAGACGATGAGAAGCAAAAAGGCAGCAGTCTCTTTTATCTGCTTCATGAAGCCGTTTTTTGCTTCTTCAAGTTTTTGTTGCTTCGTTTTTTTTTTGCTTGAAGGAAAAAAAAGAAACATGAGAGAGGACACGCTAGCCTAAAGAAGTTAGATAGAATTACATAAGCTATCAGATATCAAAAGCATTAAATACAAGGACGAAGAAGGATAAAAGGAATCGAGATGAAGGCGACGAAGACGAAGACGGAGGCTGGTATCCTTATGTATAGTCGGTGGTCTCTACATACAAGAGGAGGTAGGATGGACAGATGCAACAGGTGGGGGAAAAAGAGGAAAGAAAATGCACAGAGTGACTGTAAGTTGCGCCCTAAAACACCTAAGGATCTGAAACAAATGATCAAAAAAGGGGGGATATGGAAAGGAATAGGAAGAGATAAAAGGTTCAAATTGAGGGAGAGTTAAATGGGGGCAAGGAGGAAGAAAACGGAAGACATAACATAAAATTGGTCTGGGATGATTCTCGTCCAGATGAAAGGAAGGCAGAGTTAGGGCTGTACGGGTACGGGTTGATTATATGCGGAGATAAGACGAAAGATTGAATCTGCTATTTTTCTTTTGCGTTTGCTTTTGATCAACGGAGGCCGATAACACTCTGTGCATTTTGGTCTAGTTAGCCAGTGCGACTTCTCGATATCAAAAAGGGGAGGGCAGAGGCAGATTTGATCAAAACATACCATTTCTAGGGTCCACACTCTCCGGATCCAGACTTTTAGTTTACCTTCTACCCCCTCGACGTTCTCAAGCTCGACACCTTCCCACCAGCATCGCCGAGCTGGTTTTCTCCAGAACAAGAGCAGCTTCTGTGCCATGCCGACAGCATTGCTGTTGGCCATATCGCCTCTGATGTCGGTCCGTAGCTTGGCCAGCGCCAGACTGCATATCACAGCCTTGTTTGGCTCGCCGGCACGATGGCCCCATCTGTCATCATGGTTGAATCCCCTGCACCGGACGCTGTTAGACGAGATGAATAAAAAAAAAATCATTTATCGTAGATATGTAATCTTACCCTGCAGTTAGCATTTCAATGAGATGCTGTTCGGTGGATCCAGGCTCGTCACTTTTCCGTAATCCTGAGAAGATCCCATCCTGCTTGAGTAAGGCACGGCCGGCAGCTCGCTTGATCTCCATCATCTCAGGATGCTCAATCTCCGCAGTTGGAGGGATGGCGTAGAAATCTAGGTCTTCGCGCAGGACGATGATTCCAGCACGATCCTGCAGCATGTCCCGCGCAGGGTTCGGAATGGGATCAGCCGCCTCAACAGTGGGTGATGTAGTTGGAGAAGGTGAAGAAGACGGGATTGACTGAGCAACAGCCCGGAAGAAATCTAGCATGTATTGGAGCGATAGTGGATCATAGTCGACTGGGTATACGTCTCCCTCGTGGAACGAGCCCATGTGTCCATCTGGCAGCAGTCCGTTGGGAAACAGGGACAGGAGAACAAACTCGGGCAATGTAAGAAGCTCGTCGCGGGAGAGAGTGAATCTCATGCCACGCAGATCCAGCGTTATGTGCTCATCTCCGCCGATATCTCCAAGGGAGTTCAGCGGAGGCCCACCAGTCTGCTGCACCTGTGTGATGATACTCGAAGCCCCTCCTGCGGCCGCCATGACGTATGTAAAGGACTGGAGTGGGATAGACCCCTCGGTGTACGGAGGCGGAGGCTCACCGTCGTCCTGACCTTTGCCAGACGACTCGCCCTTGTCTCTAGAAAGCTCGGCCTTGGTCTCAGTGACTACTCGAGGAGTGACTGGTGCTGAGGACGGAGAAGCTTCCTCGAACGGAGGCGCCGGAGCAAAAGTGGGTGGTGAAGATGCCCCTGACTCGGCGACTGAGGGTGAAGAGTTGTTGAACCGGTCAAGGCCGACTTCCTCTTCTTCGTGGTCTGCGCTCGAGTAGAGAGACGAAAACGACGGCGGAAGAGGCGAGAGAGCGCTTGATGATGAAGAAGAACCGGACGGTAGAGAGTGACGAGGGGGAGGGTTGATGCGTGAATTTCTGTTGTTATCCACGGTGCTGAGATCGGGGGGACTTCGCAACTGAGCTGCACCCCTAAAGGCGAGCCTGGAGTTGACTGTGCTGTGTCTGGTAGTAACTGAAAAAAGGGGAGACGGCCCGGGTCTTCAAACTTGCGACCCAGAAGCGTCTTCGTCTTCCTTTCCTGTAGTCTCCTTCGAGCCGGCAGTCCAGCTCAGATCAAGGTATTCGGGGCCGGGTCAGAGTGACAAGAGCAGTCCGTCGTTGTTGGGCGTGCGGGTGGTGATGTTGCTCATCGACCATATGGGGGTGTGGCGCTTAACTACCAACTAGGGGGCGATTAGACCAAGGTCGCTCGATGCAACGGGCTCTTTGAGATAGTAATTAGGCGGCAGAGGCAGGCCAGACACCGGAGAGACCCAACCAGCTCCTCTAGGACGAAGCAGGCAGCTGAAGGGGACGGGAAAGGTGCGTTTTTGCTGGTGGCTTCTGCTGGCTTGTGGTCGCTCTGCGTCCTGCGGTCTGTTTGCGTCTGCGGCGACTGCAGGTCACGTGGTGGTCACTTGCAGGTGGGTATTTTGGGATGGGAGAGAGACGGCCGGAGAGCAGGTAGCGGTAGAGAGAGCCAGAGCGAAACGGGCTGTATGAGCAGTGCCAGGGAGTGCCAGGGAGCGCCAGGGAGTTGCTGCTGGGTTGCTGTAAGGACTTGCAGGAGCACCGAGTTGCTAGTTACCAACATATAAGAGTTAAGAGTTAGCTAGGTGGTTCATGGAAACTGCCGGCGATGCCGCTGGGCCCCCCAGGCAGCTGGAGCTTAGTTGCCTCCCACATGATGATTCCTGCTCCAGCTGCTGCAGTCATCTACACTACCCACCGGTGATGTAACTAATGGGGCAGCGGAAGTTCCAGACCTCAGCAAGGAAACAGTTACTACGGAGTAGGGGAAAGTGAGAAAGAAACAAGTGAATTTCGCTCAGCTGGCTAAGGGGTATTCTATGTAAAAAATGCTAAGATAAAAGGTCTATGGAAGGACATCCCTCCCTCCCTATGTTTCCTATCACACTCCAGTAACTAACTATCCCCAAAAGAGAACTCGCAAGCCAGGGCCTAGCCAAGGAGGTCGATGTCCAAATCAGTGCGGAAGAAACAACCAGGCGGATTGGGTATTCTGTGATCAACAAGCTGGGATTTCCAAAGGAACTTTTGATAAATGGCGTTACGGTCTTCGTCTGCATGCTGCTGATGACTGTCCTCATCTAGGGCTTCTGGTAGGGCACGCATATCAGGAAAATAAGGGCAGTGGTGTTGGGGAAGTCTTAGGGGACTCTCTGGTAGTCAAGCTCCAGGAGAAGTGTCTATTTTTTCAAGTGTTAGAGAAAAACAGAAATGAGCGAGACAGGAGTGTAAAACTTACTGGCCTCACTGTGCTCTGTTGAGTCTAGATCTACAGGAAGGCTCCCGGATAGCTTGCTCTGCTCCGGGTACAAGGGTCCGCCAGGGTGTAAAGGCTGTTGCACCTGAAAGGTCCATTAGTATGGGCGCAAAACGATCGTAGAAAGTCGGGAGAACGTTTCAATTCCAGTACCAGCAGTTAACGAACGTGGTGGCGTGGGTTGGTTCGGGTCGTATTGGGAAAGAAACTATGAGTGAGTACTGACTTTGCGGAACTCGTCACCGTCGACGACAATTTCGCGGTCACGGAGCTGTCTCATCAAAGCAAGGAAGTTGCTCTGTTTGAACTTCTGGCTTTGATCATGGCTCACACGGTCAAGTAGCTCTCCCGCGGTCTTGGACAGTTCATCAGACTCGTTCATTCCTTCTTTAAGCTGGGCGGGTATATTGTCGGAACCGATTCTAATGGTCTCAAGTGGCGCTCGCTCTGGCACCTCTGGTGTCGGTTCTAAATTCTCCTGTTGCCGCGCAGATTCCTGTAACTCAATTTCTGCGCGGGCCTCCGCAAATGCCGCTTCAAAGGCAGAATCGTCAAAGACCTCGGCTGGCTTCGACTGGCTTTGCAAGCTTTCACTAGTGGCCGGTGTATAATTATCTGGTCGAGCAAATCCGGGATTACTCAACATGCCCATTCCAGGTCGGTAACCCATACTCCCCTGGAACATGGAAGATTGTGGGGTTTGCTGTACCCCACGCGCGGGCTCATGGTGACGGCCGGCCAAGTTAGCTTGAAATGTAGGCGTATCAACTTTGGTCTGATGTAGTGGTTGCTGTAACTGCGGTCCGGCAATATGTAGGTTTTGGAAATCAGTAGCCCAGCTGGAAACGTCTGCAGCCGGCTGGGGCGCGAACTGGGGAGGCGGAGGTAGGAAGGTGTTTATATTATTGGGCTGATCTAGCAACGGAGCCGAGTGGCCAGCTTCGAAAGCATTGAACGCTGCATCTAGTTGTCCCTGGGACGACGTATTTGATCGAAACCCCTGCAGATAAAAGCCGAGGGAGTTAGCGCAACTGCTCAACCTAGCCTTGTGATAAGTTCACTTTACCTGAGCAGGAGACTGTCGCGTAGAGATCCTATCCTGCTGAAGGGTCCGGTCTACAGAAGCATGTTTCTGGAAGTTCTGTAGAGCATTTGAAGGGCCGCAGAGTGCGTCTGCCATGGCTGTTTCTTATATAGCTTGCTGCAACGCTAGGCCAGTCGGTTTGTGACGAAGAGCAGGAGAATGACAGGTCTTTTGCGGCAAGAAAGAGGTGGTTCTGCTTTATGAAGATGCAGAGCCAGAGGTATCTTGAATTACAAAAGTGAAGGAGGGTAAAGAAGTAAAAAAAGAGGAGGAAGAAGTGAAAGGAAGAAGTGAAGTTGACATTCGTCTTTATCGCCGAAAGAGGAAGAGGGAGCAGACGACGGCCCGTGACCCTTGGTTGAGCCGAGGCTTATTCCTAAAGAGGAAAGGCGTCGGTATTGGCACAAAGTATTTCTCCGCCTCTGATTAGATAAGATCAATTTGTGGCTGATGAATTAAGCACGTGATTCAGCCTCTCTTTACTGTGGCTTGACTTCTCTTTGATGCCAGTTCAACCACTTTGGGAGTTGAACTTCGACCTTGGACACAGAGACAACATCTCGCAGTCCACCATCCTCCCCGCCCTTTCAGTTGATCTGGTCTGCTGTGGCGCCAATTGATTAGGCGATACTAGGAGTGACCGCTACAGATAGACAGGATGGTATGCATATTATCCTCCGTTTTCCTCCCCCTTTTCGAGGGCGTCCCCGCTAACTGGCTGATGCAACAGGCGCAAGTGATAACCAACTCGGGTCATGATGACATGATTGTACGCTCGTATTCTACCTCTTACGTCTGATTAAATGCAGAATACTAAATTGGCCGTGGATAGCATGACGCCGGACTCGATTACTTTGGGCGGAAGCTTGCAACATGCTCCTCAGACAAGACAGTCAAGATCTTTGAAATCGAGGGAGAATCGCACAAGCTTCTCGAGACACTTAAGGGGTTAGTTGGACTTTCAGTGTGCTACCTACTATACCTACTAACGGTTTCCCAGTCATGAAGGAGCGGTTTGGTGTGTTGCCTGGGTACGTGATTCCATCCATCTTATACACTAGAAACGACTGCTAAACAGCGTCTACCAACAGGCACATCCGAAATACGGCACAATACTAGCATCTTCATCCTACGATGGGAAAGTCCTCATATGGCGTGAACAAAGCGTTGGCAGCGGCGCTAATGCCTCAACCTCCTGGAGCCGCGTGTTCGACTTCTCCCTCCACACTGCTTCCGTAAATATGGTATGCTGGGCACCCCATGAGCTCGGTTGCCTTCTCGCCTGCGCCTCCTCCGACGGACAGGTTAGCGTTCTTGAGTTCCGCGATAATAGCTGGACACATCAGATTTTCCATGCCCACGGGCTCGGAGTCAACTCTATCAGCTGGGCTCCCGCCGCGGCTGCCGGCTCAATCATAAGCACCAACGCTGCAGCAGGCCAATCGAGAAGATTCGTTACTTGTGGAAGTGACAATCTTATATTCATATGGGATTACAAGTATGTGTGCACACTTGCTTTCGCGTTTGAGATGTTTAATCAAACGGTAGTGCTAACTTGCTACCCCATCCAGCCCCGAGACCAAAACGTATTCCGCCACGCAAACCCTCCAGGGCCATACCGACTGGGTTCGTGACGTAGCTTGGTCTCCCAGTATCTTATCTCGGTCCTACATTGCGTCCGCATCCCAAGACAAGACCGTACGAATCTGGACTTCAGACCCATCTAACCCCCAGGAATGGACAAGTGAGAAACTGGAATTCGATACCGTTGTCTGGCGCGTCAGCTGGAGTCTAAGTGGCAACATCCTTGCTGTCAGCGGCGGTGATAACAAGGTCAGCCTGTGGAAGGAGGATCTCAAGGGGAAGTGGGAGAAGGTCAAGGATATCGAGGAGTGAACATGGCCCAAGCAGGTAAAAAATAAAATTAAAGAGGGCGGTTCTGAATACAAGGTCATTTAATTCCCGACTGCTTTGATATATTCTGTGCTGTCTATCTGCTCGTCTTGTCTGTTATGTCTTTGGGAGTTTGAGTTTTAAGACCGGTGGGAAAACACATGTTCGGAGCGGCTGCTTCGTTCCTCCTTTTTATTTATATCCCTCTCTTTGATTTCCTATATTATCATGAAAACAGTCACGGTAGATTCAATACCCAAAATCCTTCCTTACTTGACTCCAGCGAAGGGAGAATCCCATGAATCTATATACATACCCGGCACGCCCGCCATATATCGAGAGATCTAATCAACATAAATTCTCCCAGCTTCACCCTCAATCCCAACTTCAACTTAGGCCTCCTTCCCATCCATCATCAAGAGATAGAAAAAGGTAAAGTAACATCAATCAGGGGAGGAAATACCTACGTTAGGAGTGAAAAAAAGCAAATAAAAAAGCATAGTGCCTACAAAAAAAAAAAAAAAAAAACATGGATAGGGTAGAAGTTGGGTTGGGTAGGGATGGGAATGATAAAATAGTATTGAGTAAAATTGTGGGCAGGTAATTAAGAGCATGAAACAGAGGGCATGTTAACGTTAGTCAAAAAGAGTACCATCAGGTATTCAACCCGCCTCCCCGAACGGATAGATATCTATAAATAGAGAAAAAAGGAAGTTCGTCGTATGTAAAGGAGATATGTATGTAAGTGATGGGCAGCGGTAGAGGAGCATCACATATCAATCGAGTCGTTAAATCGTAGCACGCCAGTCTCACGCATAACCCCGTTAACATTACCGGGCATGCGGAAGAGGGCATCATTTGTTCCCCCGAAGCCAGCGTGCGAAGTCGAGTTTGCGTTTGCTGAACCAGCGTTTTGTTGTCGGCGCCTTTCGGCGCTTTCGTCAGATGTGTCTGCAACCAACACGAGGCCGAGCTCTTTTATTGACTCGGCCAGAGAGGGCATTACGTTCTAATATTGGCATGGTAGGTTAGGCTAAACGTATGAAGGTATGGGGTGGATAATAGGCGAGGCAATAGACTTACGAGTAGGCTTGATCGGCACATAAGGCCCATGAGATTGTTGCTTTGGGCAATACGGGCGGATTCCTTGATAGAGAGGGAGGCACGGCCACTGTATTGGATTGCTGGAGATGAAAATGATGGAGGCGAGGCTGGAGATTGAATTGAGCTAGTAGTTGAGTCCCGGGGCTGACCGAGGTCGTTGCAGAGCAGGACGGGGTCTAAAACGAGGTTAGCAAGGGGTGCACTCGTTATCCACACTTAAGCATAGCTTACAGTTCGGTTGCTTCCAGTTCAAAGCTACACATATCCCGACGTTGTAACTGGTAAAGACAACTGATCTCATGAAATCTGGATTCGCCAGCCTGGATGCCCGGGCATGGTTGAACACGTGTGTGAGAATGGCGTCCGCAAAGCTGTTGATGTTGAAGGTGAGGCGGAGATCAAGCTCCTTTTGCTCTGCCGGGGAAGGGTACAGAATGCATAGGTTTACATGGATGGAGGTGGGTAAATGAAGGAGGACTTCTTCAAGGGTCAAAAAGGACGTAGCTAGGAGACGGTGCGCGGTTGGGATGTCAGTGATTGACATTGCGGCGAGAGATGGTAATAGTGAGCTAGTCGAGCTGCTGCTGGTGGAGTTTGACTCAGAAGAAGCAGTGATAATGTTTGATGGAGGAGGATGTTCACGACCGATGGCCTTGAATTCTTCGATAGAAAGATGTGAGATGGGTATGCGGACACCATGGTGCATGATTGTGAATTCGGGGTATAGCACGGGTACCAGGTCTCTCGTCATCTGGACGAATATCTGCACATAGTCTCCAGACAAGCTGGAGCCGGTGACTTGGCCATTGTGCTCTGCGTCGAAAGCACTGGTGGCTTTCCAATAGGTAGCAAAATGAGTAATTTCCAATGGATCTCCGTAGTATGGTTTGATGACCTGGAAGTTGAAGCGGATTTCACCAATGGCTCTAAGCCGGGGGTCAAATACGGGGAGACAGCAATGACCAGAACTTCTGCCATTATTTTCAAAGACGTCAGGCAAAGCAACTGTTTTGGCAATAACTTTGGAACCAAAAGTTGGGAATATCTCAAAGTCGATTGCAAAGTTTTCCAGTTTATCAATGTGGAATGATATAAAGCGCGAGTCCTCTTGTAAAGGCAGCATGACATTACGAGGGATCAGGTCTGTCATCTTGGACGATATTGTTAGTCGTGCAGCAGCATAGCGGCCAGTCTGATAGAAGACAATGGGGTCCGCAGAGGGCGGGTTGAAATGGATCTGCACAAAGGTTTTGTTGTCCAAAAAGTTGTGGCCATAGTGACGAAGCGGGATGATGGGAGGTGGGAGGGAGAGGTCTGGAATACCGTCGACCTCAAGGGCAGGAATTTGTTTTTTCTCATCACTCAAGGGTGTGAGGGTGGCAGTCATGGCATCACGGTACTTGGGGCCATTATTGAGGACGTCGAGGGGTGTCTGCCCTGCGATGGGACGGGATATCCGCTGAGACCAAAGCAGCTTCATACATTCGAGATGACCCTCCCAGACAGCGTAATACATGGCCGGCAGGCCCTTTTCGTCCAAAGCATCTGCATCGACACCGCAGTCAAGTAGAGTACGCAGGCATCCAACGCAGCCCTCTGCAGCCGCGTGAAATAGGGGAGTCCATTGGTACAGCTTATCACGCTGGTCGAGATCTGCACCGTGGTCCTTGAGGAGTAGGAGAACTGCGGAGGAACGACACGAGCGTGCTACAAGATGCTGTGGGTATAGACCCTCAGCATCTGGCAGGAACTTTGCGTCTCGCTCAAGCAGAATCTTTATTAGTGCAAGTGATGCATGCTGGCAGGCTAGGTTAAGTGGTATATGATCCGACTCTGAGGCTGGGTTGATTCGGGCATTGTGTGAGAGCAGCTGCTCGACGCAGGAGACCTGGTCCTTGATGATGCTGTGGATGAGAGGGGTGAAGTTATCATGATCCGTGTAGTCGATGGTAGATAGGCCCTTCTCAAGTAGAGAATGCACCATGCCAACTCGGCCGTGCATGCATGCGTAATGTAGTGGAATTCTGCCATATACATCAGCCTGCGAAATATCGACACCACGCTCGAGGGCAGCGTCAAAGACGAACTGGCGCCCTGAGATAACGGCTTCATGCAGACAGTTGCGTTCATTGATGTCGTCCTCGGCATGGACGTCGACAAGGTTAGTTTCTAGCAAAAGGGTGAGCACTTCATCTGGATACTCATTAACCGCAGTCAGAAAGATGCGGGTGAGATGGTCAGCTGCATCTGGAGAGAGCTGAATCTTGCTGAGCCAGTCGCGTAGAGGCTGGAGGTTCCCCGTAGCAGCAGCAGAGTTGAGTATATGGAGGTCACTGTCGTCCTCCTCTGCTATGCTGGCAGGTCTGTCCGCCTGTCTGGGAGCGTTAAACTGGATATTTTCGCCTTCCGCCCATGCCTCAAGCTCTAGCCTGGCTGTGGTAGCACGGTCAGAGAGGTCTCGGAGGACTTCTCGGTTGAAGCATGGCTGGACTTCAACCGCTCGCTGTAGATATAGCTCTTTTGTCCGCGACTATATCATTCAGTAAATACGTGACCACGCAGAAGATGTACCAGAGCATAGACACAGACACAGACACACACACACACACACACACACACACACCTTTGATGTTTTATCCCACTGTATATTCTGTTAGTATTGGTCGACAGTAGAAGCGGTAGTTTGGAGTTGTATCTCACCTTCTTCAGTATCTTAGATACGGCGGTCTCGTTAACCTCCACAAATTGCTACCGCAGCAGATTAGCAATCCAGCACTCCATATCCAGTCACCAGAGGTATTATATACACACCTGCAGCTTGTTCAAGTCGCCATCAAACTGCTGGAACCCTTCTATCAAGGCCACGAAGTTCGCGGGGGCCTTTGAATTCGACACCGTCCGGCGTGACTGAATAACCCGCTGCTTGTCGAGCAGCGTCTTGAGCCGCAACGAGAACTCGGCCTCCTTCTGCAGGTAGAAGACATTGACCTTCTCTATCTCACGCTCGAGACGGAAGAAGAAGACCTCCTTGTTCGCGCGCAGGGCAGCCTGGGCGTCGAGCACATCGCTGGACTGTTCTTGAGTAGCGCCTTGCGCCGGGATCGTAGGCGTCGCGCTGAGTTGTTTGATGAGCTGCAGGGCGCCGGTCAGTATCACAGCCTCCATCTGCCACTGCGCTGTACATGCACTCACTGGTGGGGGTGCAGTGGGAGTTCGGTACGTACCTTCTTGAGGGCCTTGTAGTTGAAGAAGCTGGCCGCGTACTCGGGCAGGTCGAGCTGGCGCCGCTGGATCTGCTTGCCGAACTTCATGGCCCGCCTCTGCTTCCTCGCTCGCGTCTGCCGCTGTGAGTCGCTTCGCTGCTCGAGTCTCGTCTCTGCTTGTCCCTTTTGCTGCAGCCTCAGCTTCGATATCTCCAGAATCTCCAGTGTTCTTCGACGTCAAAAAAACGTCGCTTTTCCTCGCGGGGCAAAAAACGGCAGACGAAGCAGAGACGCCGCGCGGGCCAATTAAAGTAGCCGCTTTGGGCAGCTGGCGAGTCGATGACCTCACTAGCGAGAAAAGCAGCCAATGCCGGAGTTAGCGCTCTTAGCGCGCTGCTCTTATTTCTACTTCTACTACTGCGACTACTGCGACTCTTACGATACATATACACGCTTCTACGCTGCGGACACGGTGGACGGCATGGAAAGTGGTATTACTACATATCATCGGCAGGAAGAGACACAGGAGACCAAGCGGGAAAAGAAAAAAAAAAAAAAAAAAAAAAAAAGTAAAAGCACAATCTGTACAGCGTGCTTTTCACCAAACAACAAAAGATATCAAAGCCAGGGAATAAAAGCGACAAGAAGAGATGAAAATGGGGAGCAAGCAAACAAATAAAAGAGATACAAGGGAAGATGGTCAAATAAAAAAGAAGGTAGGAAGAAGAAAAGGTGAAAGATCAACAAGAAAAGGACGGGGAGGGGATATTAAAAGTTCTGCGCTATGCCGGCGTTGCCCTGCTGCGGATGGGGGAAGACGCTGGGGCTTTCGATGCGGGTGTTGCGCCGGGCAGAGACGTCGCGGATGACGGGCTGCGGCCCAAGGCCGCTTTGGTCGTGGCCGTGGCTGCCGCTGTGGCCGTGGGAGTAGCCGGCTCCGTGGCCATCTGGGTAGTAGGCGCTCTCTTCATAGTACTGTGCGCCTGCAGGGGCTCCCGGAGGCATCATGTCGTCAGACATGTCTGACTGGGCGCCTGTGGAGTACGCCGATGAGGCATTGGACAGGCCACGATGAATGTTGCTCGCATTTTGATGCTGGATGGGGGCCTGCTGCTGGTGTTGTAATGGTTGTTGCTGTTGCTGTTGGACTGGAGGCTGACCGATATGCAGGGCTTTGGGGATGCCGGCGGGTGCAGGTTCAACACGGCCTAGGCCTTGACGCTGCTCGTCGTCGGCCATGTGGAAGGACTCTTCGACGGGGGATACCTCTCGGCCATACATGGCGCTGCTGTCAGCCCCGCCGCTAGAGGCGGTGTTGGTGGGTGCATGGCGTGAGTTGCTGGTCGTGCCCCAACCACGGTAACCTCCGCTTGCGGCTGCACCACCAGCCCCAGCAGCCCCAGCAGCAGCAGAGGTGTCCTTCAAGGCAACGTCGGTATCGTACATGCCCACGGCAGGTAGGGTAGGGTCATTGTTCGGGTTGAAGCGGTATTCTTCGATTTCCTGCTTGCGCTCTTCCTCCGCCAATTTACGGGCCTTGCGCTTGCGATACCAGAACAGCAGTAGAATGATAATCAAAGCTACCGAGACGACGGGCACAACAACTGCAATTGCAATGGTTCCACCGGCAGAAAGACCGCCGTTTCCATTGCCGGAGCCGGAGCCTGGAGGCAAGGTTGGTGCTGAACTGGAGGTAGAGGACGAGGAGGAAGGTGCTGGGCGGGTGGGGTTAGGGTTGCTCGGCAGAGACGCCGTTGAGGTGATGATGACGGTTGTGCTCGACTGCTCTGGAGTAGTCGGACTCGGATTCGGGCTGGTAGGAGAAGGCGAGTCAGAGGTTGTTGGCGACGGCGGCGGTGGAGGAGACGACGGCTTGGATGTCGGCTCCGGGTTGGGTGAAGACGGGGGAGCCGATGTTGGCGGCTGGCTGGGCTCGCTGGTCGGCGGCTTTGAGGGCTCGCTCGACGGCGGAGGAGGAGTGGGCGATGGCTGGCTGGTCGGCGGATCGCTGGGCTTTGTTGGCTCGTTGGAAGTCGTTGGCGGAGGAGCAGAGGTTGGCGGGTGTGATGTCTCCGGGTTCGTCGTTGGCTTGGGGGGATCCGACGTGGGCATCCCGCCGCCGCCTGCAATCGTCAGCACACTTCATGTCCTGGTCCCCTCCGGCTGCCTCTGCTTCGCCTTTGCCGGCTTCAGCATGATGTATCAGAACAATCACCTACCAGTCGACATGGCGGCCATCCTGGATCAACTCAGGCCGTCTCCGTCAGCAGTCTATCCCTGTCAGCTGCTGTCTCGTCCACGTCTCGTCTCTGCCTGGTCAGGTCCGCGGTCTGTCGTCCCTCGCCGTCTCCTGGCCCGGCTCTTCAGTTCTGTATCGCCCTAGTCGGCCTTCTGCTCTGTCTGTCGGTGCAACGAGCGTGAGGTTGCGGTTCGACTTTTGGACGTCCGACGTCGAAAGAAGAAGCGAAGGAAAAAAGGCCAAAGGAAGAAAAAGCGGACGCTTTTCCTGGTTGGGCGTGCCAAGGTATCGCTTGTTTCAACGCCGGCAGCAGGAAAAAACGATAGTCAAGAAAAAAAAAAAAAAGCCGAGGGCGACAGGGCTCTCTGTAGGGGAAGACGGCAACTCTGTAGAAAAGGACCAAGCGATGCTTTGGATGGGAAGAGAGAGAGAGAGAGAGCGAGAGAGAGAGCCTGGAGAGAGGCCCCAAGAGGAAAAACCGGGGACGCAGGGCTGGCTCCGGGGGCTGAGTTGACTTTTGCTGGCCAGGAACAGCGAACCGCCAGCCAGCGTCACGCCCTTTATGTTACGACGGTGGACTCTCCTTGCTTGCGGGCCGAACACTCGTTCTGCTGCCTGGTTGCTGCCCGTCTGTTGCTCGTCTACAGATGCCACTACTACTGAGTACGTCCTGCTCGCCTTCATCTACTGGACTGCAGATGCATGCACGGTCTGGCTGATCTTCATCTTTTATCATGTCTCGATCTTCGTCCTGTTCAACTCCAGAGCAAGGAAAAAGGGGCAGTACTGCTGTTCGCGTAATACAGTTACATACGCCGCCTCGCACAAGAAGGTGGCAGTGGCTTGACGCCCGTAACGCCATTACTTACCGTACGGCTAATACGCGAATACGAGGCTCTGTTGCTATTTATAGGATACAAGACGAGGACCATGAAAGGGCAGAATAGCATAGCATAGCAGTTATATATAAGTATATATATATATATATATATAACTAGCTAGAGGAAGGCAAAGCGCTGATGAAGATGGCCAGATAAAACACCCAGCAGAAGCACCGTCTATAAGTAGATACAACAAAGTCGAAAAGAAAGGATGCGGGAGCAACAGACACACGACCCCGAGATTATAAGCGAAAGATATATGTGAATGTATATATATGTATAATGTTAGCAGAATATAGACAAATTAGACATCAAGAAGAGGAAGGGAGGCAAAAAGGTAGGGCGACATGTGAGGCGTCAGGTCAAGTACGCATCTCCCACTGGGGCTTAAGGTTGGAGCTAAAGTCGTCTCGTGTCCCGACTGTGTCGGCTGGCAGACGACTGACGCGGTAGGCGCCCGAGCGGATGTTGTGAGCCTGCAGAGCAGATATGCCGGTGCGGTTGCTGCGGATACTGCCTGCGTCACTGCCGGTGCCGGATTCATTCTTGAAGCGAGGCGGTGGTGCAAAGTCGAGGGCAGTGTACGTGCCGGACTTGCGGAGGGCATGACTGTAACGCTGATTGTTAGAACTAACCCTAACCCTAAACTCTAACGAAACCAAATATTCAACGTGATTAGTTAAAAAGAAGGAACAACTTACGGGCTGGGGACGGAGGGAAGTTCGTCAAAGGATGAGACAAGAGGACTATGCGAGGGGACCATGAGATTGTAATGTTGCAAGCCGCCCAGGGGGGTCTCCGGTCGACCGGCCTGGCGGTCTCGAGCCCGAGGACCTGGTGCAAAGTCGATAGGCAGGAAGGTGTCGTCCTTGAGTTTATGCGGAGTAGGCAGGATGTGCAAGGGTGAAGGTGGCGGAAGAGGCTTCTTTTGCCGTGGATGAGGAATGCGACCTGAAGCAGAGGAGAAGGCCCGTGGGCCGCCCATGGGGTGACCACTACTGGCCAGGGAATTTGTAGCGCTGTGGGCGAACCCCCTGTTCATACCACCCATGCCAGGTGGCGGCTGATGGCCTATCCCTGGGTGACGGCGTGGAGGGAAGGCAGGAGGCATTCTTGGGGGAGGAGTCATTGCTCGACGAGGCAGAGGCTGGGCAAAGGGTGCAGCTGGGTTGGGCAGTGGAGGCACATCGCCGTAGTCCTCGATGTAGTCCTGCTGGAAGGGTTTGCTCTCGTCGAAGTATTCTTTGTAGAACGATCGGATACGGTTTGCTCGCTGCTCGGGGTTGTCCGATGGGTCCTCAGGTGGCAGTGGCCGAATCCCCATGGTAAGTCTGCGGGTATCAATGAGGTGGTTGGAGTCGTAGTACTGGTCATAAACGTCGTGGATGCTGTCTGTCCCATCATCTCCTTCTTCTGGATATCCGTGTCCATATTCGTCACCATGTAGCTGCTGCTGCTGCTGCTCCTCGGCAGGCATGATGTTAAACTGTGGCAGACCTGAAGCGGGCTTGATTTCGTCACCGTAGTCACTTTCAGCATCGCCCTGTTGATGTCCAGTAACAGCAGTAGCAGCAGGTGTGGAAGAGGGCCCCAAGTTGAAATCCAATTTTGGTCCATCGTTGGTCGAAAAGGCCAGGCCTGGGAGAGAAGGATGACCGTCCGGTTGGTTGGAAGCACTGACTTGTTTTTTCTGGTCGTCTGGTGTCGATGATCTGCTACCACTGTGGATGAATTGACCCAGGTAATTGTGGCTACTTCGCAGGGCCGGGTCTTTGCTCCCCGCAGCACCCATCTGATTATCGTCGCCGGTGTTACTGCTGGTACCGCTGTAATTGTTGTCGTTGTTGTTTGTGATTTCCGTGTGGTTATTATTGTTGTTGTAGTTATTGCTTATAGACGAGGGAAGGCCCAACTCGTCAAAACGATTGTCAAATGGCAGATGAGCTGGCTGTGGTGGGCTGGGGGATTCAGCCGGGACGGCAGCTAAAGGGGGTGAAGTGGACATGCGTTGCGCGTTCCGAAGCAGATTCTGAGACATGTCGTCGCCTAGACCGCCATTGTGGTGGTGCTGACCATCAGCACCACCTACACGTCGACTGCTTCCGGCCGTATAGCTAGAGGCATCATCTGCGTTGTTATGTCGACGGGTAGGGGTATTTGATCTGATACTGCCATTGCCATCAAAGGCTATCCCGTACTTATCCTCGCCCGGGATTGTTCGAGAAAGAGAGTGCAGCGAGCCACGGGACTTTTGCAGTCCTGGCGGCAGGAAATAGGGGCTATCCATGGCCCAATCCATGGACATACCGGGCTTGTGGCCGTCGCCGTTCTTTTCGACTCCCTGGCCGCCCCCTGTCCGGACTTTGGCTCCGTTGTTAGACGCAGGAACATCATCAAGGCCATAGTCGAGAGCCTTGATTTTGTCCTGCTCGTCTTCCTTCCGCAGTTTCTTGACATGGCGTCTGTGGAGAAGGAAGAAAACTATGAAAGCACAAACAAGGGGGATCCTATAGCCTTGTTATTAGTACTAATCATGACTTCCTAAGTAGGTTCTAGACATACACAACACCAAGAGCAATGGCCACTGTAGGCGTCTCAGTGAGTCCTGGGCCGCAATCCTTCCCCGCATTGTTATCAGGACTACAGGTCGCATCTCGGCGTGGGACAAGGCGTGTAGTGTCAGGCCTCTCTCTCCGCTCCAGCGGCCGTGCCATCGGCTCTGCCACGGCCGGCTCTTCGACTCTGGTTAGGAGAGGAATCCGGTGATTTGGGATCGGGGCCGAGCGAACGATGAGAGCAGGAACGGGGACATCGGCCCCTCGAGGCTCCCGGGGACGATGATGGAGGTTGTGGTTGTGGTGGTGGTTATGCATCGCAAAATAGCCGTCGTAGTTGATCCAGGTCGTGGTGGTTAAGGTCATGAAAGATACAGAAGAGTCGCACCAAAAAGACAGCAACACAGGGTAAAATGGATGAGTCGTAAATCTAGCAGTCCGTTACGCCAAACCAGAGAGCCGCAATGTATTGAGTGAGTGTTAAAGATGTCGCGATATTCCTTTATCCTGTGTAAACGACAGATGGGTGACAAAAAAAATAAAAACGAAGGTTAAAGAAGGGTCCCCCGGCACAGCCCTGGAGAAGTAAACAGAGCAGGAGTCGGCAGCGAGCGCGGCGCCTCAGGCCATCAAAGGAGCGGAACGACCCTTCAGCAGGTCAGGCTGGACGGCGGAGACGGTGAAGACGTCGAGAGATGAAGTCGAGCTCGATGTCGGGGGATGAGAAGACGAGCGGCGGAAGAAAAAGGCGTGAAGTCGAGAAAAGGACGAAGGGAGGAAAAGGGAGAAGCCGCCCCTGCCCGGCCGCTGATTGGCCGGTGCCTGGATAGCACTAAAAAAAGAAAAAAGCGGCGCCTGCGACAAGCCTGAAATCTCGCATGAAGGAAGACAGGCCGACGGGCCAGACAGCGCTGGGCGAACGGGGGCAGATATAGCCCGGGTATAAGTACATGCATGCCAGCTCACATTTCGCTCGGCCTCGTTTACCTGTCAAGTATTCGGACGTCCTTTGCTTGTCTTCCTTTTCGTATATATTTTTTTGTGATCTTCGATATCGCTATTTTCTTCTTCTTTTCTTTTCTTTTTCTTGATTCGCTGCAAAAAAAAACAAAAACTTGGATTTTCTTTTCTTTTTTAAGGTTTAAATTATTAGGTAAGGTAATTATCACGTGATTCTAGCTTAAATAAGCTATGGGTGTTGTTCATTAGTAACCCACTTTGTGCGATGCGACTATCGAATCTATCGAATCTCTATCGAACCGACCTCCAGCCATTGCGTCGTCCTAGGCGCTTCTGGGCCCCTTCTGTCCGGCGCAGCTAACTACGTAAGCATCATCTCGCCAGAGAGTGCAAGCTGTAACTGTACCTCGGGAAGCGTAAGTACGGAGATGCTAAGTAACCATGGAGGCTAAGCTGCAGGATGCGATGGATGGGTTCAGGTACCAAATCCACCCAGAGACCCCTGGAAAAGTGCTTGTTCTGCCCCTGATTTCGCTGGCTTAAGTAAGCAACAGGATCAAAAGCGGTTGGTGGCAGGCTAACCCGATCTAGATTAGTGAAGAATCACGTGAATAGCTTTATTCCACGTGATGCTCATCTGGTCGCGTGGATGTAGGGAGAAAAGCCAAGAAGCTGAGCAGTTAATATAAAAGGGGGACACAGAGAGCATCATCCTAATATCCCAGTGTCATGCAAGGAGTTACCACGCTGCGTACTCCGTATATGAACATTACCTGCCTAACATCTTTTTGACGTTGAAGTTGAGAGCCGCCAGCAAAGGTGGAGGAGGACCTTGAGCTAGAGGCGATGGCGAGTGCTAAGGACGATACCCTTGATGCCACAGCACCGTTGCTCGAAGGCCCTCGCCGTGATAATACCAGTCCATCAGGCCCGGGAAACGAAGCTGGTGCAGCCGTTAGCGTTGACCCGTCTGCTACAAGCACAGCAACCTGGTTTATTTGGGCGTTGACCTTCGCCGCCGGTATCAGCGGCTTCTTGTTCGGATATGAGTATGTCCAAGCATGTATGAAAGTACTACTATACCACAAAGATTATAATCTTACTATTTATACTCGAACCCCATAGTACCGGAGTTATATCGTCAACCCTAGTATCGATCGGAACAGATCTCTCTCAGCGCGAGTTAACCATCCTTGACAGGAGTTTAATCACATCTTCGACCAGCCTCTTTGCGCTTATAGCCAGCCCCTTAGGAGGTGTACTGGGCGATAAAACTGGCCGCAAGCCTGCAATAATCGTCTCCGGTGTCTTATTCATTATCGGGTCTCTATGGCAGGGCATCACTTCCACCGTTTGGGGGATGATATCCGGCCGGAGTTTGGTAGGACTGGCCATAGGCATGTCAAGTTTGATAACACCACTGTAACCTCCACTATTATGCCCCCAGCTTTTGAACAATGTCAAATACTTACTTTCGTCTTCTCAGGTATATCTCTGAGCTCTCTCCGTCACACCTACGTGGCAGGATGGTGACTGTACTTAGCCTCCTCGTGACTGGAGGGCAGGTGATAGCTTACATCGTAGGGTGGCTCCTGTCCAGCCAGCCCGGAGGCTGGAGATGGATGGTTGGTCTTGGTTCTTCACCTGGTATCATACAACTTTTGATACTTGCTTTTCTCCCCGAGACTCCAAGGTGGCTTGTTCGCGCCAACCGGGTGAATGAAGCTCGCCAGATCATGCGAAGAGTCTACGGTGACACCAAGCAGAGTAACCAGGTTGTTGAACATATTCTTCGAGACATCAAGCAGGAAGTACTACATGCCTCGGCTGAGACAGACACTCGGCCAGGTAACTCTACTAGAGCCAGCTCTGCATCCACCACACCAAGGCTATGGTTGCAGAAAGTTAAAAGAACATACACTGAGCTCTTCACTATCGGCTGCCACCGCCGTGCACTCATCATAGCATGTACACTCCAGGGTCTCCAGCAGCTCTGCGGCTTCAATTCACTCATGTACTTCGCGGCAACAATATTCAAGTCTCTCTCCTTCTCCTCGCCAACCCTCACGTCACTCTCTGTCGCAGGAACAAATTTCGTCTTCACGTTTCTCGCCTATGCGCTCATTGACCGTATCGGCCGTCGTCGTATACTGCTATACTCAATTCCGGTCATGGTTGTATCACTCGTCATCTGCGCCATTGCATTCCCATCAACATCTCTCGGTGATGGGGGTGCCTCCGGAACGCCAGCTCCGAAAAACTCCCAGGCCGCTATCATACTGCTCTGTCTCACGACATACACTGCATCTTACGCTTCCGGATTAGGCAATGTACCATGGCAGCAGTCGGAACTCTTCCCCCTTAGCGTGCGAAGCCTTGGCTCTGCCTTAGCAACGGGTACAAACTGGGGATCTAACTTCATCATTGGCTTGACTTTCCTACCAATGATGCGATGGATGGGAGCCGGGTGGACTTTTTTCCTATATGCCCTTATCTGTGCCATTGGATGGGTGGGCATATGGAGGATTTATCCCGAAATGACAGGGTTAGGTCTCGAGGATGTCAGAGGCTTGCTTGACCAAGGTTGGGGTGTAGAGCAGAGTTGGCAGATATTTGTAGCGAGGAGTAAATTTTCTACTGATACATAGTTACCCTTTGTTGGCATCCATAATTAAGCATGGTTCACCTATTGTTTCCCCACTACATGCAGCGCCTTGTACTGGACTGGAGCCGAAACACAAACACAGATATATATATATACACTCTAGCTGGCATGCTGAAGAACAGAATGTACCTGAATCATGACAGGGTATGTCGCAATCCAATCCAAAAGCAAACCAGAACAGAGAAGGGTATAAATGCACATTAAGAAAAGAAGAAGAAGAAGAAGAAGAAGAAGAAGAAGAGAAAGAAATCAAGACCAGCATTACGGAATCGGATGGAGATATATATTTCCTACATATCTCGCTCCATTTCCTGCTCGAGTGTAAATTTGGGTCCGAATTTACTCTTCGCACGGATGCGGTGGCCATAGAAGTAAAATATAACCGGGATCGGGCAGAGAACCGCAGAAAAGCAGCCCAACAGCGTCCCTGCCCAGTTTATTCCAAGACCTTTAAACTATAGGTATTATTAGATATGCATGGCAACAGGAGAAACGTTGGGTAACAAAACTCACCATGTACGAAGCAAACAGCGGGAAGACAGCTCCGGCAAGCGATCGAAGAAGAGTATTTGCTGCAATGGCAGATGCGGCACTAGACACAGATTAGCCGAGATGACAAGTGCAAAGTATTCTCTATGGACACGTACAATACTAGATAGGCATCAATAATATAATTGAGACTTTGCAAGAAAATAACCAGCAACCCAAATCCGGTAAACACGCCTGAAGCAGTGGGAGCCATCCAATGTATATCGGCTTTATACCCGGTCCATCCAAACCAGAAGAGACCAATTGAGAACGACACTCCACCTGCCATAACATGTGGCAATCTCCATTCAGGAACAGTCACCCCGCCGTTAGCTTCTAGTTTGCGTATATACCATGGCTGAGAGAGGATGATGGATGCACCTCCAATGAGCTGGCCGATGATCATCCCAAAGTAAGGTAGGCCTCCGACACCTTTGTTGAATCCGTGAATCTGCTGGAAGACAATCGGGTAGGCAGTGAGGAATAGATAGAGCAGTCCATAGATGAAGGCTAAGTAAATACTGAGAAGGAGGACGATTGGTTCAGTAAATAGAATCTTCAGCGGACGAGAGAAGTTCTTCTCGACAAGCTCGCTAAACTCGACTTCGATTTCCTCCTGTTTGGCGTGGATGCCCCAGTTCTTAGTCAGGCGGCGGAGTTCAGCAGCCTTTTCGATGAGGACTACAGGCGGATAGGTTTCTGCGAGGAAGAAGACGTTGAGAATGAGCGCAGAAGCCCCCAAGATCCCCGGCAGGAAAGCTGTCCAGCGCCAGCCCAAGTAGGAATCGACGATAAAGCCACCAATAAAGGGTGCTAGCAAAGGTCCGGTGAAGACTGTGATGGAGAACGGGGTAATTGCAAGACCACGCAGGCGGTTGTCGAACATATCTGAGAAGACAGCAGCCACGACTGCAACAGGACAGGCCCCGAAGAAGCCGCCAAAGAAGCGACAGAGCATGACCGTCTGCAGGTCCTTGGCTGACGCAAGGCCGAATTGGAAAATGGTGAAGCCAACGCTGCCGAGGATTATGGGGAATCGTCTGCCACGGAGCTCGGATAGAGGAGCCCAAATGATAGGGCCTGTAGCGTAACCCAAGACGAAGAGAGAGAGGCCCAGAATGCCTACTTCAGTCGAGACGCCAAATTGACGAGACACTTCGATAGTGGCAGTGGAGAAGATGCTGCTGGTAAAGGATGAGATAATGGTCGTCCATGCTAGTATCAGCGCAGTGAATATCCTATAGTCGTTAGTTACCCCTGATCTGATATTGCCGAGGGATATATACTTACTTCCGCTTCAGGGACCAATTCTGAGGGTGTAGAGGATCATCTGGCCCATCAAACTCGACGACATACTCTTCCTTCTCGGGCAGAGGAGGAGGATACGGCTTTCCTGCACCAAATGGAGGTAGCGGTTTATCCAGCGGCCGTGATCGGGTAGAGCCGACAGTCTCGTTGTGTTGACTGCGCTGGGTGGCCATGCGACTGAGCAAGGTGGGGTGGCGCTCGAGGTCGCGAGTCGTAGCCCGGGACATGCAAGCAGAGATGTCATATCCATTGCTGCCGCTGTTGATGGCATGGACATCTGTGTGATGGGTGGCTATGGGCTCGAGGGCGGAGGAGTGGCCCGAGGTGCCTGAGCTAGACATAATGGAGTGGGAGCGAGACGGCACGGGAGTCTCGTAGTCTGGCCGAACAGACGACTGGTCCGCCGCCATCTTCTCGAGGTCAGGCATCATGGAAGAGGTCTTCGTACGGCGTTGAGGTCGAAGCTGGTGAGATGCGACGCTGCGATGGCCCTTGATAGCTTCTTTCTGGTGCCGTAGACGACTGATAGCTATGCGACTGACTGCCAAGCAGGCAGTTCCTCGGTACTGGCAGAGCCAATTGACAGAGGATGAATCGTCCTCGCGCGCATCTACAGCAAGATACCAGAGGGAGAGACAGACGTCCAGAGATGAGGATTGTTCTCTGCTCGGTCTTCCGCAGTCTAGGTAACTAGTGGGGGGCTGGCAGGGTTAGTTTGCCATCCTTGATGATACTTATCCACCATTAGTATCAACTGCCACGGTGCAGGGCCCTTGCCGTCCCATCCTCTTCGGCCTGGTATCGCCGTCGATATTCGTGATTCTTCTCTCTATTTGTTTGTCTGTCGGCCTGTCAAGTCTCTTATTTATCAAGAAGTAGATGAGGGACTCGCCTGCGGTTGGTTGTTTTTTGCCGAGCGAACAGCCGAGCTAGCAAGTGAGACAGCAGTTTAACCAGTTTTAGGCCAAAAACTTGCATACTTCCAGGGTTTTCAAGGCTGTTGGTTGGTCTATCTAATTTAGTATCATGTGACATAACTACATCCATTAAACTACTAAATTACGTAACAAAACTGAATTTAACTACTGACAACAGTAATTAATATGATATTGAGACTTCCTGTACAGCTCCGAAATAGAGGATATGCTGAGCCCAGGATATATCAAAGAAAAGTTGAGTGCCTATCGTACTGTGTAGATACTGAATGCTGTTCCTTGGCTAGGAACGTGCCTAAACGGCAACTGAGTCCCTGGGGCTTCCACACACATCGTCATGCGTCACACGTTCAGCTAACAGTCGTTGAGGTCATTCGCCACCCTCTAATGAAGTATATATAATATACACCACTACATCATGCTGGCGAACCATCCTAGCTGTCTTCCTACCCTAACACACAAATTTGGCGGTCTACTGATTATTTATTGCTGCTCGATGACCATGTCTCAAGGTAACTTTGCTCCCGAGTCAAGTGCTGAGCTCGTTGTCGAGTGAGATTCGAGTTAACACGGCCTAATTTGACAGGTAGACCCCTGGACCGCCGACCCATCATCATTTCCGGGCCCTCGGGTGTTGGCAAAGGCACATTATGCCAAAGATTAGTCTCGTCTTACCCTGATACATTTGCCTTTACAGTGTCTCATACCACACGAGGACCTCGACCTGGGGAAGTTGAGGGCGTAGCCTATTACTTTACAAAGGATGATGCATTTTCTGCACTCGTCTCACAAGATGGGTTCGTTGAACATGCCACCTTCAACGGTCACCGTTATGGTACGAGTAAGCAAACCATCTCGGGCTTGGCTGAGAAGGGGCTCATTGCCGTGCTTGATATTGACATACAAGGTGTCAAGCAATTAAAGGCAGCCTCTAGTATTGATGCCCGGTATGTATTTATTGTACCGCCCAGCCTGGAATGCCTTGAAGCCCGGCTTAGGGGACGTGGTACAGAAGCAGAAGAGGATATCCAGCACCGACTTTCCAAAGCTATTACCGAACTCACCTATGCTGATATTCCCGGCTTTTTTGACAAAATCATTGTCAATGATGATTTGAACAGCGCTTATGACGAGCTTGTCCAATTTGCTCATGGGATTAGCTGATTACGCAACTAAGCGCTGCACTATGGTTGGCCTGTGAAATGAAGGCTCATATTCTCCTGCAGGGAAGTTATTGACCTGGCTATCGATTAGGGTGAATGGCAAAGATATTTTATGCTTGGCACTGTCAAAGATGTTTATATCCTCTTCAATATGTACAGTGAGCCTCATATATCCCTGTTAACTTATCACAGTGATGTCTTTCTGTCGCCAGTATGATTAAATTTAAGATATTGTTTTCGATTCACGAGAGGATAGATATTAGTTATATATTCGCTTCTCATACTCCTTCTCTCTCTTGAACCTCTTGAATCCTAAAGATCTCACAACTCTTACTTCGCGTTAGCAGACAGTATCAAGCCATAAGACATAAGAGCATTCTATGAACTAAGAGGGGGGAAAATGTGTGACCACCTTTTTGAAGTTTGTGTGTATTGCGGAGTACGGATCGGTCAAGTAACCGTGAGACGCTGCGGAATGTTCCCTCATTGCACAGACCACGACATGCCCTATAAAAACGGAAATCTGTGCTCATCCTACCTCCTCCGCTCGAATTCGATCAAATCTAAGTTCTTGAGGACTCTGCGATCCCGATAAATGAAACTTCTCTTAGTGGAGTGGACGGTCAGCAAGTTTGGTCAGCGGTAGACAATAGTCTATCTCATCGCCTGAAATGGCACTTTGCATTAGTTTCACATAATAGAAGTTGAAATCTATTCATGATGCCCCTCGCTTCCTTGCTCCATGGGTGAATGGACTTTCCCGCCGCCTATAATACCTACATAGTGCAGCATTGGGGCCGAGGAGATTCCGGAATGGATCCATGCATGGACGTGTTAACTATTCTTATTCCTATTGTATCAACAAGAAGCAACCAGGATCTTATCTTCTACCTACCTTTATTTTAAACCCAGGCTCCGAACTGTTTTATTGCTTCTCCGTCATTCCGAGTTAGAAGGCAATGGAAGCATTTTATAGCTATCCACTAGCGTGACGTCATACAACCCGGATCTTTAATTGACTAGCCAATGATAATCGAGAGTCTCCGATTTGCGCGGGTAGATCCCATCACGTGCATAAGTAAGCATGGTCGGATCTTTTCCTGTTTAGGTAATGGAGACTACAGTGGATGGGAGAAGTTCATGATCATTCATTTCATTTTTGTCACGGCTGGGGTATGCAACTTTTTGACTAATTTAATGAGCCTTAGCGACACCAGCTGCGTCAGCTTGGGCAATGATTCTCTTCTTGTACGCATTGACGTCTCCAGGGAATTTCTCTACGGTCCCCTTGTCGCAGACCCACAGACTGGTGCAGACATTTTGTACCATTGTAACGTCGTGGGATACGATCAGGACACCGCCCTGGAAATTGTTGAGAGCGTCAGTCAGAGCGTCCATGGCCTCGATATCGAGGTGATTGGACGGTTCGTCGAGGACGAGAATATGTGGGTTTGTCAGGGATATGCAGGCAAATGCAACACGGGACTTTTGACCTCCGGAAAGGAGTTCAAGTTTCTGAAGACCGGTCATACCAGTAATGCCGAATCTAAAGGTAAACAAGAAAAAAGTTAGCATTTACTTTTAATGAGTGAAAGAGAGAGAGGACCCTGGTAGACTTACGCTCCAAGGTGTCGTCGGTATTCTTCCTCGGTCTTTCCGGGGTACTTTTTAGCCATGAACCCCACAGCAGAGGTGGTCATGTCTAGGGCATCGACGTGATGTTGGGCAAAGAAACCAATGCGGAGCCTTGGGTGTTGGGAGATCAGTCCACTGGAAGGCTGTAGTTGGCCGGTAAGCAGCTTCAAGACCGTGGTTTTACCAGCACCGTTAGGACCAACAATGCCGATTCGTGAATCAAGCTGGACGTCTAGGTCGACATTGCGAAGTAGAACGTTATCCTTCGTATAGCCGAACGTAACATCCGTCATCTGGATGATTGGTGGGGAAAGCTTCTCGACATCGGGGAATTTGAAGTGAACAGTATACTCGCTCTCTGGGGGTTCAAGCACAGGCATCTTTTCCAGCTTCTTGATTCTAGATTGCGCTTCAGCAGCCTTGGAGGCATTGTATCTGAACTTGTCGATGAACGCTATAAAGTATGGAGTTACTATATTTGTCTGATAGGGGGTAGGAATTGAGCTGGTTACCTTGTAGATGGGCTCTCTGGGCCATCTGGTTTTCATATTCACGCTTGGCATTCTTCTTTCGCTCTTCCTTCGTAGCGTAGAAGGAGTCTATAGAGTGGTTAGATTTGTATTGATTGGCTCAAAAAAAAAAAAAAAAAAAAAAAAAAAAAAAAAAAAAAAAAAAAAAAAAAAAAAAAAAAAAAGGCGTAGGCAATGGGCGTACCAAAATTAGCACCCTTGTAGTAGTCCAATCTTTCCGAGTGCTGGTGGATGATATCTGTAGCAACTTCATTAAGGAAAGCCCTGTCGTGAGAAACGACCAGTACGGTACTGGGGTAAGACTGGAGATAGTTGGAGAGGAAGGTAATGGACGGCACATCCAACATGTTAGACGGTTCTACAGTAGGTCAGCCTCAGCGTTGGATAGTTAAATAATGGGGGGGGGGGGAATAGAACGCACCGTCGAGGAGGAGAAGGTCGGGTTCACAGAAGAGAGCTCGGGCAAGAGCAAGACGCATTCGCCAACCACCGGAGAAAGTCTTGGTAGCGTACTGCTGGCGTTCAGGAGAGAAACCGAGACCGGCCAGGATGCTAGCGGCACGAGGCTCAGCCTTGTCGGACTCCATTTCTGCTAGTTTGGCGTGGATATCAGAGAGGGTGATATCCAGACCCTCTCGTTCCTGGTCAAGCCGTATGGCGTCCTTGGAGGTATCTGCCATGGTAGACCGCTCCGCCTCGATGGCGGCCAGTTGAGATGATATTCTCTATAAAGTAAAATATATGAATATATTCTTTGTATGAAAAAATAATAATGATAGTGATAATAAGAGGAACATACCTCCTGGTCTGCAAGGAGACGTTTGCGCCATACGTCTGCATCGAGAACTGCCTGTAGAGCCGGGGTATCATCACCAGTAATCTGTAGCAGCGGTTAGTGTGTAAAGTAAAAAATTGATAGACAAATATTGAGGATGGAGAGGACTGACCTCTTGCTCGACGTGGAGAATGGAAATGTGTGTTGGAATGGCAACCTCTCTTCTGCTGAGGGCACGCAGGAGGGTAGACTTTCCGATACCGTTCTGGCCGACCATGCCGTAACGCCGGCCGAACGAAAGAGAAAGAGTGGTATCGGTGAGAATGCGTTTCCCGCCGATGGAGACGTCGACACCATCGACCTTGATGTCCTTGCTCTTGGTCTGGGAGTCGGCACCGAGCTGCAAGGGGTTGACGGCCATGAAGAACTCTTCGTAGGACTGGGCATCGTTTGCCTGGGTGATGAGCTTTGAAGCTTCATACTCGACGTTCTTCATGATCTTGCGGTCCTGCTTGTCCCTGATCTTGCGCTCGGCCTTTTCGAGCTTCTTCTTGTCGACGCGGGACTCTACTTTGCGGGTATTGGCCGACTCGAGGTCGACGGTGACGCCTGACAGGCCCAGGGTCGAGGAGATGTTGCGCTGCGACCCGACATGGATGGTCTGGTCGAGCTTCTTAGCAGCAGTCGAGGCCATCTGTCGCTTCTCTGGATCGACCGCGCTCAGGGTCGTGATGAACTTTTCCACCAGGTTGCGGACGGCCTCTTCGTTCTGGCTGCTGAAGTCCCCTGAGGCAGAGACGAGCAGGGCGGACACCGTCTCGGCAGCCTCGGACAGCGGGGAGAAGCCGCCGTGCTCTTCATCTCCAGTATATGCTCTGGAGGCATGAGTGAGGTATCCCTAGGCAGAGTCAGCCGGTATTCAAGCATCCATGCATGGCTTCTTGCTGTATATCAAGTCCACGACTCGTCGTCTCCTTGCTCTGCTGCAGTCTCGACTCACCACGGCGTAGTCTGATATCACATGATCGATCGATGGGATTTGGGCTCTTATTTCTGCCTCCATCTTGGTTCCTACGGTTATCTCTGTCTCCCTTTCTCTTATATCGTCTCCTTTTACTCTCTTCTTCTCCTATTCCTTCTTGTCGCCGTCGTCGTCGTCGCCGTCTTCTTCTTCTTCTTCCTTTGTGTTTTTTGGCGGTTAATCATGATTACATAACACAACTAGTTACTTTCTACAACAACCAAAAATATAAAAAGAAAAAAAAAAAAAAAAACAAACATCGAAATTCAACGAGGAGACATCAAAAGAATGACAGTGACAGACAAAATAGACAATAGACAGAATAGTAAAAGAAAACAAGCCAGGTAGAAGCGAGGTAGGACTGATGGAGCTCGAACTCGCAAGCCGTCTGCAGGCAGCTGGGCACTGTCACCGTTTGTCAGGCGCAAAAAGAGTGTTGGAGGATAGAGATGATGATGGATGATGATGCATACTACTCCGTATATTCCTTTTCTCCGTGCAGCGTTGACCGGTTACATGTTGGCGGTAGATAGCGGTGCATCCTGTATTCCCCCCTTGCCTGCCTTGCCTGCCCCTTCGGCCGCACCATCTGCATGCAGCTTGGTTCTGCATCATCTGCGCCGTCTCTGCTCGTCCTCGTCCTGTGCCTGTGCGTGTACCTGTGCCTGTGCCTGTGAGACTGGCAACACCGGCCTGGCTGCTGTAGAACCTGGCAGCACCCAGCTGCATCCGGGCCCTGTCCTCATCCACCTCCCCATGTACGACGGCGCATCCGGCAACGCTGTCGACCCGCCAACCAGCCAACCTGCCCAGCTAGGAGGTTGCTCTGCTCTGCGGGTCAGGAGCCGGCTAACTCAAATAAGAGGTACTCCGTAAAAATAGAAGAGCGAGAGCGAGATCGAGAGAGAGAGAGAGAGAGAGCGCGGCAGCAGCCAAAGAGAGCACGAGAGGACGATGGGGATGCTCTGCCGCCATCATGAAACAAGGGCCCCCAATCCTGCTGCCCTCTTAGGCAGTGTCCCGGCAGCACACGCTACGCTACGCAGGCCAGGGACCGGGATGCGAGTCAAAGAGAGACGAGCAGCCACAGCCAGCAGCCAGCAAGCATCGAGGAGGAAGCACGTCGATGCCAGCACGACGGAGACGCCAAGTTGGCAAGCCGGGCTGTCGATTGGCTGCAGCAGGGAAGTCGCTTGCTGAGATCTGCCCTTTTTTCGCTCTGGCGCCAAAGAAGGAGGAAGAAGCAAGCTGGAAAAAGCAACGAAAGGGGGGAAGGTCGAGCATCCCGTCTCGTCTCAGGCGGTCCTTTTTTTTTTTTTTTTTTTTTTTTTTTTTTTTTTTTGTTTTATCATCATCATCATCATAATCACCATCACGGACTTGGACTTGCAGAGAGTATCATCGGCATCTCGTCTGGCTGTTGTAGCTGTCTGTCTCTCGGTCTGTCCGTCCGTCTGTCTGTCTGTGTGGCCGCTGTCAGCCCGTATCAACATCATCGTCAACCCCTTTCGAAGGCTCGCCTACCAGATATCAATAATAATATCAAAACATCCAATATCACCGCCGTATTCGCAGCGTCAACGCCAGACCTCCACAGCTCCTCCGTATCTGTAACCAGGCAGCCCTAGGGAGATCCACGTCTTCCAAGGCGCCGGCTAGTCAAGATCCAACTTTTTCTGTTATTCCCTTGCCCGCTGCTGGTTTGTCCTGGCCTGTTTCTTGCGCCCTCGCCGTCCTCGCTGTCGCCCGTCTCTTCGTGCTCTCGTCCTCGCCGTCTCTTCGTCCTGCTGCCGCTGCTCCACCAGGCCAGAAACCCTCCTTGAGCCGCCGCTCATCTCGGGCTCTTCAGATCTCAGCTCGCTTGCCTCCAATCCCTTCCTCCTCTTCTTCCTCCGTCTCGAGTCCGGCCGTTTCTTCCTGATGGAGTCGTAGAGAGAGAGAGGGAGAGAAAGATAATTAAAAAATAAGAAAAAAATAAGAAAAAAAAAAAAGAGAGAGAGAGGCCAACGTCCGCCATCCCTGCGGCCTCGAGCAAGGTTGCGCCAGCTCGTCTCGCCGTCGCTTTTCCTTCCTGGTGTTTGTTATTGTTATTGTTGCTGCTGCTGCGGTTTGTTTATCATCACCATCGCCGTCGTCGTCGACTGCTTCTTCGACTGCTTCTTCGACCTCGCCGTCGCTGTCGATGTCGCCGCCAGCTCCCGCTCTGCCAGCCACCACGATGACTCCGACGTAACGAGCGCTGCCGGATGCTCAGTCTCGCCCGTCCTCGCCTTCTCTTCTTCTTCTTCTTCTTCTTCTTTTCTTCTTGTATTTTCTTTTCTTCTTCTTCTTCTTCTGCTTCTTCTTCTTCGGCTCGTCTGGGCTCGTCGTGATGGAGTTTGTGCCTGCAGTGAGTCTTCCAGCCTCTTTTTTTCGCTACACCCTCCATTCTACACCCTACAACATCCAATATCGTACAACATCTACACCATCTACACCATCTACACCATCTACAGCATCCAACATCTACACCCCGTTGCCTCTTCTCCCTGCTAACTGCTGCAGCTGTGTGCGGCGGGCACAATTGGCATCGCTCCCGCTGGCCTCGCCCTGGGCCGCCCCGACGCCAGCACCGCCAACAGACGCCCCTCGACGCTGGCGTACCAGCGAGCCTCCTTCTTCGCCGGCCAGCCTGCTGAGCTCCCGCTGCCCTTACCTTCGCCTCTCTCGCCTCTCTCGCCCTTGTCGCCCTTCTCGCCGCTGCCAGACTGCAAAGACACCGACGGCCAGCCGCAGAGCCCGCCCAGCTCGCGCAGCTTGCCCCTGGACGCAGGGCTCTCGCCCGCCGCAAAGCTGGACGCCCTCATCCAGCGCTCCGACGAGAAGATCCTCCTGCGGCCGCGGCGGGAGAACGACCAGACCGTCCTGGCCCGCGATGTCGAGATCGAGCCCGAGCAGCTGCCTGGCTCCCTCGATCCCTCGTCTTCCTCCTCTGCTGCTGGTGCTGGTGCTGGTGCTGGTGCTGGTGCTGGTGCTGGTGCTGGTGCTGGTGCTGCGGCTGCTGCGAGGCCTTCCTCGTCCTGGGTGCGCCGCCTGTCCACCATCACCTCCTCCGTCTACGGCTCCAGCTCCGCCGCCAGCTCCTCGCGGCCCCAGTCGCCCTCCGTCAGCGGCTCGACCGCCCCTTTCTTCCCCCAGAAACAGCATCTCCAGAACCGCGCCTCCATCCCGCCAAACAAGCTCGTCAAGCGCTCAACCTCCCAGCGCGACTTTCTTCCAGACTGCCCGCCCGGCTGCGGCTGCGGCTACGGCTACGGCCACGGCTACGACCCTGCCTCCTCCGCCTCGAGGCCGCGCCGCTCAAACTCCATCATCCGCCGTCCGGCCACCAGCCACCAGCGCAGCGCCGCCGCGGCCATGAGGCACCGCTCTGCTACCGAGTCCAATGTCCTGGACGCCGACCTGATACGGCCTCACTCTCTGTCTTCTCCCCTGGCGTCTCCCCCCCAGTCCCAGTCCCAGCCACAACCCCATGGGGAACCCGTTTGGCGCCCTTACTTTCGTGGAATTGCCTCCAATTTCTCCTCCATCCGCACTCGACGGCGGTCCTCCTCGGTCAGACAGAGGCGGGAGCGCTCGCAGCAGCAGCTCCACCTCCTACTCGAGCCTGATGTCGTGCCCACCCTCGTCTCGGCCGCTGCCATCAAACCCCAGGATCCCGCCCAACTCCCTCGCTTTAGCTCTAGTTTCCGGTCGTCAGACCAGCAGCGACAACAGCTACACCAGCGCCAACAATCTTCGGACCGCATTTCCTGGGGCAGACCCGTTCCTGGAGGCGCGCGGGCTCAAGTCTCCCGTATGTTGAGCTCAAAGAAAGAGGAGGACTCAGAAACAGAGGCGGAAGCGGAAGTTGATGCAGATGCAGATGCAGACGCAGACGCAGACGCAGACGCAGACGCCGCTCGATTACTCTCATCGTCAGCACCGCTGCCCCCGTTTGCGGCAGACGACCCTACTCAGCCCTGGGAAGAGTCAATAGCTAAGCTGCAGCGGAGACAGCGTGCCTCCCTCGACCTGAAACGCAACCCTCATTCAGACAGCGAAATCCGGACCAGCAAGAGTGAACGACTGAGCGGGAACTCCATGCGATCGCGGCGGAGGAAGAACATCACTGACCCAGATATATTCCAGCGGCCGGCCACTTCCCACTATCAACACCAACAACAACAGCAGCAGCAGCATCTACATCTACACAATAACCCTCACGATCCTGATGATCACTTCAATAATAACGACGATGATAACATTCCCGTCGACCAATCAGAAGACCCTCTAGAGCCCGTATCCCCCAAGACGACGGTCGCAAAGGTTAAGCCTCGTCTACGGCATTTGCCACAGTTCCACGACCTTCGCAATGAGGTCCTAAACGAGAGACGGTCCGCGCCATCCTCGGCCTCTGGCTCCAGACAGTCATCTGCCGAACAGAAGATCTACGGCAGCACACGAGACCGAGACCAGCGGCTCTCTGTCACTGCCTCTGACCCAGCTTCAACTGTTCCCGGCTCAGATAATGATACCCGTATCTTCTCGTCCGGAGAGGAAGACGAGACTGACTGCCACAGCGACACCATCTTTGACTCCTACCCAACACGCGCAACAAGTAGCAACAAGTCTACATCTACTCCCCGCGGGCCCAGGATAGATACCATCTTCGACAAACCAGACGTCACCCCAAAACAACAGCAACAGCAGCAACAGTGCTATCCAGATGAACTACACTTGTCCTCCTCGGTCGTCTCGTCGGTTCGAAAGAGGTCGGACCTGGTCGTACTCAACCCCCTTGGCCACGGCAACGGCAGCCTAAGACACGCCTCATCTTCAGAGGCTGCCGTCCGTAGAATGTCGCCATCTCCAAAGACCGTCATCACCGGTCCATCACAGCGAACTAGCCGGAAGTCCAGCTACCTTGCCACTCCCTCAGCTGACAGCGCAGAGAAACTGCGCTTCTTCGCTGAAACGTCGGGCGATGAGGAAGATGACGACGATGATTTCCCCACGGCGCTTAACTCTCCTCCCCACTCCAGATCAGCCATCACCCTGTCAAAGGCATCGGAAGCGGGCTCGCGCATGAGTGTTTTTGACTGGTCAGAGCAGCAGAAGCCCACAAAGGACGGCGACAGCTCTGGTTATCGTCCAAAGACCGCTCAAGAGAAGAATCTGGTCGATCTACGGGGAGGACGGTCAACAGCGCGCAGCGCTCCCAACACTCTCCATCTCAGAAGCCAGAGTGTACCAATCGCAACTAAGGAGTCAACGGCGCAAAAGGACACCGGTTTCCCTCTCAAGTTCGGCACCTGGGGCCTGGGTAACAAGGGTCCCAGCGAAGACTGGGATGGTGACTTTGATTTCGAGGACTCGGATGACCAGCCACTCCCGGGCTCCCTGGCCAACGGTAAATGCTCTGCCAGCAGCATGAAGGTTCCCCAGGCTATATTGGACCGACAAGAGAGTGTACACGGCCAATACGGCCTGGTCCAGGAACTCACCGTCCTTGTCGAGGAACTAAAGCGACTCCAGGTCCAGGCTAAAGCACTGCATATCATGGAGGGCCCATCTGCAGAATTATGGAAAGAGGCTCAGGGTATAATAAACCTTGCAACTCTTGAGGAAGACGATGACCAACCACGTTCAAATGGATGCAGCAGGCATCAGCGCCAAAGGTCCTCCTCAGCCACAACATTCGACTCAGGCAATTTTGGCCTGGAATCTTCTCCCGAGCCCATGCCCATGGCCACCAAGCAGAACAGCAACGAAAGCCCAAGCAAGCAGTCCTGTCCTCTTCCCGGGAAAGAAAACTCAGGTCCAGGCACCAATATCAACGCTACTTTCCCTTCTTCCAAGAAGCTGCGCAGAGAATCCTCCGTCAGAGCAAGGTCGGTCCTGGACAACATCCACCATCTCCGAGAGCTTCACAACGGTAACTCAACCGCCTCTCTACCAACCCATGATAGCCAGCAACGCTTCGCCTTTGATACCCAGTCTTTGCGCGACCTCGTCATCCGTGCGGGAGTCATTACACGCTCTCTAAAGGAGATCGTCCGCAAAGCAGAAGGAGTCTACGTCCCGCCTGATACACACCATCTAACTCCCGACCCGCCCTTCAGCCAAATATTCGTCCATCCTTCTTCGCAACCTATACCTGCGAATGGACTCTCCTGAACAATACCACGCCTGGGACACTTCAATTAAGTCCAAAAGGAGCTTGATAGAAAATCAAATACCCCTCAGACCTAGAATTATATCCTCAATTCTTTTCCCTACCCCCTCTCATCTACCACCACCTGGTCTCTTTCTTTCTCGCTCCATTCCGCCTGAAGAGGTACTCTAATGACCCGTTATGGCTCATGTGTCATGTGCACGCTAAAAGAAAGATAATAACACCCCCGGCTTCACGGCCTTTTTCCTTCGCATCGACTAATTCTTTCTCTCTGTCCATGCCTCTCCTTTTATTCTACTGTTCTTACTTTCTTCTTATCCAAAAGCTGCCATTCCTTTACTGTACAATCCAAAAATCTTTTCCCTTTTTTTCTTCCTTTTCCTCGTCTCATCTGCATATTTATTTCTTTTCCTTTTTTTCTTTTCCTCTTTAATTTCTTTTCTTGCTCTGCTTTTTAGCCGGTAATGACTGAGTCGTGGGTTTCCCGTTTTTCTTCTGCTTTCCCCTTTTCATGTAGGAAGTAATGTCCTGCTTCCCCCCTTTTTTTCTACCTCTGTTGTTTCTTTGATCATTCGGGAAGGCTTATGTGATAACGTTTGCTTGCTTGCGTTTTTGCTGGCTTGGATGGACCCTATAGACGCTTCATCACCGTTTGGTATGAATTTCGCTAAATAGCTGTACACGAACAAACCAGAGAACTATAAATGGAATGAGTGAACATGCCCTTGAACGATTTCTGTCTTATCCAGTCAATCAAGTAAGAAGTAAATATAAGTATAAATACAGAGGGGGTTTTCGCTGGGAATAAGTCTATCAAATGCAAGATATAAAGAGAGAGGTGCGTATACAGAGATGAGAAATATTAATCGAGTAGGCAGAGCTATATGGCAGCCTGGAATCAGTTCTTGGATTTCCGTTTACCAATATTCCAGCCCCAGCGTCGCAGAGTCTTGACGATCTTGGGCGTCACAGCTGCGGTAAGTGGCACTCTGAAGAAGATGAAGCTCTTGTGTATGGCGTATGCAAGCGCCAGTTGTGTCCATATACCTATACAAGCAGATTAGTAGCCGATCATCATAACTGCCCAACAAAACCAACGACCAGATAGAATAACGTACTGGCTTCTCCTTTAACAGCCTTTTGCGCCTCTTCGATATCATCCGCAATGCCTATCTCATTCTCGTCTTCGGATCGAGGGCGCGCATCCCTCTCTTTGCTAGGCCATATCTTCGCTATTGCATCCTTCACGGATCCCACAATAATATGCTCGTAGTGTCCTATGCGGTCAACGCCTAGCAGCCGCACAGCAGCAAAGCAGAACGGGAAATCCAACGCTGATAGGAAGAAGTAGACTCCTACAGCTGCCCAGCCGTATTCGCGGGAAAGCGTGCGCATGCGCTGGGAAAACGAGGGTTTTGCAGACGGGTCGGTGTTTGTAGAGTTCGCGCGAGTGAATTGTCGGCGCGTATGTGGTCTTCTTGAGAACTGAGGGCGGATATATCTAAGGGGGGATATTGTTGATATTGTTGACTGCTGGTGTCGCTGTAGCATGCGCGAGCTTTGGCGGAGGCCTATCCATGCCGGCGACGGTCGGGATAGTTGTGGTGATCTGAAGGCTGCCGAAAGCAGCTGTCTGGCCGGCCCTCCGGCCAACCCGCGCGACGATATCATCTTTTGTTTAATTAGCTATGGGCTTGCTGCGTCCAAGGCATCTGTTCCTCCTGTCTGTTGCTCGAGATATCGAAAAAAAGTCAAGAGGGAAGTTTTGTCTTGGCGTTAAGCTCGGGAGGAAAAAGCTTGGCGCGAAGCCTAACTAAATGTCGAATTTCGTTTTTTGATCGTTGATTGAAACTAATTTTTTGGATAGCGACGAAAAGCGCCAGCACCGTCGAGTTGATCGAGGAGACTTGAGAAGGATATCGAAGACAAGATGCCGCCGCGGCTACCTCGAAGCTCCCTGCAGCAATTGTTTGCGCCCGTCACATCCTCACAGCTATGCAGCAGTCCGTCCAGAATCACCGTGACCACGGCCATACGGTCCTTTGGCATCAAACCTATGTATCCCCCCAAAGTCAGCCTTAAACCGCTCGATCCAGACGTGCCGATTCTCTCATCACATCCTATTGCAGCTCATCTGCGAAAAGCTGCCACCCTCCCTCTTCGAACAGGGGCCCTCGCTATCAAGAAAGGAATGACGGCCATCTACGACCCCGAGACAGGCGTGCGGACTCCCTGTACTGTTCTCCAATTAGATGGCGCCCAGGTCATTTCACACAAGACGTTTGAGAAGAACGGATACTGTGCTGTCCAGGTCGGGTCTGGGCTTAAGAATGAGAGAAATGTGACGAGACCGATGCTGGGTCATTTCAGTGCAAACGGTGTCTCGCCAAAACGACATATACATGAATTCAGAGTCAAGGATGAGACTGGACTATTACCAATTGGAGAAGTTATTAATGCCGATTGGTTCCAAGAGGGTCAATATGTTGATGTTCGGTCAAACAGCCGTGGAATGGGATTTGCCGGTGCTATGAAGAAATGGGGTTTTCACGGTCAGGATAGAAGTCACGGTGTCAGTTTGACGCATCGTTCTCTTGGTTCTACAGCTCCTTCTCAAGGCGGTGGTTCCAGAGTATACCCTGGGAAGAAGATGCCTGGACGGATGGGAAACCATCAGGTAACACTGCAAAGCTTGAAGGTGTTGAAGGTTGACGCTGAGAAGGGCATTGTTGTTGTTAAGGGTGAGTTTAGCCTGTTCGCTTTTTATATCATTTTTGTCGGGCAATTTGTGCGCTAACTGTGTGACTTAATAGGGGGGGTTGCTGGTCCCAAGGGACGCTGCGTCAAGATCCAAGACGCAATCAAGAAGCCATGGCCGAAAATCGAGGCTGCACAGCCTGCAGCAGCTAAGGAATGAGCGTTATATTGTTTCATGAAATTCTTCTTTATCTACTATTGTACAATAGCCCTTCAGAGTGGCGTTTAACCGTGTATTTTTTAACCCATCTTCCAAATCTCAGGGATATGCATGAATGTAACTTGGATTGTCGAGGCGTTTAGCTTGCCTTTTTCCTTTTTTTTTCTTCAAGTAAAAACATCCTGCATTTTAAAGTAAACAATTATAATGGAGCAGCCTCCACTATCCCATGCTTTCCAAACGCCATGCCAAGTTATAAGTTATACAACCCTTAGGGTAAAAAGAGGTGAGGTGAGGTATATGTCCTTAGTCCGGGATTAACGCAATCGATCTTTATATTGCACCCTTAAATGGATCTTCTTCGGTCTGGTTGAGTAGCGGCACAGCCGTGCCATCTTCCATCTCAAGGCTCCATATTTCGGTGTTGAACTGTATAGGGTTCATGTTAGTACGGTCATGTTCACAGTCAAAGTATACAACCTAAAAAACAGGTGACGGATAACCCGTACATAGCCTAATCTGCTCTCTCTCGTGCTCTTGAATCGCATCTTTCCCTTGCCGCGAGTTCCCTTGACCCAGAACGAAATGTCGATACGGCCATGAAGCTGGTTCATCTCTCCGCTTATCCACGGTATCTGCTGTGCAAAATATATCTCGTCTCCAAGGAGCTCCCGGGCCTTGGGAGAGTGTCGCAGAGCGTACAACGTACTGCTAACGATACTGGATGAAGACTTCTGGTAATTGAATATCGCGAGACTTGACACGCCAATTATCGCAAGAAATATTGGTATAGTGCGTAGCCACCGTCTGTGTGAGCCAAGTGAGGGTAGCTCTCGGTCAGCTCGTCGTGAGAGCAAGGGACCGCTGTTTGGTTGAGGGGGTGCAACGAGGGTACGGCGTGCGGGTGTCGACGAGCGCAGAGAAACATTGGGCTTCAACATGGGCCGGTAGCACCGCAGGCCCCGTATGGAATTCATGGCTGTCGCTCACCGTCGCCTGGTGACTTGCTTGACTCGATCTTTGTTTAGTCGTTGCATCCTCAACTTTCTTCATTCTGGACGTAAAAGGTGAATGTTGATTATGTAACTATAGTCATGTGATTTTATATTGAACGCATTAGTCAGCATTATCAGTAATGGGCCGGAGTTAGGTCGGCGATATGGACCTAACTAGCCCAGGTCACATGAAGTCGACTTGCAGATCCCAAGTTGGGTATATTTGAATTTGAAAACACGGACATATTGGTAGAGAGGAACTGCCAGTTGACGAGGGAGGAGTAGGTCATGGATCATGGCCTCTACACGGCTACGGAAGACATTCAAGTATCCAGATTCAGACGGTGATGACGATACACGTCCAGAACTAGACGACCAAGGTTCGTGTCATGTAGTTAGCTATAACTTGCAGCCTAACTATATAGCCAGTTACTTACAGATGCATAGAACAAGAGGCTTTGATTGAATCCTTGCGTAAGGATAATGAGACGGCAAATGCATTCTATCAGGTGTTTTATAAGTATCCAAATTTATCCCCACCGGTAACTAGGAGCGCTAACGAGGTACTATAGCTTGTATTGGCTGTGATACCCTGCATAGCCAGCTGTATCTTCATACCCACAATATTATCGTTCAATTCTGTCTTCTATGACAAGGCTTCGGCATTTCTTGGTGCCGCCTCCCTTCTGTGGACTGCCTATTATATGAAATATACGCCGCTGCCGCGAAGTGAATCTAGGGGAAGGCACTCTATCAGCCTGTCAGAGGAGAAGGAAGACCCTATTAGCCGATACACAGTAATAGTGAATGCTGTCATTTCTCTCTTCATGGCACTCTCCGGGCTTCTACGCTTTCAGAAGGACCCAAGCAATGCATACCATATTCTATATGTCCTGCCAGCCGGTAATACCTTTCTACTTATGTATCGTTTTTTATCAGTCGCTAACTCTCATACGATAGTCGTACTCTTCACTGTCGTGGCAGCTCGGAGAACTATGGTTTCAGTCGATCTAAACGAATTAGAGCGCCTTCGTTACGAATATAAAGGAGCGTAAATAATCTTTGAAATAAAAGATACACCTTGCATAGGTTCTAATGTACACTTGGATAATGGAAGGCTATAGTCGAAACATAGGTAGTCTGTTCAAATATCGTGTTCAAATCTACTTGAGCAGGAACAATCCCCAATAGAATTACGCCGACTTTAATAATTAGGCTTCTGTAATCAATTATCTGTAATTTTGCATTGCTTGATTGTAAGATATCTAATACACGTTAACATAGAAGTGATAGTTAGGTCCATCCATCGCTATCGTCATCTTCCACCCAACCCATTGCCTGTAATTTGGCGGTTTTGTTTTTTGCAGCCTGTTTAGCAGTGCCATTCACCTCCGACCTTGGTTCCAGCGGGGACTTGTTTTGCGATTCTGCGGTAGGGATTGATTCACCTGTCTCTTTAGTTTCATCTACCTCGCTAGCTTTCTTAGGAGTTTTGGACTTCGAAGCTTTGGTTGCCACCGACTTTTTAACAGTCTTCTTAGCCGGCCTCGAAGTTCGAGGGCGTAACATAGCCTGCGAAGTTTGCTCTTCCGCCCCCTCTTCGCCTTCACTTTGGTCACTGCCAGATCCACCAAGATCATCCGACTGTATAGGATTCAGCTGACTTCGTCTTGTTGCAACCTTCCTAGATCCAGAAGTGTTGATACGAGAGATTGACCGTCGAGAAAGAGTAAAATCATCGTCGATTTCAATTCCCCGTTTTCGCCTACCGCTAGCACCATCGTCTAGGTTTGGGTCAACAGGTAGATCTTCAGGTTCATCTTCATCCGGTTCGCCTCCATTAACTTCCTCTAGAGCCTGTCCGTTAGTCTGGAAGAGATTTGGGTCTACAACAATTTCTTCAACTTTATTCTGTTCCGCTGGTTGTTCTGGCTCCGGGTATTCAAATGTGATACCCTCCGTAGGCTGGTAACGGTCAGCCACGTCGTCTCGGAAAATAGCATTTTGTGGGACAACAAAACTCGTTTGATGACCCCGGTCCATAAGGGCAGGATCTATGAGACTCTCGTCAAAGTTGGAGTTATTATTTTGTTCCTCCGCTCCTCTTATCTCACTACCGTCAGAGTCGTGATTATATAGAACAGGCTCATCCAATTTAGCCTTTTCTGCTTCTTCTATTCTCAACTGCATTCTTCGGCTATTCTGTGATGTTTCAGGATGCTCGCCTGATTTCTTAAGCCAAAATAGGTTGGAATGACTAAAATCCACCAGAGACTCTACACTTCTGACATCAGCAATCTTTTTGGTATCATGGCCGATTCGGGTCTCGGTTGGCACGTATCCTTCAATTGTTGGGTCGCGGCGCTTGCAATTCGCACATGGACATATCCTTTCGCACCTTGGGCATTTCCAACTCCGTACCTCCAGTACTGTCATTGGCATGATATCAAATGCTCTGTATAAACTGCCGTAACACCATTGCAAATTGCATTGAGAACATGTCTCGAGCTTCCAATTTAATGTCGGTCCACAGATGTGACATCGACTATATTTATGTTTGTCGGCTTTGGTTATTTTTCGACGTTTTCGAGTAGATTCCCTATGGTTTTCATCATCGTCGTCAACATCCTCTTTGACAGGCTTTGTGATGTCGGTCCACGGCCGGCGTTTTAATTCCACCTGGCATATTTCTGCCAGCGTCTTCTTTTCATATTTCTCTTGCTCAACTGAGAGGGGTTGGAAATTATCCTTATCCTTACGACTTCTTCCTGAGGAAAACTTGGCAATCTGGTTTCTCCAGCGTTCATGATCCCGGGTGAGGTCTTTCCAACGAAATTGTTCCACCCACCTCAGCTTAGAGATGCAAGCACAACTTCGACCCATCACAAAGCAGTCCATGCAAACGTCATAGGTGTCATCTTCCCCATCTGGGAATTTACCAATGCACGAGGGGCAGGTAAGAAACCTGTTGAAGATATTGCATCGACAATATGAACAAGTGATATTGCTTGAGAAGGGAACCAACTCAACGTTTTTAGGCTCCGGTATTCGAGTAGAAAAGCTCTCAGATAGAAGAATCTGTGTGAATAACGCAAACAAGCGTTTGAAATCGGACTTTAGGCTGCGATATCGTAAATCGTCACGTGGAGTTGACTTTTCAAGGAGACTCGAATATTTCTTGAGGGAGAAGTAAATGATAGCCTTATTCTTGTATTGTTCGTCTCTGCAGACCATTCTAGCCCGGGGTAGCGCTTCAGTCAAAGCAAGATCAAGCGTTTCAGCAGTCGTCCTGTTCCATGCAACTTTCATCGTGCGAGTACCCCTATTCCACACCTGATGAGGAGCAAGAGGAGGGATTAGAATGAAGTCGCCAACTTTCTGTTCCACAACCCAGGTTTTGAATGGCGCAGACTTCCAGGCATTTATTTGCGCAAAGTGGTCCTCAATTTCGATATCATGTCCTAATGTCGATAGCCAATACTCTGAAACAACCTTAAGATCTTTCTTTTCAGTCATGAACCAGATGGACGATCCAGGTTTTGTCGGTTTTCCGTCTTCCAATCCCCCGGTCGAAGCTTCGACCATGATATTATGCCCAAGAGTAGCACACATCTCTCTATGAGCTGGAGTGTAGGTACCCTCATGACCAATATAGCACATCATGTTCATTGCCCTCATTTCTTCGGGAAGGCTGCTCATCAGGTCACCAGCAGGAGTCGCATCTCCCTCTTTACCTGTCACAGACTCATTCATATAATAAAGAAACTGCGGAAGAAGCGATCGTAGTTTCTCATGCCAGACTGGAGGGCAATCGATATCCTTCAGATACATGCGCTGACGACTAGAGTCCTTGTAGTTTGTGGCGTTGAACTGGTCAGTGAGACCAGCCATACTAGAAAGGTAGTGCTGTATAGTTAGCGGTACATTTGACTTGTTCGTGAGATCCCTTGCGATTTCGACTAATAAGTTGTTAGATTTGCGCATTAACTGTCATGATATATCTCATATTAGGGAGTAACATGCCTTTGCTTCCATGGTTATCTTTGAGCCAGCGTGGGGAAAATATCCACTTCTCCAGCTTACTTCCATAACCCTCTACAACTAGAGGCTTTCCTGAGTAGATAACATGCAGTTTCACCAGCTTCTCGAAATTCTCGATCCCTTGTTCCTCAATCGCGTGGGCAGGAATTCGCGTTACCGGCTCGAAATTAGGCGTTGACTCGACCAATTCTGTAAAATCGAGATCCGGTGAGATGGGCTCAAAGGCCGCGCGTGGTAGCTGTAGCCCAGGCATGGCTCTGGGCCGAAGAGGTCGCGTCGCAACAGCTGTTCACCCACTTGTGGTCGTTTTCATTAAACAACTTAAGAGATTGAAAGCTCATCTGGTTAACAAAGGTGGTAGAAATCAAGTCTGTCACGTGATAGCTAGTTATGGATGGATGCTGCAGGAGCTCTTTATCCCGGCTCATCGGCGCGAAAACACCGTGAAGAGCTAAAGACAGCTCCAGGTTCGCGACGAACGAAGCTGGGAGTCTACAATTGCGCGCGGTAAAGTCGAGCGTTTGGACGGATTCGGTGCTACCTCTTTTATCAATATGTTATCTAATAACTGCGGCTACCTTAGAGCCGGGCTGACCGTCTCCAGCCATATCTTCACCAGCTGCCGTGCGCCGCACAATAGGAGAATACCGAGCATATTGAAGTTTCGACGAATAAGCCGGATACCGCAGATTTACGAGCCCTTTTTGCGATATAATTCCTCTGCTCCCAGTATAGCTGCCAGTCAAAAGCCAGAGCAATATTCACCACCGACAACGGGAATTCTCGCTGCTCTTCCAAAGAAATGGGTACCATATGCAGAATTGATACGACTAGACAAACCCACGGGCACTTACTATCTATACTTCCCTTGCCTCTTTTCGACCCTCCTTGCAGCACCTTTGGCC